GCTAGACTGACTCCCTGACCCTGACCTAGGTAAGCTATGATACACTCGAGCCACAGTACTAGCGGTCGAGGGGTTTAGAGCTGGCGGGCCCCTGCACTTCAAGCGAAGCAGTGCTTGAAGGAGGCTACCGAGGCCGATGGTATGTGTGTACGCTACGCTTCTTTGTATACTGCCATGCTCGCGGAGAGAAATCACAGGAAGGAAAAGAAGCAGGGGTTAGCTCGAGCCGGATTTGATTGCTGTTCTAGTTTGGGTGAAGTTCTAGCGCTCGGAAATCTTTGTTGTCCTCGTGCCTTGCATGAGCACGCTCTGTTGCTGTCGGACGAGGATTCCCTAGTCGACAGCACGAAGCTCGTGGCCCGACTATTCCTTGCTGACGGCGCACTCCCATTCTCTAAACCACTTCCAGTCCATCTTCTCCTTTCACTTGCCGAGCTCTCCCGTAGCTCACGCCTTGGACCGTGATATAGCGCGTGTCAAGGCTAGAAAGGCCGTGGAGGTAGCAGATTGACCATGTCGACATTGGCGTCATCGACTTGATCTTCATCCTCCATAAGGATGAATCCATTTTGGCCCTCCTCGACGACCTCGCCAAAAAGCCCAAGCAGCTGTGCAATTGTAGCACGGCCGCCGTGTGTCTCTGGGCCAATCGCACCCGTGACCTCGACGTCCTTGCGATCCTGCATTGCTATCAATTCCTCGTCAATGGTATCTTTGACGACGAAGCGGAAGACCTCAACTTTTCGTTTTTGCCCAATGCGAAATGCGCGACAGTACGCCTGTGCTTCGATGGACGAATTAAACCAAAGATCGAGGATGACAACTTTAGAAGCCATGTTGAAATTAAGACCAACACCACCGGCTTTAAGACTGAGGATCATGATGGATGTGTCCTTGTCGTAAGTGAACTGGTTGATTGCTTTCTCGCGTGCGCTGAGAGACGTTTTGCCTGTGAACTGAACATGAGCCCATCCTTCTGCTTTGAAAACCTTTTCCAAGAGGCGAACTGTATCCAAAAATTGTGTGTAGATGAGGATCTTCTCATTTGGGGAGTCTTTGCGCCAATTCAAAACAGCGGCTTTTGTTGCCCTCAGCTTGGCAGAAGAGAGCGTTACACCTCCCAGCTCAATCCAATCTCTATCGTCGTCGTTTCCATCTTCAGAACTGACGGAAGCCCTTTCATTTCGAGAACTGCCACTGTTCGGTTTGTCCTTGGCATTTTGGACTCTTTTGGCAACGTCTTCGCTGTTGAAGCCAAGCTCCTGCAGTCCGGTGCATGGCGAAGTGGACTCAAAATTGGCTCCGCATTCAATACAAGAGACCTTATTCTCCTTTTTCATTACGCGCTCAAACTCCATTGTACTAAGGCATTCCTTGCAATAGACATGGAGACAAGAGGTGCAGAATGGCTCATCGGGTGGCAGTTTGCATTTGCTGCAAATTGATCTGAGGTGCAGCTCAGTCCAGGCCTGTCCCTGAGTGAGTTCTTTCAGAAATCTTCGAAATTTGAAGTAGATACCAAAATCACCGCCTCTGTCAAGCACTTCCTGCCGATCACGACCCAGAGCTTCAGGACCGGCCACATCTGTTTCGGTGGACTGACATGTTGCGATAATGTTGGATTTAGATTGAATCATCTTTCGGAGGACGGAGATGATGGTGCCCTGACCATCTTCAGGGTGAGGCTCCACCTCCTTAGCTGTCAACCGCCACAAGACTTCCACGTCTGCAGCAGTCAATGTTTGCTTCAATAACTTCTGACAGAGGAGGACATGGTTGCATAGCCTTCTTAGGTGGTGAATCATGGCTAGGATATTGCTGTACCCGCCATTGAGTCCGCCAGACCTAGACATCCTGTTGATATCCTGCGAGAATTTTCGCTTCACGGTGTTGTAAATCGCTCTCTCCACCTCATTAAACTCTACCTGGTATGTTATGTGAGAGATACCAGGCAGCTTGACAATGGGGGCATTGAATATGGTGTCAACGTGGGTACGCCTTAACATGATCGCTCGTAAGATGTTGTGAATTCTGCTCATATTCACTGGTTCTCTGCCCGAGCGGTTTTGGCAATAGTTATGGCGAAATGTAGTGTAATCACCAGTATGGGGAACTTTCAGGAATGAGAAATATGGGAATAGTTCCTCAATATAATTCAAAATTGGCGTTCCAGTGATTGCCCATCTGAATGTTCCAGTCAGAGCACGTACCGCCATGGATGTCTTGGAAAGGTAGTTCTTAATTTGATCTATATCTGGTCAGTTTTGGGCAGCTCTGCCGCAACAGAAGACTTACGCGCTTCATCCAAGACAATGCGGAGGTATTTAATGCGATGTATCGGCCCGACATTTTCCATGTAGAATTTTTGCCACCAAGCATTCTTCCCTTCTTCGGAGACCAAATGCTTGGGAGGTTCACAAGCTGGGTAGCTCCTCTGCACTTCGTGATACGTCGTGAGAATGATGTCATATTGCTTTAAGTCTGCCACGAGGTCATTGCTGTGAAGACGAGCACCCGAATGGTAGCGTATGATTCGGGCGATGTTCCCAGGTTCGACATGCTTCTCAAGCTCCAGCATCCATTGATTTAAGAGACAGGCCGGCGCAACAATAAGAGTTGTTTTGACGGGATCATTGGCTTCGGCCTTCCCGTCGAGTATATTGGCACTGTAAAACGTTAGCTTTTGCAACACGACTAGCCTTTGTGATCGCGAGTCTCACATCATTTGAATGGTCTTTCCAAACCCCATTTCGTCACAGACCATCCCGCCGAACGGCCTCTGACCACCATTCTCGCGGTCCCGTAAGAAAGCAGCACCAAGAAGCTGGTGGTGATAGAGAGATGATCTCATACCTCTCAGTTTCCAAGCACCCTGACCATCAGACCTGACGGCACCACGGCCTTTGAATTTCTTGGTTGCGTCCCGCACCGCGGCCCTGTCAGAAGCATGAGCTCCATTCTCAGCCGAGGGTATACTTGCGATAAGCTCTTGGAGGGCTGTAGTTTTGTTCTTGGAACAGAAGGTTGGCATGTCCGGTTTATCAGCATTCGCCTGGGCTTCTTGGATGATGTTTGATCTTCCGAGGCTGCTCAAATTGCTGAGAATTGGTTGCTTAGTTCGCTTCTTGGCCGGTTTGGATGGACCATCCTTTGTGACTCTCTTTTTCCTGGGTGGTGCCTCGCTACTAGATGCTGGAGCGCGCCGCTTTCTTGCCTGAGAAGGATTATTGCCCACTGCCATTGCCTCGCGGGTTTCCTGAGCATTCACTCGGTTTCGTGGCTTTGCGGGCGCTCTTGTCTTCTTCTTGGACGACTCTAGGCGATCCGGTGTCTCTGGAATGAATAGCGAATCCTCATCTTGGTAAGCAGAAACGGGTCCTTTCTGCGGGATCTGATCTTCATTTCGGCGCTGGCTTCGCTCCAAGTCGTTCAGTCGCTTCTTCTCCGCTATCTCTCTCATAATGAACCGCACAGAGTCCTCGTTGGTGGCTGTGCCTTTGGCTACCATCTTGTCATGCTTTTCTTTGAAACGTGCGAACTTGGCGGCTGCTCGATCACTTTTTATTCCTGTGTCTTCATCGAGTGCCGTGACCCAGTCGATCATGTCAGCGTCCTCACTCACCGCAGTGTTTGCTTGGGTGGCGTAGGAGCTGTTCTTGTGGGGTCCACTGTCCTTGTCATTGTTGTGAGAGTCGTGAGAGTCAGAATTCTGAAGGTTGTACAACGTGATAGCCCGTTCTAGGACGAGATCAGCGTCTTCATCTATCGCGATCTGAGCTTGGGCGACGTGAGAGCTGTTCTGATGTGTTTCACTCCCCCGGTCGTCATTTCCATCATCAAAGGAAGACTTGTTCATGTTGTACAATTTAATAGCTTCTTCGGGAGTGAGATCGTCAATGCCATCGCCATCGCCATCGCCCGGTAGCTCTATGTTTGGAAGTTCAGGAAGTTCAGTACTTTGGTGAGGGCAGGTGCTGTCTTGTGCCTCAAAATTTTCGTGGCAGTGAGTTTGAAAGAGGCTCGTGCCGAAGATGTTGTCGGCCTGGCGATCTGCAAGAGACTCATCGACATGGCTCGTCGCGTTGCAGATGGAATCTGAGTGAGCTTGCGCTGCAATAACTGTAGGAATGGATTGCAGATCATCGTTGGAGGGTGTGAATGCAGCGGTCGAGCCAAAGAGGCCAGACGCATCAGAGGCAATTCCAAGCTTATCAGAATCATCGTCTGTGGCCTGAAGGCCGCTCTGATCTGTACCAAGCTCAGCCGAATTGCTGGAGGGAATAGTTGTAGACAGTGCAGGACTGGGAGGCTCTTTGTGAGGCAGCTCAGGTTTGAGGTTCTGGCAGTGCTCTCTGAATTCAGTGAGACCGGGATTGGGCATGTTTCCCATCGGTTCGACTTTGATCGCTGGCTGTAAAAGAACAGCATCTTCGAGGGGTACGCAGGTGTCCTCCTCTTCATCCGAGTCGCAAGCGAGATCAATGATCACGGGTGCTGGATTCCGGGGTGTTTCGTGTGATGCCATAATGGTAATCCTCGGGGAATAGAATGCAGATTTGAAGCAAGCAAAAGGACAGAAAAGTGCGACGATGTCTGAGAGGTCTTCGATATGCTGCCTCGTCGGGCTGGGCCAAACTAGTCAAGACAACAAACAGATAAAATCAAAGACGGCGATGACGGGGAAAATGGAGACACGTTATGGAAGCAGATAGTCAAAGGGCAAGGTATAGTTGCGATGGTAAAGGAAACCCCAGGAGTTGAAGGGCGGTGAGTGGCAAGTAATTGCGATGGAGGAGAACGAGAGATTTATATCGACAACGAGTGATGCTGTGTCTCGCACATGCAAGAGAGTGGGATACCTTAGGAAGTGAAGACGCGAGTAGGGCGCACAGAGTTACCTAGGGAGGTGAAAGGGTCCAAAACGACGAATTGATAGTCGATGTAAGGTGACGTCTTGTGATACGTGAGTTGGCATGAGGGTTTGAGATAGAGTGTCTGGCCCAGGGTCACGGTGTGTATAAAACGGGGAGGGAGCCCTTTTACAGATTTGATAACAGCGAGCGCCAGGGAAGAGTTGGGAAGAATGTGGACTTGCTCGAGCCATATTTGAAGGCGACAGAGTAGTGGCAGCTGTGGTTAATCTTCTGCTTCTCCTTCTTGGTGCTGGTGTTGTTGCTGTTCTGATGGTTTCTCTCTGACAATTGCCAGTGGCTCCTTCCTCGAGTGACTTACCTGTTATCCTTCTTTGTTTAGGAAGGAAGTGGTTGTCAAGGAAGGAGCCATCCTGACTCTGATTCACGACGAGAAAGAGCGACCTCCACTCCTCAATCGATTGGCCATCTGAAAAGGAGTCTGCTCAGCGAAGATATACGCCGTCTGCATAATATACACGATGGCTGCAGTGGTAAGAACGATAGCCGTTATCCCTGCACGATGGTCGGTCGTCACCTACTCGGTCGACGTCAAATGCAGGACACGGCGTATTCCAGGTTGTGATGGCAGGCGACTGAATCGGGAAGGAGCGACCCTCGGCCAGCCCAAACAGGCTTAGCGCCAACCACTGACCGCAACTTGGGGGGATCTGCTGCGCATGTATCCGAACAATGCCATGATCCCTGTCGCTCTCCCTCGCTCGCTCCCTCTGCCCTTTGCTCCTCTTTGCTACGAGTAATTAATTGATAATTATGGCAGAATTCGGAGAGACGACACTGCGCTTTGACTCGCCCTGACCTGGAATGCGGATGAGGCCCGCAAACCTACCAAAGCCGAAAATTGCACTCACTCTTATACTTCGCATCCAACATTCTTCCTCTTCCACCCTCCCTCTTCCCTTCCCTCCATCCTGCTCGAACATCGACATCAGGACCATGTATTATCCAACTGCTACCTACCGGCAAAGCCGCCCCTGCTGCAGTGCTAACCTATCCCCCTGCGACCACCGCTCCCTTCGCATCGGCGCCGCCCCTCCGCCCCTCCACCCTCATCGCACTTCGTACTGAGCTTCCTCTGAATCGCTTTCTCTTGTGGAGATGCTGGGAAGGCTGATCCAAGGCTACTCCAGGAGCAGCCAGCTCGAGAGCGCCACCGACGAGACCCATACCCGTACTCTTCTTTGGCCCGAGTTTCAATCCCCAGATGGACGCCCAGCGTCCTCAGTCTCACCGCCTACCACCCCCTTTGGTTCCCCGACTCTCCGTGTCTCTCCCTTCGATGACAAGGCTGGTTTGGAGCTTAACGAAACAAAAGATCTGAGGCTTATAATTGCCCAAGATGCCTTTGGCACCAACGACCGTCCTCTCCTCCTATTTGACTCTCAGTCCTCCGATCCTCCCGCTGGTGCACCTGAATCCGTCTCTAACAATCGGAGCAACACGTCTCCCCTGACCTCAGCACTGGGACCACGCGCAGAGCCTGGAATTCCCATCAACGGCCATATCAGAAATAGAAGTTCCACCATCTCCGGGGCTTCTGCCTCTTGGATTCGTTCCAGCAAGGAATCGGACAGTACCGATCACCTCGGCAACATTTTAGATTGCATGTTTGGCGTTAGTAGTGCTACCAAGACCGAGTCCAGCACCAAAATGCATCTTCTACCAGGAGACCAAAATGCGAACGGTGACCTTGGCCCGCGTACCCATTCCCATGTCTCAGGTGGACCGACGATGCGCGCTCCCTTTCTGCGGGCAAAGACAGCAACTCATACGATACAGACTCAGCGTCAACATGTGACTGTGAAAGACTCTGATACAGAATATCGCGATGCAATCCTGATCACTCGAGTTTTTGCCATTACTCTCCCAGATGCTCAAGAGGATATTCGCCAACACCGAACCTCATCTGCTGACAACTCCGATGGTGCAAGACCTACCCTTCAAGCTCAGGATCAACATGAATTGCCTGGTTCCTATCTAAAGAAACCCAAAATTGTGGAGAAGAAGACGCCTGTATTTGCCATAGGCCTCCTATGCTATCTTCCCAATGGTGAGGTTCGACCAGGAACTTCGAATGCTAGACCATCCTCAAGAGCATCCTTCACTCCTTCGGGAACTCCAAACTCATACGGTTCAGAGTCAATGTCTTCCTGGACCTTTCTCAATGCTATCCCTGAGCACCTTATGTCTTCCGAATCGAGCGGCGCTCTGACCGACAAAGGTGTCGATGTCATTGTTAAGAACTGGGATGTCATTCTCCGCAGTCTGGGCGTTGTAGAGAAGATGGCTCGTGCGGATATTGCTCAGTTTCTACAGCAAGTCAATCTTGCCATCATCTCATCAGTCGCAAAGGCCCCGAAAGGCCCGTCCGAACAGCGCACCAATCAGCGTAACGTCTACCTTCGCACTCCAAATATCCTGAGCCAGATCACTCCTTTGAATCGTCTAGTGAAGCAGACCTTGTGGAGAGTCTGTTACGCTTTTCGTGTGCCACGCGTTCTGACTGGGTTTGGCCTCGAGAATGGCGGCCACTGGCTTGACGAAGCTCGATATCTTGTGCGCATCTCTGGAAACAAACCGCAGAACTTTTTCCTCTTCAATCTCTTGACCGCATTTCTTGGAAGTCATACCGAGTGGCTGGAGCGGCTCGGTCCAGATTGGTACCGTCGACAGTTCAAGGCCATGAACAGGGGCAAATCTCGCCCAAGCAATCTTGCATCGCGCACTGTCATAGTATGCGACAATCGCTCGACTGCCCGTCGTTTCATCTTTCTGCTCGCATCCTTTCTTCCGCGATCGCATGCTCTCAATTTTCTAGCGAGGACTGGTCCAGATTTTGTATCACCACTTCTCACACCCGATGTTGTGTCTACTTCTCCGGCAATCAAACCGATGTATGAAGGATCCATTCGTCGCCATGTTCATGGCAAATCGAGAGACAGTGGTCTGACGTTTCCCCGTCGGGATGTCAACGGGTTGTCCACCAGCGTCTCATCCAACGAAAGTCTCGGAGGCATTGGTAAAGCGATCAGGAATAGTTCTCGTTCTAATCATGTCCGCGAAGACCTGCAGGAAGGACTTGACAAACCCCCATCTCTCTTCGCTGCGAGTGATGGTTTCAACCAAGGACAGAAAACTGTTGCAACCAGCTCAACGGCTACCCCCAGTGCCAGTACCCCCGTCCCTCATTTCGCATCTAAAAGCGACAGCTACTTCCCTGAGAATGTCATCGCTGATGAAGAAGAAAGCGGAGCAAGTGCAGATCTTGCTCGCATTTTGCGAAGGGACAGCAGTAGCTACAGTACTAACAATCAAACCTCGATCAAATGGGGCTCTCTGATCAGCAATGTCAGTGGCCTCTGGTATCGGAAGTCTGACTCGGCAGTCCAGGAGAATGAACGTCTGTCCCCGCCAGCTGCCAGAGACAGTCTTCGTGACCGTCGAAGCCTAGCTCCAAGATCGGTCCCTATCCAGCCTCGTCACCACAGCCCTTTAAAGACAATGGTGGACGAAGTTGGCGATCTCCAGGCTCAGCAAACGACACGCAAGGACGATCGATCTTCGATTGCTACTAGACGCCTTTCGGGAGCTAATGACGTCCCCGCACCTAATCTTACCGTAGATGATAGAGATGGCGTAGTTGATGTCGATATCAATCTCCCCGGATTTATAGGGTGGGCAGATCCTAAAGGCCTCTCGATTCCAACATCATCACATCATCGCTCTCCATCCGTGCTTAGTGATGAAATCGGCTCATCTTATAGCTCAAGATCAGCGCTTCCTGACAGCATTGGGACGAAGACCATCCGCGTGGGTGGATACTTAAGGCGATATCATGAAGATTTCAGTCTTCAAGGTGTGAAACCCTACGCAGAACTTCAAGATGAAGTTCGGCAGAGCATGTCCCGAGAATTAACGCCGATCGGCGACGTTCGCAACCCACTGCTAGAGGAGACAACAGTCCATGGTGGCCAATGGGTTAACGTGTGTACTACGCTACTTGCTGATTTGCGCACATTCACAATACAACGCCTTACTCTCCGGCGCAAAGTAGGTCATCACGATGGCCCCCTACCAGAAAAAGGCTGCCCCGAAGCCCATCGAAGAGCTTCCCAGGTTTCAATCAACGATAATGTGGAAGATTTCGTTGTTGAAACAGTGATGGACTTTGATACAACCCTTACAGACGCGATCGAGCGAGTATTGACCGAGACAGAGCAGCCAGCAGTGAAATCAGTAACACCCTCAAGAACGCACTCAAGAACTGTGTCTACCGGAACAACAGACTCTCTAAAATCCGGACCTTTAGAGATTTCAGGGCCTGGAAAAACCCGTGATTGGGGTCGTCCTTCTATACTCTCCCAATCTGACTGCCGCCAAGTTGTGGTTGGAGCGTTGGAAGAAGTGGTCAGGAGCGTAAATGATGATCTCACTAAAAATCATCGAGATACCAGCGGTAAGGTCGATTTGAATGGTAAAGCCATGAAACAAGTGACGAAGCAAGACAACGTCCTGCGCGAGGGTGTCAAGAAATGGCTCTTGAATGTTGAGACGAGGAGTGTCTGGTGATTGGATCCATTTGTATAGATGATGCGTGATGATCTGACGACTTTGGTGCGTGTGAGGACTTTGTCACTATGTGCAGGTGCTGGCGAAGATACCCTTTGGACAGACTAGATGTATTAGTAGGCGATTAGAAGATAGACATGAGTGTAAGCAACAATTGACTGATTTTCCCTTTCGGACAATTGTTGTCCGGTGTCAAAGGTTCGGTGCCGGGGTTCTCCGGGAGGACCACGTGATATCACGTGATTGTGCTTGGCTGGTTGCTCCTATCATGTTGCACCAACTGACACCACAAGAACTCGTCATGATGATTCGCGTGTACCTCCAGGGCGGTGCTATCGATGAGAATCTCACGGCATGCGACACAGCTTCCTGCGACTCTAGCCTGGAATGTAAGACTCTTTCCAGCCTTCCTGTCCGGAAACTATGACCGTGCGGCTACTTCACGCCGTAAAGCGCGGCAAATCTACATTCGGGCTTGCTCCGTCAATGTCAACTCTCCCAAAGGAAGATAGTGTTGCGCAAGGAGATCATGTCTACCTATACATCTGATGCTAAACACCGTCGAACAAGCAGTGGGTCGACTGTTCGAGCTCGCTCTGGTCTTCCTCCTCTGCCCAACCATGATGTCCGTCCAAACTCTTCACCCCTCTGCATACGGGCCACTTTGTGGGTCCATGATGACAATTTCTCTTCGGAAGATGTCCTGATTCATCAGTCTCTTTTTGAGGGTACGGAGATCCAGGAAGGCAGCTTGATTGAAATTTATCCGGTACAAGGCTCATCCGATGTTCGGGATTTCCAATCACCCAATGGTGAGAACGATGACTCGAAACGCAATCTGGGGCCCGGCCTTGACAACGATTTAAAAATCGATAAGGATGCACGTTATCTTTGCGTGGTCAAGTTTGCACACGCCGAATTGAAGGCAAGGCAAGGCCTCCAACTATCAATCAAGAACAACATCGCGGCCGCGTTTGGCCTACGGTCGAGATCAGATGTTGCCATTTCACCAGCTTCGTTGGAAGAATGTACCGCATCGCATGTCGAACTGGGGTTCCGAGACGCGTATCTTTCAAGATCGGACATGTGGCGACTAGTGGGACAAGAGCTCGCCGGCAAAACTGTCTATGCTGGTCAGAAGATCAGTTTCTTAAGCAGCATCAAGCTCACAGTCAAATCTATACATATTCAAGGCCATAAAACTCCAACTGCATATTTTTCTGGTTCAACAGTCCCAGTCTTCCGTAGCGAGGCAGCCCGCTATATTCTGTTCATTCAGATGTCTAGCGAGATGTGGGACTTCGACTCCGAAGGCAATGGGGAGATCATGTTCAACCGAGTAATCAATGGTTTCTTACCTGACCTTTTCAAGCGTTGGACCGAGCTAGATGTTCATCATCTTGTTAGTATTGTCCTTTTCGGGCGGCTCGAATATGATCGTTTCGATCTCGCTAGAAACAAGGATAGAAGGCTTGAGATGACAGCGGAGTCTGGTGCACCAAATATGACCGCTCGTCAGTATCAAGACTTCTACAGAGTTGTTGTTACAGATATGGCCAGTGCTCAGTGGACAATCATTCTGAATGAGATAAAGAAAGACTTTCGTGTCTTCCTCAGAGATATCTCTTTGCACACCGCAAACTCCGGAGGACTCGAGTCCGAGACAAAGAAACCTCAACCCATCAAAATTGCTGGAAGACCGAGCACAGCTCTGAAGGGCAACATTCTGGAAGCAATCAACATTGCTTGCTCCCAATTTGCTAATGACTATGTCGATAGAGATCTGATACGGACTGGGGTTTCCATCGTTGTCATTACCGCTGGTACGGGAGTATTCGAAGTCAACAGAGATCTCCTCAACCTCACCTCCGAGACGCTCACTAACAACGGCGTGGGAATCGACGTTGTTTGTCTTTCCAGAATGCCGCTGCACTCTGTACCATTGTTCAAGTACAGAACGCCGGGTATTGAGGATAAGTACCTGCATCCCACAATAGCAGAACATGGTTCCAGTCCACGAAGATCCGGTTCAGGCCCCAATTTTTATGATTCTAGCCAACCTCGGAAGCTTTCTCCCGCCATCTCCTCAGTTACTTCGAGCGGTACTCATTACATGGCGAGCTACATGTCCACGCAAACTCGTGACAGCGTCCATGGGTGGTGTTATGGAATTCCTCAGTGGATCGATCTGTCCTACTGGTCAGCTGAACCAGAAAACGAGGACCATAAGTTACCCGGAGAGGACTTGCGTGAGAAAGTCGGCATCAAGAAGCCCAAAAAGGGTCGGTTCCAACCACGCGTGCGGATGTATGAAATCCAAATGATGGGTCTCATGGAATTAGGTCTGGCTGATATGACCATTCCATACATGAGTGAAACTCAAAATCCGGCGATGAAACCCATGAATCGCAGAAAGTCTAAAAGTAGTAGACATGCAAGTGGGAGTAGGAGCATTTCCCATTCTCCAAGTACGTCACGCAATATCCGTCCTGGGATGGAGACATCGCGCCCAGTCCAAGGGCTTCTGTCAAGCCATACAAAGGCGCTGGGTGATATTTTCGACCGCATGGACCGTTATGACTTGCAATTATTCCAAGTGCAGGATGGCCTGAAGGGCATTTCCAAGAAATCCAAAACCCTTCCGACCAATGCCAGGACGGTAGCAGAATCGACACCCTCCACAAATTCCCGAAGTCCTTATCATACCGGCCCACCAGCGGCATTGACTTTGTCCAAAGCTATTACCAACAAGCCGCTGAATACACCTTTCAGGCCACAACTTACATCCTTAATATCAAGAGACGCGACAACTTCTGCCCTAAAGAAGGTCAGGAGTCCTGAAACGTCAAAGGTCAACCGGACTCTCAATTACTCCCTGCGCGGGCTTGCCCCTCCTGTCCGTGCGTCTGCAAGCACAGAGGTCAACATCACGAATGCTCAGGCACTTCCACTGTTTAGCAATCCAGGACACTCACGGCCCACAGTAGCAACATCAGGTACCAGTATTCGCTCAGTTTCCATGAAGAACACCTTCACTGAGGATGACTTCGGAGATTACTCACCTGGAGATAAGTCGTCCATCTTGACATCGACTAGAATTGATGACACACCCTCGAAGCCAATCCAGATCAACAGTACGATTCGCCGACAGCATGATGATGATAGAATTGTTACTCCTCAAAAGTCAAAACAACAGTCACGAGAAATTCCGACGACTCTTAGTCCAAGAGAAGAAGCCCTACGTGATGATCGAGATTCGGAATCAGCCTCGGGCAGCATCTCCGACAGTGGAAGCGCACGCGATGATGATAGCGCAGGACGTGCTGATAGCTGGGTTCTGACCTCGGTGGCAAGCTCCATTACCAGAAGTGATTTACCATCCATTCGAAATGTAAACGCATCAAACCCATTAAAGCGACATCCTGAGAGAGCAACACTGTTTGGTCGGTGGCAACATCTCTATCCACGAAGACCCCGAGCTGCGACAGTAAAATGGCGGTCGCTTTGTACACCTGCAGCTGTGCCACTGACGACCGAAGACTTTCCTTCGAGGTGTGACCTGGATACTGAATACGAGCTGACGAGCTACGATGTAACACTTGAAAATCCGAACGATATGAAAGAAATCCCACAATCACGTGACACTCTTCTTCGAGAAATGCTTGCCTTGAGGTTTGCACATGGATACCAACTAGTGGTTGGCTCAAACTTGGTAGAAACTGTCGGACCTGGAACATGTGACACCTCAGCTTTCTTCACTCCTGATATCATCCGCCCGGACGGGTCATTCATTTTCATGTCTATGGGTAACACGATACAGAGACTATCGCTTCAGGACGCTGATCGGATTCGTGTTACAAAGTACAGACGCCGCCCTCGAGTTGTTCAGCCTCCATTCCCCACCCAGGTCAGCTATCATCCAAACATCAGGACAATTCTCTCGGAGTCATATAAGATCCGTGACATGCTATTTGACGGGCATCGGGAGCACTATCCTTGGGAAGAGGCAGACAGCTTCTTGGGTGATGTCAAGAATCAGACAGATCCGGACGTCAAAGCCTTACGTTTCTGGCGTGCTCGGTTTGTCCTTATTCCAGTTCAACCACCTACCAATTCTTGGAGGCCGACAACATCCGAGAGCGAAGAGACTGAAGAAGAAATTCATTTACGAGGAATTCGTGCTCTTACTCAGATGTGGCAAAAGGGTCGGTACATCGCCCCAAATGAAAGACGCCCCGCGCACAATAGAGTAAATTCAATGAAGCGAAAGGATAAAAATCCGCTCCGAATAACACTGGAGACTCTGAACCCTTCGGAACTGGTGGCAACAGAGCTGGACAAACTCTTCACTGCGGAGGAATCTGGCGAGATTCAGGCTACACAACTCCTACCAGAAAATGAACAGTTTGATACGAAGACTTTCAAATTATCCAAGCTGGCACAAGCTCTGCAAGGCGATAGAGGCATCGAGATAAAGAACAGACGTTGGCACCTTCGTCTGCATTACAGCTGCTTTCAAGGGGAAGATCTAACAAACTGGCTTGTTCACAACTTTCGCGATATCGATACACGTGACGAAGCGGTAGAATTCGGAAATGAGTTGATGAAGGAGCCTGATGAGCTTTTCGAGCACGTCAACAGCCGCCATAAATTCAAAGACGGCAACTACTTTTATTCGATCAAGCCTGAGTGGCGAGCTTCTCGCCCGGAGGCTAGACAGTCATGGTTTGCTGGCGCAGGTCGAAAGTCCGACCGCTCTATGCCTCCGACACCATTGACTGAGTACGGTAGTCGAGACATTCTCAGTGGTCGATCCCGCTCAGGATCAAATTTGCACAGTCAAGCCCAAGTCTCGTCTGAGCTAGCGAAGTCCTTTGGAGAAAAGAAACGACGTTCGATTACTCTTAGTAAAATGATACGGATCGACGTTGACCCGCGCAAACGGTCTAGTCACCCTGAAATCATCTATCTCCATTATGATCGTCTCCACAACCCAGAGAATTGCTATCATCTCGAACTTCAATGGCTAAACGTCACTTCGAAACTCGTTGATGACGCAATCGTGTCCTGGACGACGCAGGCGGAAAAATATGGTCTCAAGCTCGTGGAGGTCCCCATAGCGGAAGCAAGCAAAGTGCCTCTCCATGAGCCTTTTCGAGCCTACTACCGCATCTCGCTCGCGCTGGAGCCACCGCAGCGCAGCTCTGGCGCCGTATCTTTTTCTACAGTGTACTTCACTGCAACTTCATTCACCCCACAAGCCACACCTCCAAATGCCGATATTCATATCTACCAGAAAGCACTCCTCAAGCGCTTCAATTTCGTTCTCGACCTCGAAGCGGTGTCTGAATTTCCCGAAAATGTGGAGATTAGGTATTCTTGGGGTCGACTTGACTACCGATACACGCAATTTGTGCACCGCTCCGGCGTCGTTCTCGCACAGATCACGGATACAGGGGATATCTTGTTGCTAGCCAATCGTCTTTATAACTCGCGATTGTCTGCAGCGAAGGATGAGAGATCTCGATTTGAAAATCTAAAGAAAGAAGGAACTCCCAATGCGAGCAAGGAGGGTCTGCTGTTAAGGCCACAGTTGACACCAAATCAAAGCCAGAGCAACGGAGGTGGGTCTTTTGGTCCAACGAGCATGTCGGCCTCAGGCATCATCGCACTAAACGTAGCAAGCCCCCGATCAGGACCATTCGCCAGCCCACTCGTCAAACCAATCAACACTGCGCTCGGTTCCGCGACCAACAGCAATTATAACGGAGTATCATCCTCATCATCGTCAACCACGCCCGCCACAGCAGGAACAACAATTGCCGCCGGCAACATCACCACAACAGGTACCACTCCCGGCGGCATACTGGCAGACACATTCGGATCGCGGCGCGCACTCGTGGCCTCGGGATTCTCGCACTACGTAACGCCCGAACAGATCAAAGACGACCTCGAGACGTTCTGCAACGACAAAAACCGCCTCGAAGCCTTCTACCGCGAAGTCACCGCCACGCTCCCCCAATCCGCCGCAGCGACAGGTACACCGGGAGGGGTGGGCCCGCTGCCGACCTCAGCCAACTCCATCGGCGAAAAACGCAGATCGGGCGGCACAAGCAGCAGCATGCTTCGCCCGATTCGCGAGCCGCCCAATGGTGAGGATATTGCCATTCCTGAGCTCAACTTGCCCGAGGCTGTTAGTGCACATTTTCCGAGGAGGGGTGCTACGAATTAGAACAGATGGAGATGTAATTATGTCCTGTATTTAGCTAGATTCAGCCTTGTTGGGGGGGTGGGGGGGCACACGAGGGATTGCTCATGGGAGCGTGAGTTGTGAGAAAGGAAAGACCGACAGAGTTCGAGATCTCGATTGCCTGGGTTTAAATATTGTCGAGGTTTTCAATTATGACCAGGACCCGGACCAGGACTGTAACTCTACCTGTATAACTGTAATTCGCTACCTAGCTCTCTTCTCGACTGTTCCACCAGCTAACTACATGATGCCTGTTAACGCCATATGAGATGCGCCCAGATGTGGCCACACTATCTCTGCATGCTCTGGACGCCCCTGAATGCATCCAACTCCGATCTTTTGCTTTTGGCCTGGCTATGGTCGTTGAGGGACGGAATGGAATGCTATGAAATGCTGATTCAGTGGAGCGCTACTGTTTAAACTGCAATGGAAGCGGGTTTTCTTACTGGAAGCAACCCTTGGCCCCTGCTTTGGATGCTTGCATAGCTGGTTATCAATCCATCGTGACGCTGCCACTGCGCAGCCTGTTGGCGAGATTCCCCTCGAGTGGAAAGGAAACGAATGCCAATCGATGCATGGGAAGCTTTGTAAGAGTCCGCGGCGATATAAATTTGTCACTTGACCTGTACTAGATTTCCTTGTTTGGCATAGCACTGGATCTCCGTTTATTGGTGACAATGCTTGTGCCAATCGTCAATCTTTCAGATGGATGGGTCTACCGCCAATTCAGATCAAAGCTGGCCCTGCGACTTCGCTGGCGGCGCAGGCTACCTGCTCGCGGCAGGGATCCAGCAAGACTGTTGGATGCGCGCGACATGCTCCTTGTCGTGGTGCGAGAGATTATGGCCCCACTGTTTGAGCCGATTTCATCGTCGTCATTGAGCCGACCGGTCCGGCTGAGTTGTGCTTCTGGATCGTCGCCTTCGTCGCCGGCTTCCTCGTCCTCTTCATCAATGGCATCGAGGAGATCTCCGTCGTCCTCGTATTCCACGGCGACCTGGTCTCTTGCGTCTAGGAGACTGAGGGGCCGAACGGGGCCTGCTTCTTGTTCGTCTCCTCTTGCTTCGTCCTGACCGTCAAAGGCCCCGTTCCGTCCTTTATCGTGGGACTGCAGGCGCGGCACCTTGAGCGGCCAAATGAGCACGATACTGACGAAGCTGACTCCAATACACATCAGGAACGTCATTCTCAGGCTCGCTGAATACGCGGCGATAACCTGCCTTTTATGTTTGGGATCGAGATCTCGAATCGCGGCAATCGATTCTCTCACTATCTTTATGATCCAGGCCTTTTGTGCCGGGTCGGCACTCGTGACATACTCCTGGAGGAACAAGATGAGCGAGTTTTGCATTACCCAGGAGCTGATAGCCACGCCGAGAATGGCACCTAAACTGCGAAGTAGACCTAGTGTTGTCGTGACAACAGCCTGTTCGTCCTGGGGGTTTAGTGCTAGCACAGCGATGCTAGTTGGTGGGAAGAAGAAACCCTGTCCTATGCTGCAAAATGGAATAAGCACCGGGATCGCCCAAGTTGGAATTTCCGGGGACAGGCAGGTGGTCGTCAGTATGGAACCAAGGAAAACCACAATCGTTCCAAGCGTCATAGGTGCTTTCATGTTGCGGGTAATTGTGATATAGTACCCGACGAAGATGGCGGTGATACTCACGCCTGCTAGTGGAGCAAGCAAGTAGAGTCCTGAAGTGGTAGGACTTGTTTGGCGCACTGCTTGGAGATACAGTGGGATATTGAACAGCACCGTGTTGATAACGATGGCTCCGAAGAAATTGGACCACATCAGACTTCCATTCGGGTTTGTAGAAAGCAGAGGGATTGGAAGCATGGGGTACTCAGCCTTTCGTTCGATGAAGTAAAGTGACAGCGCAGCTACCAGGAAGAGTACAAGGCTCGTGATGACGAGAGGATGAGACCAGGTGAAGACATTACCTCCGAGATTGACACCGAGAATCAAGCAGGTTGTGGTGGCAGTGAGGCACATTGCACCATAGGTATCGAAACTAGAGAAGGTTTGCCTGAGAGTCTTGCCACTATTCTCGGCCAAGTTGGGCCCCAACCCAGAGGGACATGAAGCGGCAGCCAGGATGGCGAAGAGAATGATGAATGGGAGTTGTGAATAAAAAGCCATCCGCCAGCCAAAGCGATCACACAACCAACCTCCAAGAGCTGCGCCGAGACCAGTTCCCAGTCCATATGACATGTTGAAATAACTTTGATAGATGCCACGATATTCGATTTTGACTATATCACTGACCAAGATACCGCCCATGGACATAACACCTCCGGCACCAAGTCCACAAACGGCTCGAGCAGCAATGAAGCTTCCGAGGTCAGGGGCAGCACCACACCAGGCAGTGCTTGCAAAGAACATGAATATTGCGAACATGTACACTGACTTCCGACCGATGGTATCACTTATCCGTCCATAAAGAGGTTGAAAGACGGTCGAAGTTAGGAAGAACACTGTGCTGAACCAGGAGGCAGCATTCGAAGCGTGAAAGTGTGATGTGATGACAGGATGTGCACTGGCCATCAAGGTCGAGTCGAAGAAAGCTATCATGGAGCCAAAGAGAATACTGACAAGGAGGAATTTGAACCTTGTTCCATTTATTGGACCACGGTAATGGACTGGAGAATTCTTTTCATCGGAAGTTGGTGTTTGGGGTGACTGCTTGGACAGTAAAGTTGTGGTTTCCGTCATTTGGCGCTCTCTTGGACTGTGGATTCCATGGTTTGCTGGGGAAGAATCCCGACCAGCGTGCGATGGAGACATTTTCGGTACTTTTGTTTGACTCAGTAGATGGGATACCCCGCTGACGAATCAAAGAAGATTGGCAAGACCTGTGCTGTGTGGTGCCATTAAAGCTTTTGTATATCGAGAGATTAGTTCGAGAAATGTCCTTTAGTTGGCTGATTCCTCAATGGTTTGGATTAATTCAACGACTCGATAGGAAGGCAAGGTTGAGAAGCTGGCACAGTTGAGGAACCGGTGTGAGATGGCGCGCGAGTCCTCTTGCAACAAGCTTGACGACGCTAGTAGTGGAGCACAATGCCACCAGGGAGATTGAACCTAGCACTGGGCGTTAGGAACCGTGTAACCTTTCTGCTTTGCGCCCATATGGTCTGTACTCCCAGCCAGTACGAGCATGTCTCGAGCAAAGCAATCGTGTGAATGTCGACCAACACGCTACCTCACAGGTGATCGATGAAAGATCGCTATTGCATGGATATCATAGAGGGACGAACGTTACCTCGCGAGGAAGGGGCTTTGATAATTAGTCACTGTTCGCTGCAGGATGCCTAGGGGTCTTGGTCTGCTCCTAACTTGACTCTAAGCAGAGGAGTAAGTGTGACGAGTGGTAGAAAATGGCCGGCTGCGTCGAAATGTAGTGTGGCGTGGTCCAATCGGAATACTCCGTCGGTACCGGGTATTGCGCCAACTCCTTCCCAAATGATTAGATTGGTGCCGTGCCTGCCCCGTGACCACCGACCAACCAGCACACACGAGATACGAGGTATGCTGTATTACCGTATTGCTATTAGATAAGCGGCGGAATTCGACGCCCTTTGAGTGAGGCTGTTATCAGATTTTCAATTCACTGCCAGGGTGACTACCATTCTCATTCCTGAAGACACCTAGCCACTTCGGAAGACATATTTAGAATACCCGATAGTTTAATCCCAGCAACGCAGCATGAACTTGAAACTCCCTTTACCACTTCGCATCGCCATTCTCGAATGCGATACACCTTTGCCAGCAACTAAAAAGGAGTTTCAAGGATACGGCGGGGTTTTTGAGTTCTTGTTAAGAACAGGAGCAAAGGCGCTCGATCGAGCAGATTTTGATGCAGACACCGGATTTGAATTTACGAGATGGCAGGTTGAGCTCGAGCCGGAAAAATACCCGGATCCTGAAAACATTGATGCCATCCTGATCACAGGATCAAGTGAGTTAAATCGCCGGCCTTTTCTGTGACTGAGGAACATCAAAGGGGAGGGCGGGGGCGGGCTCAGCGGACTGGGCAGACATAATATCATATCATGTCATGCTATAAAGCATACCATCACCTACCGGCCTTCAGACTCAATGGGAACTAACCAGATGACCGCTCATAGGACACGACTCGTTCGCCGACACACCGTGGATCAGCACCCTCGTCGGCTACGTGGCCAAGATCCTCAATAAGACCTCCGTTCGGGTGATTGGCGTTTGCTTTGGACACCAGATCGTCGGCCGAGCCTTGAAAGCTGGCGTGGGCAGAAACCCCGACGGTTGGGAAGCCGCCGTCAACGACGTCCAGCTCAGCGAGAAGGGGAGGGAAATATTCGGTGTTGATAAAATCGTAAGTCAGCCATCCCAATCTTTTCTCCCAAAAAAATCCCCTGTCCCGTCTCGTCTCTACGAGTGTTAACAAAGCCGACCTTACATCAGAGCCTTCACCAAATGCACCGAGACGTCGTGTTCGAGCACCCGCCAGGCGTGGAAGCACTTGGCTCGTCGCCCGTTTGCGCGGTGCAGGGCATGTACGTGCCCAAAAAACTCATCACCGTCCAAGGCCACCCGGAGTTTAACCAGGAGATCATGACGGAGATTCTTGAGACGCGCCACGCGACTGGAATCTTCGACGACGACGCTTTCAATGAACATTTCAAGAAGGTGGCTTTGCCCCATGATGGCGTCGTTGTGAGTCAGGCATTTTTACGGTTTCTGTTGGAAAGTTGAGAATTGAAGAAAAGTGCTGGGGCCTATGTCATCCCGCTTCACTGTGACTTGCGCCTTTGGAGTTTGGAATTTTGTTTTTTTGGCGATGCATAAATGAATGAGGTTGATTCAAACCGGGGTTGAAGCAGGGTGGTATGGGCAGCATTGGGGTGAGCATGACTGACAACGTTATTTCATATGAGAGTCTTCAAAGGAGGAAAATTTCTGTATGCAATCTGAATGTTTCATAGCATGTCGTTTCTGCAAGGCCATAAAGATAGACCTCTCTAATCTGGGTATTTTTATTACTCAACGCCCCTTCCTCCCTCTCGTTTAATACACTGAATCGAATCATCAGCAACTCGATGATCAGCCCTCCACCATCCACCAGTCAAAATCACGATACCATACGATCCGCATCCGCGGCACCAGCAGGGATCCTACCTTCCGCGAGATCCTTCTCGATGCGCGTAATATCAGCCAAACTCTTCGCATTCTTGATCATCTCCTGCACGCGCTTCTTCTCCGAGTCGGTCAACTGCGTGCGCACACCATTTCGCCCACCGGTCTCGTCTTTTCCATTTGCAGTCCCCGTCGTTGCGGCGCCACCACTGGCAGCCCCAACGTCAAATGACCGCGTTTTGGCCCCTTTGATCTTGGACGCCAGTTCCGTCGGCTCTGCCGCCGTTCCAAAGAGTTCTTTCGCCTTCTGTCGCTCGGCATCTCGTACGCGTTGAAAATCTAAGAACCGGAGTGACGGTATCGACCAGATCAGGTAGAGTCTGTAGTGCTGTAGAGTAGTCCAACGAGTTTTCAACGGTCAGCGAATTTTGTTCTTCTTTTGCACAGAGCGTCCAGGAAACTCGTCTCTCTCTCCCTCTCTGTCTTGTGCTTTCTGGGGGGAGGGAGTATTTCAGACGCACCTCCTTCCTCGTGACCGGATTCTCCAGTAAGCTCAAATGCACCAGTGCATGACACCGACTGAGGCCCTCGACATCACCCAGCTCTTTGACACGATTCGCCGTGAGGACCAAGGTCGTGAGGTTCGGGATCTGCTCGGCGACGCGCCTGTCGACAGCCTGGATGCGATTTCTGGCGCAGAGTAGGGTGTTGAGGCGCGGAGAAAGGGGGAACCCGGCCAAGGTGGTGATGTCGTTGTCGGTGAAGTCGATCGCATCTTGCGGGCCCGCGACGCCCAGGTTCTCAATCGTGGGGATTTTGTGGCCTGTTTGTAGTACGAATAACACGCGGGTGTACCATGGTGAGTCAATTGCGCTCTGTAGCGGATGGGAAAGTAGCAACAGTAGCAGCAGTAGGAAGGCTCAAAAATGTTGTAGGTATCTGCTCTTTCCAGTGGGACTTACCTCGGAGGTCGAGCTCGCGCTCTTTGAGTGGGTTTAGATATGAGAGGGAGTTGTTGATAAGATCGGCTGTTAGCCGCATGATCGCGGTGTTCTTGAGCCTATTCTCGTGGTCTGTACGGTGTCGTGCCTGCGGTGTATTGCAGGCCACTCAAGTGTTTGTCCACGTAAATCGAGGTGGGAAACTTTTTGGAGAAGTAGCGTAACCCACGTGATTGGCTATTTTCACCTTGCAGCCTTGTCTAGATTCAGCCTCGCGGGGATGCCCCTCTTTGGGCTCAAGAGTCACGTGACTAGGGCAATGGTGGGGTCGTCGATGCATGTACCTATCTTCAAACTGAACCCCGGTCGATGCTTCTATGGGAAAAGGCTAAAGGTTTGTCTGTACGACGTACGGAGTACTCAACACTTCATATTTAGTACAATTACTAATAAAGGAACTGATCCTCGATTGAGGCATTTCGCCAGTGACGGGCTCCGCTCGCCCCATCGGGCGGCGCCAAGGCCGATCTGCCCCGATTAGATTCATTCGAGCGGGATGGTTAAGCGAATCTGTCCCCATAACCGAGTAGTGCGGATTCCCTCGTGCGCAGGACATGTCCACGGCGCTGCTACTAACTAGCGCCCTAAGTCAGAACACCTGTGCACGGTATGGAGGCACAATGTCATGATAAGGACCTAGGTACTAGTGACTTTTACGGAGCCATCGTACAAAAAGCCTTCACTGGGTGCTGCAATAATGACCTTCCTTCCTTTCTGTCCTTAGTATGTGCAGGAAAGGTATTCTTAGGTGCAGCATACAACTCGACCGCCGAGTAACCATGAAGGCTAGGAGTACTCCGTCGCAGCTTACCTATCTCCCTAGGTACCCGGTGCTTCAGGCAAGATCGAGGAGAGCGATATCGACCTAGCCCTTAGTAGTAAGTATTGAGCTAGGCAGTGACAAATTTGCATGCCCAATATTTGTCGACACCCAAGCAGTTCAGTCGGCGGTCTGTCTGGGAGGTATTTATGTAAATATGTATGTCGTGACTACATACAGTATCTCCCCAATTCCCTTATCACTTGGCATTCCGCGATGTATTCTGCTAATTCCTCCGTGCCACTCTCTCCTTTGGCGCCTCTTTTCCACAAATGTAACAGAACCCAGAGTCCCAAGAATCACATCTCTCTTAGTCGGGCAGTCTGAGAATTGATCCAAGCATCAGATGATCTTGGACTTGCTTGAAAGGATGATTGATGACGAAAGAAAGGGGATATTTATCTCAGGAGATGTGATATCCGTGGTCTTGGCACAGGGTGTCCAGGGACTATTCTCATTGGTTGGGATTTCCTTATCTTCTGAATGGATACGTCCTTACACTATTCCAACGACTAAACTGGGTATCTCCTGATCCTCATAGGTTACAAGCTCCCAGATTCGATGTCTTGGCTCATCGCCCGGCCCGTCTTAGCAGCGACTCATAGAAGGTGTTGCCAAGAGCGTGAAACAAGACGATGGCCGTCCCAATTCCTCTCGGGTCCCCACACTGAACTGATAACAGCCTTGGCTCCATTCGGCCTTGCGCCTTGCTCTCCTCCTCTGAATGCTCAGTCAATAAGCTGCTCTCGTTGCAGCCTCGAATCTCCTCTAGAATTGTCAAACACATTGAACATATCAACCCAGGTGGGTCTCTCCCAAGCGAATAACAAACTCACGGACCCCGTCTCATGCTCTTGCAACGCCGCCCACGCGTGCCGTGACCCGGATATGGCTGGTTGAACGTGTTGAGTGAGCATGTCCCCATATTTCGGTACGCATGATCCTGGTCGTAGCTTGTTCAGTGGGTATAGCAGGAGCCACGTATAATAATACCCTGACTGCTTCCTGATTTTCGACGTGCTCTTTCTTTTCGTTCAAGTCAAATTTCAAACCTGCTTCGACAGTCCTTTCTTGCACGAAAGCAATCATTCAAAATGGACCCTGTAAGTCTCTGTTTTTCACGCGCAATCTTTTCTGTGGCTGACAGATCGTGCAGCCTGAGTTCGACGAGTCCCAGGCCAATGGCGGAAATCCGCTTGAGGTCGATGTCAATGCTCAATTCGCTGGATTGGAATTCCATGCAGTCTACCTTGCAATATGTGCCTATCTTGTCTGGATGATCATTCCAGGTCTGGCTCTGCTGTACGGTGGTTTGGCACGTCGCAAGTCCGCACTTACCATGCTGTATCAAGGGTTTGCAGTCATTGGTGTAAGTCTCCCAGTGATCAACTGATATATATTGAGCAAGCTTCTGATGTTCTTAGGTCGTCACTTTCCAATGGATGTTCTGGGGTTATTCGCTGGCCTATTCCCGAACTGCTGGCCCCTTCATCGGAGATCTTGCAAATTTCGGTCTCAAGAATGTCACGGCGGCGCCTTCTCCTGGTAGCGCTTATCTTCCTGAAATCGTCTTCTGTCTCTACCAATTGCTCTTCTGCATCTGCACGGTCATGATCGTGGTTGGTGGCGCTTTTGAGCGTGGTCGTGTCATTCCATCCCTCTTCTTCGGTTTCTGGTGGGCAACGATTGTTTACTGCCCAATCGCCTGCTGGACCTGGAATGGCAATGGTTGGTTGTACAACCTACCCTCACTCGACTATGCCGGTGGTGGCCCCGTTCATATCGCAAGTGGTTGCTCGGCGTTGGCATATGCTGTGGTTCTAGGCAAGAGAAAGCTACACGGTCATAAGTCGATGATGAAACCTCATAATGTTTCCATGGTTTACATTGGCACACTTCTCATCTGGTTTGGATGGTTTGGCTTCAACGTGAGTCGCTCCTAGAACCGACTTCCCTTATGCTGTTGCTGATTTTCTAATAGGGAGGCTCAACCTTGAACGCCACTGTTCGCTCGTACATGGCTGCTTGGAACACAAATGTTGCCGCTGGAATGGGTGTTCTCGGCTGGTCCATGATTGACATGATTCGGTATAAGGGCAAGCTCTCCACGGTTGGAGCTTGTGAAGGTGCCATCGCAGGTCTCGTCGGTGAGTTCCACATTGTTCCAAGATACCCCCAAAACTGCCAAGGCTGACAAATTCTAGGCATCACTCCTGCCGCTGGCTATGTATCTGTCTGGCTCGCTGCCGTCATTGGGCTCGTAACTGGAATGGTATGCTCATCGCTCAAGAATGTCAACGAATGGATCCGCGTCGACGAAGGCATGGATGTCTTCAAGCTTCATGGAATTGGTGGCATGGTCGGCTCCTTCCTGACCGGCATTTTCGCTTCCCAATCGGTTTCCTCGCTTGATGGCGGCACACTTGCCCCTGGCGCTATTGATGGTGACGGTGCACAAGTGGCTCGACAACTCGCAGATATCGCCTCCATTTCCGCTTACGCGTTCACAGTGTCGTTCTGTTTGCTATACATCATGAAACTCATCGGTAAATTCATTCCGTTCATGGCCCTCCGCGTCAGCGAAGAAGCTGAAATCCGTGGCCTGGATGAGGATCAATTCATGGAGGAGGAAGTCGGTGACTGGTCACTCTTCGAACATGGAGCATCCGTGACACAAGGAACCACCCACGAGTCCCATCTGATTTCTAGTCCACCAAGCCCCCCGAATGGGGTTGAGGACAAGAAGACTACCTCGTCTTAAGAGGGAAACCAGAAGATGTTGGGGATCACATCAGGCCGAAGCAGCAAATAGCTGTTGAGTCGCATTTGGAGACGGTAATGATCGCTGGGCGATATATTCAAATTTACAATTCAAGATCTTGATGTTCCAGACACAGATGTGTTCCACTTGCGATATAGCAATAATATGCCATAATAAAAAGGTGTCTCAATTCTTGATTGCCGAAGCTCTATTATAATTTTGATCTTCTTCGTCGTTCTCGTACTGGGGTCACCTTTGTCGGTGTCAATGATGTTTCGGCGTCTTGGAATAATTGCTGATTTAGCCTGGCCGCCAACGACAACACACGCGTCGATACTGCGGCGCCATCGCGCCTGTTCTTGCCTTCTCGCCGGTACGACGCAATCTTCTCAATGAAATCCCAAAGCCGTCCAGATGCGCTCAATTCGCCTGTGACAGTGTCTCTTTCAGGAGTCCAATCGGGGGCTAATCGTACTGTTGGTCCACCTTTGGAGTTGTTACTCTTCGCTACAAGAATGATTCCCTCCTCCTGGCATCTACTGTATGCATTTTTGAGTGCTTCCTTGTTGATCGCTTCAAAGTAAGATAAGTCGCCTTGATGATACAAAGTTCTTCCAGCCAGCTGTGCCATATTCTGTGCCATCTGCATATCAATCCAGATGATCGAAGACCCGGGGGGAGGGACTAGGCACAACAGAGAGACTGCTCCAAGCCAAGCAGCATCCACGAATGGCCAAATGAGAAAGCAGTAGAAATCGAAGTTCTCCCGACCAAGTTTGCGTTCCGCATCCGAGAGCCCAACGACTCTCTGATTATTAGTTTCTGCTATTTGAAGCACTCGATCGCGTGTCAGTCCCTGCATGGCATCCTCTAGATTGTGCCTCAGACCCTGTCCCACGGGGAAAATGAACTCTCCCCGGAAGAGCTGTGATAAAAAGGTTACTTTGTCTATCAGGTCTGCCTCTTGCATACTCTGATTTGCACTACCTCCTCCCTGCTTCACCTTCGTGTACAGAGATGCTGCAATGAGGCTTTCTGAGATGAAGAGATGAATGGTCATGTTTCTGTAAAAGGATAGTTGGAAACGATCGACAGCATAATATGTCTCTTCGGCGAGGCCACCGACAGTCCCAACCAGCTTGGGGCCGAGAACCTCCAGCGCACGTTCAACAATAAACGATGTGGGCATGCCGTGGAAGTCTGCAACCTTTCCTTTGTTTGCTCGGGTCCTTTCGCTGAGCCAGTCAACTCTTCGGATCAACTCTGACTTGCCGACACCACGTCCGCGTAAAGTGAGGAGGACGGTGCCCACAAGTGCTGTGGGCATTATAACAGCGGCGGAGTTGATGTCTGAGAGTACCCTGTAACCCAGTGTTCTCAAAAGTCTGATTCGCGTGCTAGACTCTCGAGAACTTTCCACCAGACTATGCTGACTGGCTAGATCTTGACGGCTTTGTTGCTCGTTTATGAAATCCCTCAGACTCCAAGGCTCGTGGAACCTGCAGTCAACTCTGCCGAGGTTCAGGGACAACACTGAGGAAGATGAGATGAAATCGGCCAAATTTTCCTTCTGTTTGGGCTTCCCAAGCAATTCGTTGACATAGGAATCGACTTCAACGACCTTATCATACTGCAAAGACACGGGGCATATGTATGCATCTTGGGTCCTGCCAGACAATACCGAGTCAAGGAGAAAGCTTAAGATCCCAAAGCGCGGCCCCAATAGCTTGCCAGTCCTGCTCCTAGTACCCTCGATGAAGCATTCTAGGTTGTAACCTTGTTGAAGCATGGTGTCAAGATAAGCCTGGACAAGTGTGGCGTAAAGTTGATCATTAGAAAAGCTCCTTCGGATCCACATGGCTCCACAGCTCTGAAGGAAACCGCCCACGACGGGGAAGTTGAGATTGTCTCCAGCAACGACGACAGGGAGCGTCAGTCCAAGACGGTAGCAAACCAGCTGTAGGGTGACATAGTCGGCGTGGCTGGTGTGTCGAGGTAGGAATATGATGGACTGCTTCTTCTTGGCAGCTACAGCCGCGACTTCTCGCAACCTCTTTACCTCAGCTTCGGATACATGAATACCACTATACACTCTGGTGAGAAGCTGTGTAGCACCATAGAAGGCGGCTCTGATATAAGGCTTGCTTTCCATCTTACACATCATGTAGTCCAGCATGTCGCCGGTTATTTTGATCAATTGGAAGGATATCTCATGTTTTCTTTTCTCCTTCTCTTGCAAGTAAGTCGGGCTTGACTGATCCAATAGGGCTTCGTCCTCTTCGACTTGCAACCGGGCCTCAGTCAGCTCCACGAGCTTTTGTCTCAGGATTGGAGAAGACATGGTTGCAGACTTGAGCTTGGCCGTGTAGCCCGAGTAAAAACACGGTTGGCCAAGAATGTTGTCATAGCCACGCCAGCCAACGCCCCGCACGAAAAGAGAGATTTCATGAGCAAAGTTAAAAGGGTTCTTTCGGAATCGAGCCATTCGCGTGAGGATGCTCTGGTCTGTAACATCGCTGAGTGGTCTTTGAGAAGAGGCTCCAGTGGTGGCCGGAGCCCCTGTGCGGATAGGATCGGTCATCGTGGGTGAGGGAAGGGTGCAAATGCAGGCTACATTAGCTTGTGGACATCTGCAAAGTCAAGAACGTGGCCATGTTGAGTCAACAACAAGGCTTGAGCATGGAAAGGGAAAGATGTCGAGTATAACCTGACTGCGATAAATGGTGAATTGCTGTGTATTCGTTAGAGTACGGAGTATTGTGAGAGAGATAACCGAGGCGGATCGGCAATCCCCATTCGCACCTTCCACGGTACACCTTCCACCTGCACCCGCTCTGCTTTGGTGAAATGCTCGCTCCTTCCTCCGCTTTTCCTTCCTCGCTTCTACATACCCCAACAGAAGTCACGTGCTTTATTACATAATCTTCTACCAGGCCGCCACTGGGTGCCACCCACCCACCTCTGGTATAGTCTCACATCTCGCCCGGACTTATTTCTTTGAGCATATCAATCACTGTATATTCGTGAAATTTATGCCATCGTCCCTTGGGTATCAACCATCTGTCTCCATCCTGCTTATATCCTTTCCTTTTCCAGTATTCGGCGTTCAGGTCCTCCAACACCGTCATATGAAGCCTCACAGGCCTAGGCCCTGCTTCTGCTCCAGTTCCTGCTTGTGCGAGCAGATGTGCGTATACTGCTTGCAGACATCGATCAACAAGACCCTTCTTCCGATATTTGGGGTCTCTATGAGATGCTGCGGGCGCGATTTCCCAATCCCTTCCGTCGTCCTGGGGATTGCCATAATTCCGATGCCCCTTCCATCTTCGCGCCCCTACTACTGCAACCGGACTGTTGTTATTGCCACAATCGAGGACAAGTGTGCATAAGCCATCCGCTCCAAGCTCTTGCAAAAGTTCGTCTGGTCCAGAATACCGATCGTTAATACCCTCGGGATCTTCCAAATTTCCTTCGTAGGTTTCGTTGATCATCTGGATGAGAGGTATCAAAGATGGGTCCTTCGCTAGCTCTTGAGTGGTCAACACTCGCAGCACCAGGTTGGTTTCCATTTGACCTAATTGACCTCTCAAATAGATTTGTAGCTGTTGGATGTAGATATACACACAACCTCTCTCACTGGCAATGGCCGCGAGTAGCTACCTGAGCCACCGCCCGCGTTTTGCGCCCTTCCAAGTACATTCAGATTACATAAGAGGTCACGTGAATTGACATGTCATCCACTCGTCGCCGTCGTCATTTCAGATGACATAAGTAATCACGTGAACAACCAGATGTCATCGCCGCCGTACTGGACGAGTGCTTGCGCCCCTAATGGGCTTCCTTAATCTCGCAGCCAAGTCTCCCTCAACCATTTCCTCCATTCCCTTTGCACCCTCCTCCATCCCTCTCAACGTCACCTCGAATTAGACGTCCATTGTTGCTCGTTGCCATTCTAATTGACAATACCTAAGTTTCCATTCCGAAAAGTGCACTAGCTGGCTAGTTAACGCGCTGACCTGTCCAACGCACTTGAAAAGCATGTGCTTCTAATGGCAAGATGGTCTCAACGGCCGACACACACCGGTATGGCGTTGTCCTCGATGCAGGCTCATCGGGGACACGAGTTTATGTGTACAAGTGGTTGGACAACACTGTCGCTCGCCTAGATGCCTCTAGCCGACATGCGCTCCCTGAACTCGAGACCAAGGACAAGTGGACCAAGAAAGTCCACCCTGGGGTATCAACTTTCGGGACTACACCTGAATTAGTCGGCGATGACCATCTCAAACCTCTCATTAAACATGCCCTCGAATATGTTCCAAAGGAGGCCGTACCGACTACTCCGATTTTTCTCTTAGCAACTGCTGGCATGCGCTTGCTCCCTGATTTCCAACGAGACGCTCTATTGCGCAATATCTGCTCATACGTCCAATCAGAGACTAAGTTTTTGATGCCCGACTGCGGCCTACATGTGCAGGTTATCTCAGGCGAGACGGAGGGGTTGTATGGCTGGATTGCTGCGAACTACCTCCTTGGGGGGTTTGACGACAAAGATCGACATAATCACGGCAAAGGACATCATACATATGGCTTCCTGGATATGGGAGGTGCTTCAGCACAGATTGCTTTCGCACCAAATGCTACAGAAGCTGAAAAGCACGCAGATGATTTGACACTATTAAGATTGAGAACGAATAATGGCGTATCCCAGGAATACAAAGTCTTTGTCACCACCTGGCTTGGGTTCGGGGCTAACGAAGCGCGTCGGCGTTACGTGAAAGATCTGGTGGACTCCTATTCCGCAGAAAGACTCACAGAATTACCTGACCCATGTTTGCCTCAAGGACTCAAGTTGACTTTAGACGGATCCATAATAAACTTGGGAGAAAACCCACCGCCTGGCCATCATCTGGTAGGGACCGGGAAGTTTGACGAGTGTCTTCATCGAACATTCCCACTGCTCGAGAAAGATGTCCCGTGTCCCGACGAACCATGTCTTGTCCATGGTGTTCATGTTCCTGCAATCGACTTTGATGTGAACCATTTTGTTGGAATCAGTGAGTATTGGCATACAACCCATGAGATTTTTGAAATGGCACATAAAGACAAATCCTATGACTTCAACACTTATCAAAGTCGAGTCAAAGAATTTTGCGGACAAGATTGGTCCGTAATTGAAAAGGGAATTGTGGATAAGACCTGGGGCAAGAAGGTTGACGAGCACACTGCCTTTGAGGTCTGTTTTAAAGCTAGTTGGCTTATCAACATGCTGCACGACGGAATCGGCATTCCTCGAGTAGGCATCGAGGACACGGCGGCTTCCTCTTACAATGGCACCAAAGAAATCCTCCAGAGCGGCAAAGATAAGGGCTTCCTCGACCCTTTCCAGGCTGTAAATAAGATCAAATCTACCGAAGTTAGCTGGACCATGGGAAAGATGGTGCTCTATGCCTCCGCTAGTATCCCAGCTGCCGTCGAAGGTGATCTTCCGGTTGGTTTTGGCAGCAATGTTCCGGGCATTTCGAAAGACTTCCAGCTGCCCGGTGGCGGGCTACTCCAGGACATCCCCGACTATACTCCTGGTAAGACTTCAAATACTGGGGAGAGTAGCAACAGCATCACCAACCAAATTCACGACACACTCTTCAAGTCTGACGCCCCCCACCGCCTCCCAGGCTTCATCTTCTTTCTCCTCATCCTAGTCATCGCGACATTCTACCTCTGCGGCCGTGACCGCAGGGCAAAGATCCGCGGAGCTCTATTCGGCTCCTTCCCTTCACCCGGAAAGTCCACATCACGTGGACCGCTGTCCTTCCTCAACAAGATTTTAGGCCGTCAACGCCCCGCTGGTCGCTTCGACCGCGAGCTCGAAGATGGCACGTCTCGATTATACGACCCCAACGACTTCGAATTAGGGAACATGTCATCCTCTTCCGACGATGATACATTCCTAGAGCCAGCGGACGCCTTCCCCAAATCAAAGTCCAGGAGCAAAAGAAACCTAGGTCGGATGACGCCTGACCTGATGGACCGCGCAGGACTGGTCGTGCGGACCGAGAGCCGCGAACGCCTCGGCGGTGACATGAGCTTAGGAATCGCTCCCAGCAAGGGCAGAACCAGCAGCCGCACCGCGAGCCCATCTAGGGGTCGTTGAAGTAGAACACAAAATTAATAGTAGATTGTGAGGACTTGGCGCTTGCCACTTCCGTTTCCTCTTTCGAACTGTACTTGTCGACATTTATATTTGTAACCAAGACTGTCTTTGTAATGAAACGAATTAACGTCGGATATTGTACACGGTTCAGGGTTCTAAACGCCTTCGCAGCGCATATATTCTAACTTTAAGGCGCTCCGAAGTCTGTACATACGGATTAGGTCGCTCAAATACTCCGTACTCCGTGGTGGATACTCGCACCAGCCCCACAACCCCTGTCCTATATGCGGGATTGACACTAACCGCATTTGGCGAAACCCTCGCGAAGCATGCACAAGCTTCCATCTAGCACTTCGATTTCCAAGGACCACATAGCAACAATTGAGTGTTTTATTTGTCTTCAGGGGCACCCAGCAGAATCGAATGATCGTCACTGCCATATCTCCGTTGTCAAAGCCCGTTGAAGAAATGGATCTTCTTGTGTTTAACAGGCTCAGACCCTGGAAGCCTCGGCTGCGGCACGACTCACTGACGGGGTCGCTTTTTTAAGTCCGCACGTGCATTACAAAGAAGTTGCTTGAAATTCACTCGTAGACCGCAGCTGCCTGGTTTCACTCTCACAGAGGAACAGCGCGGTCGAATGGAGAGGCACTCATTGAGTGGCGGGTGTTTTGTTGTGGTCCGAGGTATATAAATCACGCTCGTCCTCGCTCTCGACCAAGCCTCGAAAAAAGAAAACACGAGACAATAGCAAGCCTTTTCGCTTTTATATTCCAGTCTACTGAGCTTCACCAGTAGAAACAAAAAGGACACACAGTCTCGTCAAGAGGATCTTCCAAGCCGAAGAAAAACACCCCGGTACTTGACAGTTCCCACCACCACCACACAACATGGCCACTCATCGCGCCCTGATCTACCCAGCGCAGGGTGGAACACCCAAACTCGAGAACCTGCCGACCCCAACACCCGGCCCAGATGAAGTTGTCATCTCCGTCAAAGCAGTGGCCCTGAACGGGCTTGACAACTATATGCTCGCGCTTGGTGCGTTCGTCGGCCAGTGGCCCGCGGTCGCCGGTTCAGATGTCGCCGGGGTAATCGAGAGCGTGGGATCATCGGTCCCAGAGACCCACAAACCAGGAGGGCGCGTCCTCGCCCTGACTGAGGCATTTACTAAGCTTGCGCAAACGCCTTACGGAGGTTTCCAGGAGAAGATCCTTGTGCACGTCAGCAAGGTCACGCCGATCCCTGACTCTTTGGGCTTCGCTGATGCTTCCATCGTTCCCACCTCTTTGTGGACGACTTGGCTCGCTATGCGCATCATCGGGATCCAGCCCGAGACCAAGTACACTTCTTCGGACAAGAAAGGCTTCCTTGTCTGGGGTGCATCAAGCAGCATCGGCAGTGGAGGGGTGCAGGTCGCGCGTTCCCTCGGCTACGAAGTATATGCGTCCGCGTCACCACAGCACCACGAGTACCTGAAGTCGTTGGGCGCAAGTGTTGTCGTTGACCACCATGATCCAGCCGCAGCGGTAGAATCACTCGTCTCCGCCGCGAAAAGCCATGGTGTCACGATCACGGAGGCGTACCACGCCATCGGCGACTTGAAGCCCGTGCTGGACGTCGTAGCAGGCTTTGGAGGCGGCAAGGTCGCGAGCGCCATTCCACCCAATGAGAACACCCCGCAGGTCGAAAGTGTGCAATGGTCATTCATCGTTCCTCCGCAGGGTGAAGCGGCTTTGAGGGAGTATGATGCATTCATTTTCAATCGCTGGCTTCCCAAGGCGTTACTGGATGGGACTTATAAGCCCTCGCCCAAGACGAAAGTTGTTGGGAAGGGGTTGGGGGCCCTCAATGAGGCCTTGCGCGTTTTGCAGAAGGGTGTGAGTGGGGAGAAGCTCGTTGTTGAGTATTAAGTACGGGCGGTGCCTACACTTGTGAGGTCGAAAAGATGGCCGAATGGAGGTCGAGGCGAAGACTAGCGCTTTCTCCCACCCTGGAATAAGACGAGTGCTTGTTCCTACCCCTGAAATATTGATAGCTTTGACCCATATGGATATCTCGACTGAGTTGTCCTCTGAGTTTTGCAGATTTGTGACGGGAGACACCCAGGGAGGATCTTGCTCAGGTCGTAAAATGGTTAGGTCATCGAGCTCCAGATAGAAATCCAGATATAGGTGTTCAACCATTCGCTGAGAGTCATGAACGGGCAAAGTGACACTCAAGCATTTTATTGGACTGAATCAGACACGTGGCAAGCTAGCAAATCAGGTTTGTGGGAGATGAGTCCGGTGGCTGCTTCCTATGCTGGTAGACCGCCGACAGGATATCAAGCTGCATTACTCATCTCCAGCAGCATAGTTGCAATGTACGGCGCGACGCCTAAAGCGATCACTTTCCGACAATAGATCCTGAGGTCTTCGGAGGCATCACCAGAGAGATCGTCATCCGAATCGCTCCTCCCTACGAAGGTAGCGAGTGCATCAAAGCAGTCCCTGAATACCTCGACATTGGGTGCACCTTCTGCGAGGATAGCAAGGGTTGACGTACAGCTGCGGATACCACGATCAATATCTTGTCTTAGACCCAGGTCACTACCTCGCCACTTGAGGTAGAGAATGGTGATGCCAGCTTGAAAATCGAAAACCATCTATTGATTGGTGAAGTCAGACGCCTTGTCCATGCAAAACGAGAAGAAACTTACATCGATCCAGGATCTGACCAATTGTTTCCCCTTTTGAACAGTTCGGAATGCGGTGCATGTGTCGCAGCAAGCCTTCAGAAGCCGTGCCGCTCGGGGCATTTCGTAGTCTTTCTCGCCAAATGAACTGTAGAGAACCACCCTGCCCACACATGCCATATACTGCAGCCAGAAAGAGCTCAGGTAGCCCACATTTTCTGGGTCACTGAGACTTTGTTAGAACTTACAGGTCCAAGGAAAGGGTGATGGATATCTCGGCAATGTACCTACATGTGCGTGAATATCTGGCTATGATCCGACCACTCGTTAATCTCCTCTTCCATGTTCGCGATGAAAAGCTCAGCCTCATCCAGAGTTAACGTGGGTGCGGTACACATGACTTTCGACTGTATCGTACGGATGCGAAGCATATGAGTGAAAGTCTTCTCAAGAAGGACTTGATCGACGCTGCCGTGGCTTGGGTAGTCAGAGAGCCACGGCATAGAGCATAAGTATGGAGAACAGTCTAGGTAGCAGGGACTCGTGATAAAGGATTCCGCGATACATACAGGGATCCGGAGGGTGCCACTTATCATCCGATCGAGCCTGAGCATTGTCAGTTGGGAAAAGCTATACATTGCTCAGAAGCTGGCTGTGGGAGAGCCTTGGACCTGAACTCACGCGTAGATACATGACCATGCTTTGGTCTTTGCATTATTTTCTTCACTTGGTTCCGATGCAGTAAGGCGATGAAATCCATGCAACGTTGCAAAGCGCATTGTCACACCGCTAAGATGCACAAGACGAGATGTGTTCTCTCCATGCAAAGCTAAGATCACATGTAGCAGCATCGCCTTCAACCGAACAAGTGGCGAAGCATGGTGGTTGGAGATGACACCACGCTCATCTTGGACTCGTGCCAATAACAATCCATGCTGCTTAGATAGCCTTGAACTATTGGTAGAGTGGCTTATTGTCGACCCAATTGCACACAGCTATTTTCACGTTAAAGAGGTGTTCCAGTCGACTCTGTGCTGAGACACCCACTAGGGTCAAAAGGAACGAATACCAGGACACTTGCATTTCATCCGTAACAACTAACATCCCCTTGTAGTACAAGTAGGCATTACCGCACTCGTCAACATCTAAGAAAGGGTATCTTGGATGTATCAGATCAAAATATGTGTGCAAAAAACGAGCAGCATCGAGGTTTGAGATTGATAATTGTTGAAGAGTTTGGACATTCTTGTGCAGGGTTTGAATCGCTGGATCCAAGCCAAAACAGTCCTGATCGTGTGGAGGAATGGAATCTTCTAGTGGCCCTATCACATCTGCTGAGTTATGGGCAGCAAGTAGATCGATGCCGCTCGAGTCGAGAAACGGCTGCTCAAAAACATCACGTGGTCGAGGGGGTTGGTTGGTTGGTGGATAGAACGAGCACTGCCAATGCATCGGATCCATAGGCTGCAGATCGTCCCCAATGAAATATGACGACTGCTGTTGCTCTCCCTCGACAATGAAGGTCGGTGTGACTTCTGGATTCTGTGATTCGAATCTCGCTTCCAATTCTGCAACACGCTGCTGGAGAGATTTCACATAAGAAACCTCATAGATATCGACGGCGTCCACTGTGGCCGGTATGCAGTCTACCCGACCTCTGATAAGTCCATAGACGCTTGAATGGCCCATCATTACACCACAAAAAAAAAAGCAACACTTACCATTTCCACTCTTCGAGCAGTTCTTGCATGATGGCTTATGCCCGTCGCACTTCTGCTTTCGTACCCGACATCGGTGACAAGCCTTTCTCTTACGTGCTTGTTGGTTTGCACCCGGGCTAGAGATTCCTTTTCCAGAATTGGAGGCTTTCATATTAGCTTCACTCAGCATAATGCAGAATTGCGTCACGAAATGCCGAAATCTGTGCACAGCATTGTGAAGAGAATTTCAGGGAGCCATCAATTGGGTGCGTGGGTGGGTGGTATTGATATCAGTAACAGGAAGAAGTTGGTGATATCAGTCGATATCCTGTTGCATCTCAGCGTGTCCAACGATGATGCATCGAAATCGGCCTGGTTGAGATATCAAGGCTGATTTAAGCGCTAGTGGCTCTGGGCGTATTTGGCGTGTTGAAGTTGACGAAAACAGCTCGCGTCTCCCCCCGTTTCGGAACTGGGTGATGCCGCCCTGTATTCGTCCCCTGCTCACCGCGCCGCTTTAACGTAGTTGAATAAATGTAAGCGTTCCTAATACCGTCACCCTTCCTACTCCTATCTTATTTAGCTAGCTATTCTAACTTCTCGTGTAGGCTAGTATTACGAACTAGGCAACCTGCACCTCAAAGGTTTGAGGGAATTTGCCGATGGGGAATAAGATTACGTCGCGTGACAAGGCTGTGTCTCCATCCTGATAAGATAGTATTCCTATGTTCACCACAATGTCGGCATGCTAAGCTGAGGCCAGTGGAACTGATATGATATCTATACGCTTACTACCTAAGATAGGACTACTTTATAGTCAACTTTATTAACTACCCTATCTCCAGACATGGATTGTTAGCAGCCCAGACGCGACAATATCATGAGCATAATTGTAAGATCAATGCCAAGGTGCTATCACACTTTGGGAGGCTTCTATCTAGCGCGGCCTCTATTCACGGAGATTCCATTAGAATCCTAAGTACTTTTAACTTTGACAATATCACCTTGGAAAAGCCTCGTCTAGGGTTCGGCTATGCATCATCCAGCCTAACTGTTTTGACGTACCAAATTTCTTGAGTAATTGTCGTGTCCAGTTTTAGGCCACAATGAACTACAACTTTGTCACCCACGTTCAAAAACCTTGTTTAGGCCTCGTAGAGGCTCAGATCTAGCTATTATGTTGTTCCGATTCACTCTTGGTCCCTTGGAAAACATCAGGCATTCTATCATGATCACTCGTACTTGGCTGCGACACTGCCAAACTCTTTCCCTCTGATCTCCAAAGAGAACTTCATCAGCGCTGACTTGAGCGATATGCACAAGTCATAATGGACATCTACCTTTGTCGATCCATCGGCACAAACCTTTGTCTTCAATGTCGACCTGTCAATGGAGGAAAGATCTGCTGTGAGGCTGCAATTCTTTTTGACAACGCCTTCTTTCGGATACTTGTTCGGCCTGACCGATTCATCTGAGTAAAGTGTATCCGTGAAGAGGAGATCACTTGCGGTGAAGTTTGGCTCTAAGCGTCGGAAGAAGGAGAAACGAATCTTCTGTTCGCGCTGAAGATCCTCGCCTTTTTCAATGTACCATGTCATCTAGGATTGAAGTTAGAAAGGATCTAGCGCCCCGTGTGGTCACCTTACCCGCGACACTCTCAAGTGGCCAAAGGATGAGTCATACCAGGACTCTTGTCCTGCGTCTGAGTCTTCATACTCCTGGTGAGATTTGACGCCGTAATGCCGTGGAGCGACTACAGAGTCTACGATCGCTTCATTTGGCAATTGGCTGAGAACGGCACCCCTAGAGTCCAGTGTCAGTGTATTTCCCAGTAGAGCTCCAAGTCATGGATCCTTACTTGACAATGGCCGACCAAGCGTCGTGTGGTTGGATAACCTGAATGTCTGGGTGACGCTGTTGGATACTCATTTTGAGGTATTCGCTGGCTCCGAATCCACCAACGAGAAAGATGGCTTTGACTTCTGCACCTTTCGCGTGGCCTTCCGCAAGTCGTTTCTTTTGAACCAAGTTCACCTGATCATCCACCATCCTTCCAATGTCTTCAATCAAAGGCTTGAAGATGCCTTCAACAATCTCACTCTTCATTTCCCAAGTACTGCGCTTGAGGTGCTGACTCTCATCATCTTCCAGATCAGCCATGGGAAAGTTTACATACCAACTATCATCATTTTTGCCTCGGAAAGCCGGTTTGACTGTTCTGTCGAAGAACCTGACTGCTTGGTGATAAGCAGGCGTTTTCCGTAGGTGAAAGTATTGGTCTTCTCCCACAACCATCTTGACCTGTTCTTCGAACCGCTTATTTAGCTGCAACGATCCTGCCATCCCACCTTTTGGAGGTACAAGCTCTTTGAGACGTAAACACGGCTTAGTCTGAGTAATCTCGTATGAGATCAGATCGACAGTGCCGCCGCCTGCATCGCAGATAACGAGAGCGTCGCCTACTCCAAGACCTCGGTCTTGCAAGACATGCAACGTATACATGGCAGCAGCTTCCGGCTCTTTGATCAAAGTTGCAGGGTAGATACCAGCTAGTTTCGCTGCGCGGAGAGTGAGATCCTTTGCCCGGTCAGACCACACTGCAGGTACGCTTATGACGAATCTTTTCTGAACATCATTTTCGAGATAGTTCTCGGGAACCTTTGAGGCAATCCGTCCCAAGGCATGTTCATATATTGATTTGATATAGTCCGCGGCTACTTCATGGGCAGGCTTGCCAATCTTGGCCAGCTCGGTCTTGGTGTTCGTGGCCGGCACGTACAACGGCTTATCTTGATCGGGATCGAGAAGCAACTTGATCCCTTCGACTAAGGCATGCTCGTGCTTTTGCCCACCCCACGTGAAGGATTTTTTATTCTTTGGATCATAGCTTATCACCGTTGGGACCTTCGGCTGCTTTTCGCTCTCGAGGCCTGCACCACCAAGTTAGTCGAGATCAGAGACTAGAATGGACTCACATACCCGGCCAGTCGAGGATTGAAGCTAGCTCCGGCTTTGAAGTGGATTTGAATGCATACGCAATCCCACTAAACTATCGGATGAGACATCAGTGACATACCCATGAAAATAATAGCGACCAGCTACTGGATGGCTTACTGTGGTTCCGAAATCGAGGGCGATGATTATCTGATGGTCGGCCTCGAAAAGGGCAAGATCTTCCATTTTTTCTTCCATAGCTTGACGTGCAAGGGACATTTCTTGAAGGCAATCTCAGTGGTAAAAAGGTCTGTCCGAAAAGATGGTTCATCCTTTCTTTATGATGTTGGGATGTTTTGTCACTAAATGCAGAAAGGGCTGTGACAAAGTAAGGCTGAAAGGGGCTCAGTCGTTTTGAACATCTCTACTGTATCTTCCAGGCCCCGGCCAACTTAGATCAGCCTGACCAGGTAAGTGCGCTTGGCAGCTCCTATTTCCTACGTGCCTGACAATTTCTCCTGCAGGTGGCTTTTTTGAGAAGCCATGCTGGCATCCTGATGTCGCCAGCCATCTGCTATCACTGGACATGAAATGCGTCGAGTTGATGCGAACAAAGTCTTGATAAGGGCTACGCGGCGTCATCTGTCGTGGTTGGACGGTATGGGTACATCACATTCTTTGAAATATAGCCGAAACTTCTGAGGCTGAAGGCCCTCCCCTCAATACTCCTCTTCCAGCCAACCTATTGGGCACTCTCACCACGAGACCCCTTCAAGGCTAACGCGAGAGCTGCATTTCCGAAACAGAGACAGTTTTGCGCCCGTATTGTAAGGCTGCAGCCTGTCTCAAACCATTGTTAGGCCTAGAGCACAAAGTTGATACGTCGCCTTTTCGGAGAAGATTTCTCGTGCAGGTTGAAGAGGTGGGCTGAAGCATGATCAGACGAGAAGTACGAGAAAAGTGGGGAATCCGGGAGTCAGTATAAGAGACTAGGTCAAGCGAGCAATCAGGCTGAAAAATTCGCATCAAGCATGTCCCCCAACGACACAATCAGAGCACTCTTCCCTACCATCACATCGTTCCTTCCACTTCTCAGCACCATTTCTTTCTAGTTGACAGGAAGTTCGACCAACAGATGTTTTTTATGGATGGGCCATCCCTAGAACATAACGGCAAAATGGAGATTGCGAAATCCATGCTGGACGCTTTCTATGATCAACTATCTCAATTTATTACAGAAAATTCCCAGAAGGCACAAGAAGAACTCCAGATAGGATTAGCCAACACACGTGATGAGCTTGCTGATGTCAAGAGAAATGTGGAAGATACGAAGCTCACGCTCGAGTCTAAAGTCGAGCAGGTCACGGAGCTTCTGCGCAAGTTCCAGGCCGGGGAGACGAAATTAGAAGCAGTAGAAGACCGTCAAGTAAGTCGAGATGCAGGGTTGTTTTCATATCTTTTGAGGATTTGCCTGGTTGACCGTTGACTTGAGCACCCGTTGAAGAACGTCGATTTTCCCACGATAGAAACTAAGAATTTCGAAGACGAGAGGAAACTACTTCTGGATAGCTGCAAAGCTTATGAAAGATCATACGCCGAGCTACGTGAAACCCATCAGAACCTATTATCTGAACATCAAGATACTTGTGCAGACCTTGCAGTTGCCAGGAAGCAGTTTGCAGAATCCGAAAGAAGACAACGATCTTACAAGAACCAAGTGGAGAGGCTACAAAGTCACCTCGCCAAGAACGCAACCAATGCAAATGAATTGATAGACTCGGATATCAACCAAAGACTAGACATTATCCGAGCCAGGACCCAATCCATTGTAAAGAGGTTCTGTGTGGGGGAGGCTCATAAACCCGAACGGAAATCACCCGAATTTGCACAGCTCGACGACGACTGGGCAAAGAAGGAAAGATCCATCATCACAAAGTACAACCAGGAAGACGTCGAAGAGTTCAGAACATACTGGATGAGAGGTCAGATTTACATGTTTCTAGAGAGAGACATTTTCAATCAGCGAGTCTTTGGGCTAGAGCCGGATCTTGAGGAAAAATTGGCCGAGTTCGAACGCCTGATCGCTAAACATAATCCTCGTAAGTATCCACACTGGGGAAGCGCGCAACCGTATCTAATAAGCCCCTTCTCAGATACCGATACCAGCGACTGGCGAGGGCTTACCGTAGGATATAGCAAATCTATAGGCATGACCAACGGGGAACTGCCAAAGAGAGTGGCCCAGCACGTGGCGAACCTGTTTCATCCGTGGATCGTGGGCAACCCTAGCCTCCTGTCTCGCACTATTAACTTGCCAGGATCGAGGAAGTACGAATATCCTCCAGAATTGGTTCCCACATTGACGGAGCTTTGCCAAAACGCATACGACCTGGCCGTCATGCTCAGAAGGAGCGCGGACAATTATTATTTTCTGCCGATCGATGAAGGCACCAAAGTCGAATCCCAAGAGGGAGAGGACTTCCAGCTGGAGGACATGATTGGTCCGAAGAACAAATTGGTAGGCTCGAAAGTCTGGATCACTCTCTTTGGCGCTCTGGTCAAAGAATCTCACACCGGTGGTCGACATGTCATGGCAAAGGCTCGCATCGTATGCAAAGCGCCCCTGCCTCTTCCTGACCGCCGTCGATCTGTGAGTCCTAGGAAGAAGGAATAGTAGTCAGGTAGTTCACAGTATTATTTTTTGAGATGGACGGCATTTGTCAGATTATTTGTGTACACCCGCAATCTTGATTGCCAGGGTCCAAGGAGAAGCCAAGGAGAAGTAAAACGACCTCAAGATGGTGGTGATGAAGCTATCCATCAAGAGGATATCATGATCCTTGGGAGCAGCGTGCAACTAAATGCTCTTTGTTTATAGTACCAGGTAGCTCCAGCTCTAGGTCTAGATTAACTTCAAGCTCATACATCTCCATATGTGACCTCCATGTCTCTGACTCTCTTGACGCAGGCATCCGAATACTCAATTACACGGTTGTTGAAATCCTTTCTATGGTCTATCAGATGCTGAGGCAATGGAATTTTGTTGTAGGAGCTCGGCACCGGCTCCCCAATCGTCTCAGTGACTGGAAGATAACCAGTCCATACGCTGCTCACAGCAGCCTGATCGGCCAGGTCAGCCTTGTCGTCGGCTGGCGGGCCATCACGGATCTTGCCACTGCCGCTGTGGATCTTGACACGCAGCATCTGAGTGCTGGACAACTCGGCCTTGTTGATTGGGAGCCGAGTGTTCTTCCACCTGCCCGCGACCACCTTGTTGGTGATGTGCTCCATGGCATAGAGCTTTTCGTCCGGGTCAGTCACTAGCTCCGCGTGGCCGAACAGGACTGCGGAGCGGTAGTTGTAGGAGTGAGAGAAGGACGATATAGCCAGCACGAGTCCGTCGACTTTACTGGCAGCTATGCATACTGGGAGGCCGGCTTTGCCGGCTTCCTGAGCTTGGCGCGTAAGGTTCATGATTCGCGATGAGACGTAGCCGTGCAGGTAGCAGTCAAGGGCTTCGTCCCGTCCGGCGCTCGGGTTCTCGAAAGACGCCATTATTCCTATCATCGGCAAGATTGAAGGAAATTCATCTTCGGGACTGGGACTGAATGATACGTTCAGGACCAGTGCCGTGTCGATGATGGAGTGGATGATTTCGAGATCGTAAACCCCTCGGTTCTTTCCTAGTCGGTTGACTGTGTTGTGTTTTCGCTTTGGATATTCAAGATTTCTTCCCATGGTTACTCGCAGTGATCAGTTGAGACAGACCAGTACACGATGGTGAATGTTAAGGGTGTCGGGGAAGGGAAAGCTTAAATCGGACGCGCTGAGGCAGATACACGGCCATGCCTCGAGGATATTAATACTTTCGCTCATGGCTACTTAAGCCATAATCTTGATCAGCCTTTGCCGTGATCCATCATGATACTCCAGAATGGATGTACGTCGTGTCATCTCAACGAGCCAACAATGATTGGGTGCACGTCAAGTCCTCCCTGACTGGGTCCATCGGAGTTGTCGGCTTAAGTGGGGACTGTCGGGCTTTTCGGGATGGGGAGTACATCAACCAAACAGATTCCATGAATCTATGGCACATGAGAAAGTCGTGTAATTACTACCCAGTGAAACGTAGTTCACAGGCAGAAAGTTGGTGTTCTGATCTATGTCCGGAACGAAGTCCTTTGAACTTGTGACGGCTCCTCAATTCTAACCCAACTTCTCGCCTGCAGCCTCGAACACTGCTTTAAACTTCTCCGGAATATCATACTTCCCAACCACGACCTCAATCAGATTTAAGCCTCCTGGATTCATCCGTTTTGGATTGCTCAATACCCCCTCAAGTGCAGCCCACGTCTGAACCCTTTGAGTCATAATAGGGTACTCTTGTGGCTTTCCGACATCAGACTTGGCCCCAAACCATCGGGGAAGGTCTGCATAATCCCAGGGCGCGAGGTCGTTATATTCCTCGTCCATGCCATGAATATGACGTTCATAGGCATATCCGGAGTTGTTGATAATGAAGATGGTCAAGGGAATGCGATAACGAATCACGGTGCTGAGCTCCTGTGCTGTGGCTTGGAAGCTGCCATCACCTTCAAGGAGGATAACACGGGGATTATCCTTGAGCTTTTGCTTGGCCAACAAGCCTCTTTGACGTTGTCCCAGTGCAGCTCCTTGTGCGGCTGGAAGCATGTGGCCAATAGAGAACCATTGGCCCGATGCTATGGTATGTGCTGACTTGGGCAAGATGAGATCTCGCCCTCCCAGTATAGGGGTGGCGTTGGCCAGGAGGATAACGTCATCTTCTTTCAGATACTTATTGAGATAAAGATAGAAGTTTTCTTGGTCGATCTCGTGATCCATGTCGTGAATGGTAGGCTTGAATTTGCGAAAATTGCCTAGCGAAGAGACATCTGGTTTGTTGAGCAGTTGTGGATCGATCCTCTCCGTCAAAACAGGCAGAAAGTCCTCGAGATTCATTTTGGCCATCGGTTGGTTCGGGATCTGAACTGATCCCTTGTCTACTATGATCATCTTCTTCACATCTGGAATGACTTGCCACCCTAGAGTTTGAGTATCCGAGAACATTGGCCCAAATGCAATAACTAGATCTGCCCCATTGAGATATGGCATCGTGTCAATTCGCCCGACCGGACCTGAATGGACGCCGTAAAAATTCGGGAAAGAATGGCTTACCATTCCGTTGCCTGACGGCATAGCCAGTGTCGGAATTCCGCTTTTCTGAACAAACGCATTAATTTCCTTCTTCAGGTGACGAACGCCACGGCCAGAGTCAACGAGGATTAAAGGTTGTTTAGCGTTTTGGATTTTTGCTTGAACGGCGTCGACAAGACCGTCGAACCGTCCGTCTACGAGATTGCTCTTCCTTACGAGTTGCTGATTCAGCCGTGCACCATCAACCTCCTTTGCCACCATATCACATGGCAAATCGATGTAGACTGGTTGGTTCTTCGCCAAACATGCTGTGATGACTTCATCAATCATCTCTGCCGCGTCGTGCTCATCGACGAGATGTGCTTGTGCCGCCGTGACTTGTTTTGCCATCTCCGCAAAAACGCGAGGTCTTCCATCGCCCAGTGTATGGTGAATGTTCAAAGCCTGACGTTGCATCTCGCGTTGCGGCGAGCCGACTATACTGACCACCGGGACGTGCTCCGCATATGAGCCCGCGATTGCATTGATGGCACTTAGTTCCCCAACACCGTAGGTGGTAAAAAGTGCGCCAAGGCCCACCACACGTGCATATCCATCGGCGGCGTATCCTGCGTTCAGCTCATTGCAGGAGTTGATCCACTTGATGTTGGATGGTTTGAGATAATCTAGTGCCTTTAGGGTGAAGTCACCAGGCACGCCGTGCATATATTGCACATTGTTCTGTCGAAGGCGAGTAAACAAGTATTGGGCGAGGGGAACTGGCTTCCAAGGCATATCGAGTTACCTCAAGCAGCTGGCCCAACCACTACACTTGATTCTTCCGTATGACGCGTGATCCTGTCGGAATTGCCAACAGGTGCTTATGAGGGTCGCATTTCATGTCAGCGTTGGGTTGATGATTCACGCTATCTTGTGTAAGCTTGCAATATGGACATTCACAACATTACGATGGGCGAGATCCCGAGGTTAGCACGTTCGTCATTTAGGAAACTTGAAGACGGTCTGTCATTAGAGTCTGCTAACCGTCAGACGAGTGATAGTGCTACTTTGATAGGATTGATACTTGTAAATATTCCTAAATAGCGTCGTCAAGCATTTACCCGAGATGAAATGACCTTGTCTTGGAGGTGACGATAGTAATAAAATCCGGTCAGATATCTGGCCTGATCATTATCATGGGCCGCCTTATGAATGAGAAGCCAAAAAGTTTCACTTCAGGCACCCTCAGAGCAAATTGGCACCTGGTGCATTATGTCCGCAGCATGTTCTGAATATCATTGCAAGTCGTGTGCTTTGTATCACATGTGCTCGTTGTCATGAAGACAAGAGAAGAGGACAGGAGCAGTGATGCTCTGGTAAGTCAGTGTCAGCACTTCACGAGCAACTTGGACCGGCGCACAGTGGTGAAGAATCTCCAGTCCGAGACGAAATGAAATGAAGGCTTGGAAGGAAAACATCCCTGCGCAGTTCACCTCGTCGTCCGTTCATTTTACACGGAAGAACCGACCAGTCTGCCCAGGAAGATCGGGCCAATACCGCCCGGAAAGCCTTGCCAGAGGAAGTAATATCCTGCGCCACAACTCTGGGGCATGGTATTATGTCCACCTATATTGCCATTCGGGCCCATGTCAAAGACGCTGAGGTCCATATCGGCTCTTATGGTCAAAAGCTATCCGAGTGCCTTCTGCCTCACTTGGAATGGTCGCCCCCTTAGACCCGGATGTTGACCATCAAGCCGAACCGAGTCTTGGCGAATCGAACAACATCAGCAACCTTGAGTTATTCTGTATTGCTTCGAACCGATTCTCTAGACAACACTGACCAGGCTTCCGACCATTACCGGCCAATCATGCGAAAACGCATTCATAGCACCAGCATTCTAGATTGATGCTATTCATCTATGCCGAAGTCAGCCAGCCCACCCAGACTAAGTCCGGGCAGTTCTGCCTTCTTGTCTATTGTTTCACGGATACTAATCGAACCACCAGGTGATCCTACCGTACCAAGAGCGGACGAAGTCTGCGCCGTTCAGGAGCGTGCTTCTTTTCATTTATACCGTTTGCCGATGGAGGTGCGCTAAACGGTCAATATCTCCCGCGCAAGGAGTGCAACAGTCTCCATCGTGGGATTGCTAACGCCAAGTTTTAATCTCAGAGCCTTCCAGAAGTTGATTCGAGCGTCGCTATATAAATATGTCGGCCTCACCTCTTCTATTTCAATGGACCCAAGCATTCAATCCCCTCCATTCAACCTAGATAGTTCATCAAGAGGGACACTGTATCTCCAACACAATGGTTTCATTCAAATTTATTCTATCGCTTGGTCTGCTAGGTAGCACGATCACCAGTGCCTTCCCGACGCTAGGGCGGACCCCGGGCTGCGGAGAGATAGACATCTTCATGACGTACGTACTCAAAGCAACGGGACAGTGCCGAAGGGTGCGAGAAAAGAATCCAAGCTAACATCAGCATGTCCTCCCTCGCAGTGGCTTACCTGCATCTCATCCACTCGTCAAAGCCCAAGGGTTCGATCCAATATTCGTCAACAAGTCTCTCACAGCAGACGCTGCCGAGGTCGTCAAGGCCGGCTATAATCTGCGAGGTAAGAATCCAAACCCCCGAACCTTCTCTGACTCTCAAAGCCTGCGGTCACCTAACGCAGGAATTTTCCATTTAGTGGTTCTCATGGGCCCCGAACAGCCCATCAGCATTCTAGGAGACCAACTCAATGGCATCAACTGGGACGGCACAGGCGTTGGTTTCGGTGTACGAGGCTCTCCCCTACAGAACCTGACTGTGCGCCTCGAAGGTAATGACATCTGGCCTCTTCACACACTCTCTCTCTGTGCAAATTCCCTTCGGCCTTCCTAGTCGGCGCAAACCGACACATGCCGCTGACTCTTTTGGCTTCCATCTGCATCTAGACATCCTTCAAACATACCGCGAAAAAGCCTGGCGTGCACCAATTCTATTCAACCACTCGCCGACCTCCTCGCTGTGGGCGATCCAGAGACACTTCCCCCTGTCGAGCAACTGCACCAACTCGCCGGGCAAGGATCTTGTAAGTTGCAACTTTGTCCACCCTTTGTTTGCATTCATGTGGTGCGGTGGCCGTTCCGGAGTGCTTGAGCTAATCCCTCACCTCGCTTCGTCACAGGGCCTCAGCATCATCTGCGATATCTGTGATTAAGGGTCGGCATCACTCAACTCCAGGACCGAGCCAGAAATTAGCCACCGTTGCAGAAAAGCCAGCGATCTAACTGGCCTTATGGTATAACTGATATCAGCGTGACAGGCCCACTGGCAGGTGGAGAAGGGGGCCACGACAGCATCTTTCGGACCGATCGAGTGCTTCTTTCGCCAAGACGATATTGGATTCCATGGTATTTTCCACCGGCTGTATGGAGAACGATTGGTATGATAGAGATTTTGTAATGCTATATTTCGAGCCACCCAAGGAAGATTAATTCTTGTGATATTATTATTTATTATTATAAGTGGATGTTTTGATTGGAAAGGCCCCTCTACACCCACAATACTGGGACACTGTCTTCATTCACGGGTCCTATCTCCAGAGGAGAAGCGCGGACACCACAGCCACACCCACGCACGATTCACACGGTCCCGGCATGCACCAACGCCAAACCCTCGTGGCCCGTTCTCGGGACAAAAACACCACCGGTCCCCGCCAGCTTATCCTTCAAAACCGCACCATCAGTGCGAACACCCAATAAGTGCACCGGAACACGATCCACCTGCCGCTGCGTGTTCTGTCTGAAGTCGACGTATCGCTCACTCAGCGATCTCGCCGATGCAGCAGACCTGATGCGCTCGAGGGTCGCGTCGGCCTGCCAGTTCGAGCGCGAGCGCGACAGGCTCGTGGAAGTCACGGCGATGTCTTTGTAGAAGTCGAAGAGCTGGGCGTCGGGATCGGGAGTACTTTGCGCCTCGTCGTCGTCCTCCGCGTCGCGGCGGAGAAAGCCCATCATCAGGACCGACAGTTTCGCGTCGAAGAACATCTGCCCCTTGAAGTCGTGAATCAAGTACACACGTACCATGTTCCTCCGAACCACGGTTCGCCTTGCTCTCGGATCCGGCGAGATGAAGATTATTGCTTGATGCCAACCGTCGTTGGGGACTTCTTTCTCGGCAGCCTGTTTGCTGGGTAGATCCACGGCGGCCCAGCCGAAGTAGACTCCGCGGTGCCGCAGGAGGATGTCCTCTGCGACGCCAGAGAGGTTCGCCGTTGGCATGTTCAGTTGTGCTTTGCTGGACCCGCTGCCAGGGACGACCTTGCCGCGGAACCGGACTGGGAAGGGAGGCTCTGGGCCTGATTCTTCTCCGATAATGTCGGGGCGAGACAGAGCATCGTAGGGGGCTTTTTGGATGGAGTTGGAGTTGAAAGAGGTATCCCTTGTCTGTTCGTACTGTTCGTTGGCATTGTCGATGCGATCCTGGATACCGCTGGAGTCGTATGCAGTGGTCATTGCCTGTTGCACCACCGCACTCGGCTGGTAAACTTGCGAGACTTTGCTGGAGACGAAAGTCCTCGCAGTATCTGTGACTGGGCTCAGGGTTGCAGTGACTGTGTTGTTGGCGACCACCGAGGCAATCTTAATGCCGACTTCTAACGGCATGGTCATCAGGGATGCACCTCTGATGGAACTACCATCCGTCGACGAAGAAGCCAGGCGGAAGATTGGGCTTCCACATAGAACTTTCTTTCCCTCAGCGGAGCACAACACCACCCTCAGGTAGCCATCATCCGCTCCACAAGGGATGCGGAGGATGTCGGTTTCCCGTACGCGATGGGATCGAATGTCTTTCGGGGCTTTCTTCAAGAATTTCTTGATGTCCCGTTGCCATGCCCGCTCATCGGTCGGGGTCAGCTGATCTGGAGTGGCTTTGACAGTAGGAGTTACATCTACCCATGTGCTTCGAGCACCGAGTAGTCCTCCGATCTTCAATCCGGTCTTGCCAGAAAATCCCTTGCGTTGCAGCCATAATGTCCTGTCTGGGGGAAGATCTCTGTCGGAGAATATCGTGATTGCAAGGTTGGTAGAGGAACCAGTGTAGTAGACTAGGCCGTGAGAATGACGCAAGATCGAATAATGTTTCGTTGATTCGTACGGATGGCTGATGAGACCTCCGGCAAAGTGTCGGACGTCTTGCATGGCTGTTTTGAACATCTGACCAGCTTTGGGTTTCTCACTTGTTGGACTGGTGGGGCTTATTGGAGTGCCAGGTGTGGAGGAACCGGCTGTCAAGTAAGAGGTGTGGTAGCTAGATTCACTTGAGATACTTGTCGGAGACTGAACTAACCCTGCTCCTGCAGGGGTTTCCAGGGACATTGCTTGGAGGATGGCCGTGTGCTCCTCCATGGAGATGTCATCGATAGTTCCATAACGGTGGTCAAAGTCATCTGTCTGAGCAGTCTTCAACTGCGGTCGTTGGCCGTCAATTGGATCCATTACATGAGTGGTACCAGATCGTGACTTTGAAGCATGCAAGCGATTGGAGCTGTCGAAGGGAATGCTGTTCTTCTTACAGCTTAGCTAACGGTGTGCTGTAGCCAGGGGCCAAGTTCAACTTTTCGAGCCATAGCTGCTCCAGATGCCGAAAATTGTGCCGCTTAGCATATAGTCCAACACAATAGAAAGGTGTCCTGGGCGAAACTAGTGTTATTAAGCCAGCGGATGTTGGTTCGAAACTTGAAGCAGCGAGGCTTTGATCGTCCGGGGAAGTAGAGGGCCCGGTTGGCAAGTTCCGGGTGTTCCGAATGGTCCACTGTACGAGATTTGTACTCCCTATCAACGAAGTTCCTGTCATCTTTGCTTCCAATTTGAGTAGTCCTTGCTGCTCTGGCTAGGCAGTAACAACGGTCTCATCGCCTGTGGGCTTTAACGAGAAGACTTGGGATATATTCACCATTGACCAGAACCAGCGTTCGAGAGTTTCTTTGAAACTCTCGAGCGACTCCCAGATACACAATATGAGAGACACAACATGGCATTGCCACTGATCGTCACCTCACTGTCTCAACAAGCACGCTAGGGTAGCCATATGCCCAGGCTTGAACACGTTCCACAACATAGTTTTCGGGAAGAAGGCGGTGAGAATTATTGGCAGCACAAGTGCTGTGCACCGGGTGTGTGGCCCGAGGCGTCGCTGGGGTGCGGCCTCACCTTGCGTCAGAGCAGCTGTGGACGAGCATTAGGTTGTGTTAAGATGTGACACCTTCGGATAGCAAAAGAAGTCCATCAGCCAACATTGAGGAGTATTTACATCATCCAAATTAAGCAAAAGGTTCACAAAAAGTTCACGCATCAGAGTAGTATATCATTCAGACCTCAGTGATTGAAAGTATCAATGTATATTTAAGGGATTTGATTAGGCCTTGTGCTAATAAGCACATGACTAGGATGTACGTATGGCACAGCGTAGAGAAAACACATCTATCGTAAACATCATGAAACGTCCTGGATCCGGATGGAGTTTTTTTTGTGCGTAATATATTCGTACATGTGGACGATCCCAACGCCAAGGGTGTTCTCGACTTTCCGCGGCGGTGTATAGCAATGTACAGTATCGATGTGAATGATCACTCGGTGAACCTCTCCTTGGCAGTGGGTTGCGACCATGTGTCAAAAAATCTCTCGATCAACAAACTAAAATCTGTTGGCGGTAGGAGTAGCGTTGGGAGCCGCGTAGCCGTTCATACCATAGCCAGGCTGGCCATACTTGGGCTCAGAAGTGGCGGGCATATGGCCACCGTGCATGGTGGAACCAGTCATGCCAGTTTCATTGCTGTGTCTGAAGCCATGACCCGCGGTAGGGGCGGCACCGGTAGCCATTTCAGCGTCGCGAGTTGGGTGGGTTTTGCGGTTGCGTCTCCAGAAGGGCGTGCGGCTTCCCTTGGTGTAGTTGTTGGAGGGGGACGGGCCAAAGCGCTTTTCCTTCTGGTGGTGGCGAGCCAACAAGAATTGGAGACATGCGGTAACAAGGAAGAGGAAGATGGCGCCAATGGAGACGGCAAAGCAGGCGGTGTTCAAGCTGCAAACGTAGCCCCAGTCACCAGCGCCGGGAGCAGGTTCTGTTGCAAGCCCATTACCGAGAGGTGTGTTAACTAGGCCACTGCAGCGGTTGGCGCCATGGCGAGTGTAGTAGGCGATGGCGGCGAAGCAGCCGGCGAAGCAGATGTCGAGGAAGATAGCAACAAACGCAAGAACCTTGATGCCGCCCAGACATAGCGTAAGGAGAACACCGAAGATGGTATACAGGGTGGCAGCGCCGGCCATGCCTTCAACGGCCTTTTCCCATGTGGGAATGGTCATGTCATGTCGAGAGAGGACGGCCAGGAAATATGAATAGACACCGAGGACGATCGCCGCACAGCAGAATTCGAGGATGCGGAGGCCAGTTTGGCCGAAGCGAAGGAATGCTCCGCCAAGCGCCATTGTAGTGTTGTGTTGAATAAGGTTGATAGTGAGTGATGGGAGGGTGGTGGTCCTGTAGGTCGCGATTACTTTCAGAAGTTTGGTTGCCTGATGAGAACAATAGTCTCTCGAAGAAGGGATGAGAGGAGCTTTGTACTTTTTCCGCGCAGTAGGTCCCAGGGATTCACCCCAGTTCTGTTGGTCCCTGCGTCAGGCTTGATGGATGTGATGAAGGTGGAAGAAAAGCATGTTTGGATATTTGCAGTGACGTGGTGGCGCTGATCTGTGCATCATAGTCTGGTGGGTCTGACGCAACGCTAGCCAATTGCGGGAGGCTTCAAGGCAGCGCCGCAGCAGAGCGCCACAATGGCGTCTCTTCATTGGGGCATGTGCCTGGATTTCTGCCGCTTCAGCCACAGCAACGACGTCAGTCAACATGGTCACTACGCTTGGTCGAGCCTTCTCATTGGAACGATCACCAGCATCAGCTCGATCGAGATGAGTTGCAAATTTGACCGACGAAGCTGCAATTGCGGGTGATCTGCCGAGCATACGGAGACGGAGTAGTCCCTCTTATTAGGTAACCAGGCAGCCTCAGATGAGTGCTTGCAACCTAAAACCTGTGATGCCTCTCACGTGATAAAGGCCGCATGGTGATGCAAAAGATTTCACCAACACAGCCACATCAACCAAGTAGAGAAGACGCCACGAAACTCTGAACAACTTTTTCCTCATGGTAAAGCTTATCGAAGCGGCGTTTATTCGCTTCGGGTTTTCCCAACAGCCCCGGTCTGGCACCCAGTCTGGAAAGGAATGTTTGCTGATGTCAACGAGGGCTGTTGATGGGTGCCCATACTTGGTCATGATGCTTGCTCGTGCTCCTATGTACATGCTCGGTACCCATGCCCACTACTCATGGATATCAAGTTTAGCGATACGTCACTGAACCGAGCGCTTTAGGTAGGTCATGGCCCCTACATGCGTGGTACTACTCGTCCTACTCCGTACGAGTGCACCGTTAACTATTAACCAAAGCTTCCGAAAGAAGTTGGGAGAGACTCCAAGAACCACTGGTTATTAGAACCCTGGTCAGTTCCCGAGTCTCCCCTCGTTTTTGAAAGATGTACGACGCGGCTTCAGGCTTCCCTTCTGGGCGAACCGTCGTTGATCATTAACAAAGGCCCGAAGGGCTAGACTTCAAGTGCACTGCTGAAGAACGAAAGTATTCGATGTAACCCATGCAACATGAAACTGCTCTGTTCTGATAATCGTCTAGTCATTAGCAAGTCTGATTTTGGATGGAGACTTTGTCCGGCAAAGCCATTTGCAAATATGTCCATCGAAGAGAATTCAAGCTATGCCTTTGGGTGAAAGAAAGAAGCGGTGAAACCTGATGACACAATAGTTGCATAGAACCCATGTTCCACAATCATTCACAATCAACGCCTCCAGATATGATCCTCCACAACCTCTCACAGCTGCATGTAGAGACCAAGTGACAAAACACCGACTATCATCGATCCAAACTTGACGTTATCGACCTTCACTGCAGCATTGCCTGTGTCCGATGGGGAACTGCCTGTGGTGGTACCAGATGGCGAGCTGCCTCCTTCAGGGGTGGTACCACTAGTGTTGTTTCCTGGAAGATTGCTTTGATCATCGGCCAGAATGTTGAGTTCTAGTCCAGTGATCTCCTGCCCGTTAACCGCGTACACGGTATGTCCCACACTGGTAGTAGTGACCCGTTCGGTGCCTTGAGGGAAATTGCCCTGAACACCCTTCTCAATGAGATCGTCGACACCATCAGGACGGGCAGGAATGCCGAAACTCTGGGTGAAGTTGGTACTAGAGACTAGGCTAACGGCGCAATCCGGTGCTTTCAACCCGGTGGCTGTAGAATTGGCTCTCACAAGCGCCTCAACGTCTATCTGGTTGTATTGATCACGGAGATTGTCATAGTCAATCAGAATGGAGACGGTGTCGTTGTCATTCAGGACGACTAGACCGTAGTCGTTGGGCTCTTGAGTATACTCGTAGATCAGACCGCCAGAGAAGACTCCGGTCATCTGCTCCGAGTACAAGGCTCCGACCTCGGTGAATGTGCGAGGCTGGACCTGATTGCAGCCGTATTCGGAGAAAAAGATGGGAATGGTGGTGTTGCTGAAATCATCAACCAAGACATCGTAGCCCGAAGACGTGAAACTAGCATCGCCACACCACGAGTAGGAGTTGAGGCCGAAAAAGTCAATCTTAGAGCTGGTCTCGTTATCAAGGTTGCAAGCCATGTAGTCGAAGGTGCCCATTAGAAGGGGGCGAACATCGGCTGCGGAGTAGCCAACTGGGATGGGTCTGATGCCTCGTGCTGAAATGTAGTCCTTGATATCTCTGGTCACAGCTCTGATGTAGGCAGGGACCTCTGGCACGGAGTCCTCGTTGATAACCTCGTTGCCACTGAAGAAGCCCAGAGTGTTATTGAAATGCATGAAGCCTTCGACGACTTGGAAGACACGTTCCAGGTAAACTTCGCTGTATGACTCCCATGGAGCACCGCGGTTCAGAGATTGGTTCGGCAGAGGGCTGTTGACGTCGAGAATCATATAGATACCAGCCGCATTGAAGATGGAGGCACATTCGCTATGGTCCAGATCAGGGTTGAGATTGTAGATTCGGACAGCATTGACACCAAGTCGCTGCATGAGAACAGCATCACGGAGACAGACATCGGCATCGCTCAAAGGGTCAATCTTTAGCTCTGGGTTGAAGCCAGACGATCCACCTGGTTGGTATCTTTTAACATAAAGGTCAGCATCTCGTTGTCTGATCTAGAAGGGCCCTTGTCTTACGCCACACCAATCATCTGAAATCGTGTGCCGTCGACACTGTTGACAAAATCGGCCCCTCTGACCTCAATTGGAGAGACTGCGAGAACATAGGAAGTGAAGCACGCCACGAGGGCCAGGAGGCGCAGAGAAAACTGTGAGGAGTCAGCCAGGAAAGTGATGGTGATAAGAGTGCATCTTGCGCAAATACCTGAGCCATAATGTCGAATTGAACCGAACGGAAGCAGTAAAATAGTATTAAAGTGGGTAAGGCGGAAGTTGAGCGAGAGTGACTGCGCTGGTGAATTCCAGCAGAATAAGCCCGAGCTCTGAGATCAACGAGGGGCGCGGCTTCCCCAAACAAAACTGGGAAGGCACGAAGTTGGGAAAGATGGCAGGAACGGAAAATGTGCAGTCGCGATGCACTCTATCAGCGACAACGAAGGTGGTGAAGACTCGAGCGGACAAAAGCAGGGAAACCAAAAGCTAGAGTAAGCTATCGGAGGATGCGGCGATCTATGTATGCACTCGGAGTTGTATGTGCATATCTTCCTAGTTCCTCTATCATCGCCGTGCTGCGTCTTGCCCAGAGAGTCGACAGTCGACAGTGGACACGGAAAACTTGGAGGCCCCATATTAATTTTGGCCCAGCCCATGCATCATGCGTTTAGCCTCGACGCGCAAGAGCTGCTACTGTTACGCGACTGGATCTAGTTGTCCGTGGCGTGTGCCAATCAATTGCTCCTCGGCCTCCTAGTGGCGGATTATCGTCAGGATGAAATTGCCCGCTCCAACCCAAGGGCTTGATCTTGGACGCAGTATCCGTAGCTGCTCCCTCTGCCCCAGTATATCAATGCATGGCATTCTCGGGAGTCCGATAATGCTGTTGAGATATACTTTGGCAAACATCCTGTTCCAGAACAAGACGATGCCCAGCTCTGCACAAGAGCCTTGGCCTATCCTGACACGCAATATCAGGCTCGGCGACTGTTTCGTTCAAGTCACAATGTTCTTAGCTACACAGTGGCGGGAGAGGATCTGTCATTCGCAATTTGCTGCTTGTGTCTGAGCCACCATTGATGAATCATGCTCTTTCATTACGGCTGCAAGAAGGCTGCATGTGCCCCAGCTTCCCGCTCCGTTGTAGATTTCTATCTGGTCCCATTTGTTTGCCCTCCACGCCTTGAGACGGGGAAAAAGGAAAATCCGGCATGAGATTCAAATAAGGAAAGTCAACCGAGAAATAGTCTGTGACTCGTGCCAAGAGAAGTTCCCACGTGACCCTGTGCAAGGCTCCATGTCGCTAATGACATGTGCGTACGGAGTACTGAGGTGCTCAGTGCCACATCTGCAATCCAGAGTCGCAACCACTTCCGTCAAAGAACGGCTCCAGAACCTGAGCCTCCCAACATCATGTCATCGTCAACAAAGGGGAAACCTCAACCTGCTCCTCGATCTCTTCCAGCCCAGAAAACCATTGTTTTCTTCCATCCAGATCTCGGAATTGGTGGGGCAGAGAGGCTAATTGTCGATGCCGCAGTAGGTTTGCAGGAGCTGGGGAATAAAGTGACTATCTTCACTTCCCATTGCGATCCGCAGCACTGCTTCGAAGAAGCTCGAGATGGTATGGTCTACGCCTCTACCTCTGTCACCACTTTGGCTAAAATTGACAGAACCGTGAGTGCAGGCACCCTTGACGTGAGAGTCCGTGGGAATTCCATCTTCCCCTCGACTATTCTGAATCGTTTCCATATTCTCCTTGCCATTCTCCGACAGATCCATCTTGTGATATCGATAGCAGTATGGAGCAATGAGCTAGACAAATTGGAACCCGATGTTTTCATTGTGGACCAACTCTCAGCCTGCGTTCCCCTGTTAAGATGGCTATATCCACATCGCCAACGGACATTGTTCTACTGCCATTTTCCTGACCAGTTGCTCGCCGATCGTCGCACCTCGGGCGTCCTTGGTTTGTTAAAGAAGCTCTATCGGCTACCCTTTGACTGGTTTGAAGGCTGGAGCATGGGTGGGAGTGATCAGATAGTGGTCAACTCCACTTTCACCAAATCTGTTGCCTCTAGGGTCTGGCCATCCTTAGCCAGTTCTTTTGGTGTCATATACCCGTGCGTCAACGCTGAAACGGACGAACCAGTGGAACAAGAGCCATTATGGAACAACCAATTCAAGATCCTTCTAAGCATAAACCGGTTCGAGCGGAAGAAGGACATATCTCTCGCAATTCGCGCATACAATGATTTGTCTGCGGCAGACCGCAAAGGCACACGCCTGATCATAGCCGGTGGCTACGACCAACGAGTCAACGAGAATGTTCAATACCACAAAGAATTGGTCGCTCTAGCTGAGGGATTCGGGCTGGTGACCGCGACCGTGAAGACCGTCCCCACGGCACTGGCTGTACCTACTGAGATCCAGGTTTTGTTCCTGCTTTCCGTACCAGGTCCCTTCAAAACAACTTTACTGCAGAATGCCCGATTACTCCTCTACACTCCTACGAACGAGCACTTCGGTATCGTGCCCGTAGAAGCCATGCAATACGGTCTGCCTGTCCTAGCATCGAACACCGGAGGGCCGTTGGAGACACTCGTGGAAAATGAGACTGGCTGGCTGTGCGATGTTGGGAAAGTCGATGAGTGGGCCGCTGTTATATCCAAGGTCTTGCACGACTTGACCCCTCAGCAACTAGAAAAGATGAGCAGGAACGGGAGGCAGCGGGTTAACAAGCAGTTTACCCGACGAACAATGGCTCAGAAGTTCAACTCAGAGCTTGGCAAACTACTCGAAGGTAAGCGAAGCCAATTCCTCGAGCGAAAGGATATCATACTTGGTCTTGGAGTTGCACTAGCATTCCTGGCGGCACTGGTCGCCACAATTTTCAAAGCTAAATTTGGTGGTAAGTTTGGTAAGGGTGATCCACGACTGACCGAGTTCGCACGGGCGAGAAGAACAACTACCCCGGGCTCACATGAAGAAATGAATTTTTTCTCGAGGCAGCTATTATGATGTGGTCTGGGGATGAATTGCCAGGAGTACAGACATTGTGCATGAAATCCTAAGGAGATCTCACGATTCTTGATTTGAGGTACTAAAAAAAAGACGACTCCAGGGATCATATATGCGAGGCCCTCTAGAGATTCACAATCACCATGGGAGAAATACGATGCATCCATTACTAGCAGCAATGGGCATGCTTCTATATCCCGCACCACGGATGGCTAGAGGCACACCACTCAAGATTTACACTATCTATAAGATAAAAAAAACCGCTGTCTCACACGATATCCCGTTCAAGCCTAACGCCTCTATCGATGGTCATCATTATTATCAGTCTTCTTGTCATCATCACTACCATCACCACTATCATCCACACGCCCGTACGAGTGAGCTACCGACCAAGTGGTTGAAACAAGCCATAATCCCCCTTCGCCCTGCCCTGGCGCAGCAGAACGCCTGATTATGTATGTATGGACTTCCTGAATAGCTCTTATACTTGCCAAGTGTGCCGTCGGCCGTAATCCTGTTACGACGCCATCCGTGGTTTCCTGCCTCTCTCACACTGTCACCGTTCGGCGCTCCTTCACCGCATGCCACTCGATGTAAAGGCAACGGCTTAAACGCGCAGCTAAAACCCGCTCACATTGCATCGGGGTTCTCGCAACTTGGCGCCCTCATTGGGGAAAGCGCCGCGCCCCCATTTCCATTTTCGGGAAAACGCGGCGCTCCTCGCTATTAAGCGCACTGATCATGGTCAGCTTCTGTTTCCCGGCCCCTGCAGAAAAAGCCTCTTAAGTGCGATAAGATCCATCAGTAGGGCCTGAAAAGAAATAAGCGAGAAAGAGAAAACAAAATGCGGCAAAGGGGCCAGGAAAATGGTATGGGCTACTAAGTAGTAGGTTATTTACTTCATTAGCCGCGGGTCGCGGGTATTGAAGTGCAGTGGGTTATTGGCTTGGACAGTTGCGAGTTACACGAGTTCCGAGTCCGTTAACTGATAGTCATCTCCGTCCACCATATCGAGGCAGTTACGAGGGTACGGATTACAGTAGTCAGCTAGGTTCCCAAAGGACCTCATTCCTCGTACCCAGGCACGCCCGGGTCCGCTGGTTTCTCACCTCACTTCCCGTTGGCTATCACGTATCGCTTTCAGAAAATATTCAACTCGCGAAATAGATCGTCCTGGTCGAGCTGAGGCGGCCACTTCCACCAGGTGTCCGCCGCCGCGACCCCGTCGAGCGCCACGCTGGTGGGGCTGATGCCGAAATAGTTCCCGTTTGTGGTATCATTGGTGGCAGTGGCGGCGTAGAACATCTGGTGGTGGTCTTCCATGGTTGCTGCCATGGTGGCGGCTATTACGGGTGCTGCTGGGGTTGGAACTCCGTGTGTCGATGACATGGCGTCCTGGATGTGACTTGAGGAGTGTTGGAGGTGGCGATAGGGTGAGGGCTGATGGTAGGGCTGGGAGTGCGCGAATGTCATGTCCATTAAGGACGAGGCGGAGAGAGCGCCAACACCGGCTTCGTCGGCGCTGGCATGGGCGGGAGCTCCTTTGTGTTTCGAGTCGGGAAATCGGGCAGGGTCGATGGTGGCGAGAAATGAGGCCATATTGTTCTTGATAGCGCGCAGGATGGTCTGGCTGCGGTCGCGCGGCGACATCGTTGGAGACGGGCCGAACACGTGGTCCGCCATCGCCATGATCCTGTCTGCTTCGGGTAGGTGAGGCGCCTGATGCAGCGTCGCCAGCGGGAACAGTATGCTGTGGTATTGCTGGTAAGCCCCCGCGTACCAGGCCCATTGTGAGAGCTCCGGGTCGGTCTCTAGCGTCACGGCTGTTTCGAGCACGTCTAGACATGATCGGATGACCCTGATGTAATCCTGTTGTCAGCAAATTGTCTTGGGGGCGGTGTCGCGAAACGAGATGGTAGGGCTCCGTACCTGTCTGTGAGACCCAGCGCTGTCTCGGGATAACGCCACTTGTGCCGCTGGGATGTCAAGATCATCCCTTGCGCTCGAGCGAGAAGCAGCTTTCCCACTAATGCGGCATATTTTTGGATCGGGATGTTGTCGCTCAGGTGGTCTAGGTATCTTGCGTAGATGCTCAGGGTGAATTGATTGAGCTCGTCCAGAAGCGAGACTAGCGAAGATTCCCCTCGCCTCAAAGGCTCTCGTTCTCGGAATATCCACCGGTGCACCTTGTAGCATTCGTAGCGTACCAAGGCAACGATATAGGTGGGGTTTGAGACGTCCGATGACTGTGGTAGCAGGAACTCATCATGTTCCGGCAGTTGAGCTGAGACATCATCAATAGCAGTCCGTTCTGGACCTACAGCTTCAGCTGCCCGAATATTCAGGAACAAGAGGTGTTGCCAGAGATGTCGTTTAAGCTGTCGCTCTGTGGCGTTGTCGGTACTGCAATCGCGATCGAGTCCAGCGATCTGAAAATGTCGAATGACCGTTCCAATGAAAATAGAGTGAGAACGCGAGACCTCTGTCAACAATTGCGGGGTCAGGTAGATCAGCAAGACTTGAAACATTTGTAGGTCAAGGCAGCTCAGCATGTCAGCCCTGCAGATTGCAGCTTCGGCCATTGTCTTTAGCTTGGTGACCAAGGCATCCTTGGTGATGCCAAAAGATTTTTGACTCTGCAGTAATGGGAAGCTCATGGCAGCTGCGAAGAATACGGCCGCTCGCAATGCATCCGTCAAGAACCCCCCACCCTCTAGGTCAGCCATGGAGACCAATGGACAGACAGGATGCACTGCCACAAAGTACTGGTTGATGAGCGCCTGTTCCTGCATCTCTGTCAGCGGGAAAGGGTGTTGCGGGGCGCCGTTTCTTGAAAATAGCTGATCTAACGGTAATGCAGTATGCGGCTTGAACCATGCAACCAGAGGAGCCGAAAATTGGTTCTCAGAGTTCGCTTCAGGATACTCTTCGAGAAGCTCTTCGAGCGATTGCACAAAGTCGACTCTGAGAACACCACCAATGCGCTCGGTAATGCTCAGCTTCCCCAGGCGAAGGCAGATATCTGGCGGTTTCCTGTAGACTCTGGGTGTACTAGCTGATCGACGTGGCACTGGAATCTCAGTGGGCAGGCTCGTCTCCGGATTAGATGGCTGGCTGATGGAAGTGCCACCCGTGGATTCATCTCGAGGAGTGGATGAGGTACTTCGTTTGGAGGCTGGGAACACACATTCTCGCGAAGTTTTCTGACAATGGAGGCAAGGATATGACCTCGAGCATCTCCTTTTGAGACGACGACATTCTAAGCAGGTGTTGATCCTTCGATTGCGCGTGCGCTTGATGGGCTCGAGTTCATTCATCATTGCGGTGGTGGTGTCGCCGTGCATCGCACCAGAATCGTGTTCGATCGGAGACGGTAAATTTCCATGGTTTTAGTAGTATATAAAAGCATAAATAGGCAGTGTTATGAATAGACTGTTAGATAACAAAAGTCCCAAATACTGGGTCAAGACCTCTAGCATGCCGCGCCAGACTAAATGAAAACATTGTTGGGGGTGTTTTTGCCCGCGTAGGGCAGGACGTGTCTCAACTGTAGATGAAGGCCGGCTGAGGGTGATTGACGGAGGACCTTTCGAACAAAACCAATGCGGACCATGCACCTGATTGCAATAGCCGTGGCTGAATGACCCATTTCGGGCTTTGAAACACCAGTGCAGAGGCAGAATGATGCCTGGATGGGAAAGTGCCCTTCGACCAAGGATCAACGGGTCTGATTAGGCGTCCCTTAGGGCTGGAGGCCTTGATCTTTAGGTAAGCAGAGCTGGGGTGGGTGAGGTGGATGACTGAGCCCCAGATGCGTCACTACTGGCTCGGATGAACTCTCTGTCCAGGCGGAGGAACATGAGGGTTCAACGTGCGTTTGATAGATATTCTAGGCGGCAGCCTTTTCAGCTCTGAACTGTTGTGCAAGAATCAAGGTGCAGCATGGTCTACGGGCAAGGTGTTGTCAAGACGCGCTGATTTCATCATTCAGTACTCATTATCTACAGTATATGGCACCCAGTGGTGAGCGCAACTTTGAATAAACAAACAGCTTGGCGAGACCCTGAACCTTCAACAGAAGTTACGCAGGAGAAAAACGAGTAGCCAACTAGGGGCAGATTCTATTGGCGACCTCTAGGGTCTTTTCAGTCTGGCAGAGTATTGATCTGCCGAGTTCGACTGATACACATAGACACCCTTCACCAGCCAATATGCGTCCACGAATGCAGATGGATTGGATGCAACATACTCTTGGCAAGTTGCTGCGCGAGAAGCGCATGATGATGTATTCCAGGTACCATCAATCCAGGGGCCACAGAAGGCAGTGTTGAAGATCATCCGGAGGTTCATAAAGTACGAACTCAGATCGGTTCCATTCTGACTGAACAATGCAGTCGGTGGCCCCCAGGAACGCATACTGCCGATGCTCAAATCTGCTCGAACATCTTTTGCGAAATTCATGTCTCCTGTTGAGCGAGTCGTCTGCCAGATCTTGATCCACTCGCTGGTGAACTCGGTGACGAGGTAGCCACCTTGGTTGGCATTGAATGTCGAGCCAAATCCTTGGGATGTTTCGTTGGTACCCATAATGCTGCAACCAGTACCACCGGAAGAGGCGACATTACAGTCACTGCTCAGAGTTTGACCTTGTTGTCGTTGGTCGCAGCCCGGATTTGATATTGATAATTTTGCGTGGGTATTACTGTCGAGAACAAGCTGCTTGTCTGTATGGAGTGACATTCTGTTGAGTGCCTGGTCGTTTATCCCTTCCAAGACGTCAATCTCGCCTGCCTGTGGCCAATCCAAGCCAGTGCCTAACAACCAGAACGCTGGCCACACGCCACACCCTCCAGGCATATGATAAATATCAGCAACAATCAAGGAACGGTTGAATGTCTCGCTAGCTTCCATGCGAACGGATTGACGCCCAGAAGAGCTATTGGTCGTGAAATCAACACCGAGGTAGATAAGTTTGTCTATCGAGCGAGTATTGTTGAGGTCATCGGTATACACGTAATCAACGAAGCCTGCATATGCAGAATCGTTGGCTGTGTGCATATCCACGTACTGCACAAAACTGTTTGCAGGATCTGGTTTGGTATAGAAGTCAAATGAGTCAAAAAAGATCTGGCCAGAGTAGTTTCTGACTAGAGAATAGGCCGGCGCTTGTGGGTGGTCATAAGCTCGAGAATGTCCAAAAAGGACACTGGCAAGGAGTATGAGGGTAGCCATTCTGAATGCTGGACTGGGAGATGAGAAGTCTTAGCAGGTTCCGTGATTCTGTGACTGATTTGTGACAATATCGGCGAAGTGTTTTGTTTTCCTATTAAGACTGCGAGGTAAATTTGATTTTCGATGAAATGCAATGCGTTATTTGCACTTTGATGAAGACGAGAACAGAGCAGGTCGAGCCAGACAATTAAATCATGAAATCTTTGATTGGGGTTTACATGGGGCGTACTGTCACCGTGAATGTCAATGGGAGGGAAACGCTGGGCCATTGTTGTCTTAACAAACACCCAATGAGCCGGAGTGAATTGGTATAGTTCACAATGGAAGAAGACAATGGTTGCAATACGATTGCAATCACAAAGAACTCACCTCTCAATCCTTGCAGTCACAACTCAGAGAAAATAGCTAATAGTGAAAGCTCTCAATGGTTGTCAATGGCTCGTCATGGACGAGTCCTGTGGAGCCTCAAGGACATGATCAGCAGTCAAGCAGCAACAGATCTGTTTTAGACACATCACCTTCACGGCATCACTGTCGACTGGCTGTAGGTCCACAGGGCTGTGTCACCAGAAACCAGGAGTCTCTGGTTAGTGTGGTAAAAGGCGGCTTCCTTCAACAGAATCGATGCGACAAAGAGTCTACCCTCAAAAGCAATATTGGTCAGGGCTTTTCGGTTGCCAAATAAGTATGCACTTCCCCATATCTTGGGATTATACCCTTGCATATAAACATAGATGGCATCGTTTCTCTGCTGCAACGCATCAACTGTTGAAGCCATGCTACTCATGTGAAGAATAGTCAGCTTGTGAGCTCCAGGAGAATGCATGGCATTCTGTACCGAAGGATGCTCGCCACGCGTAATCGTAGTGGTCTAGGAGATATGTCTTGTCAGATGTCATTCCTTTTGGAGGTCCTGAAGCTCGAGGGTGCTGATTTATAAATGAATCAACCACTGGAAAAGGATGTCGAAACCATGACGGCAGACGAAGCCAAGCCGTAGTCACATGCTTTCGCGTCATTTAACAACCCACTTTACGCGTCCATCAAAGCCTAGCGGCGGCGAAATGTCATGCACGAATCATGATCCTGAAAGAAACATTGAAACTATCAAGCACCTTGTGGAATACAGCACTCTACTCACCACCTCTTAGATTCCATGGCTGCTCTCTCACGCCGCGATCTACGACATATGACGCATACATTGAGCTGACTGTCCGATGGCTAAATTGCAAGCAGCAACAGTCTCCAAAGTACCTGTAAACCGCAAACGCAAGCGACAGCCAAAGCCCATCGAAAACTCCACCACAGAAGCCGATCCCACGACCTGCACTATCACCACTACCACCACGACAAAAGTTCCCACCAAAAATCATGACGGGGGTAGTAACACAAAGAGGTCAAAGGAGGGTTCGAAGCCTGCCCTACTCCGCCGAAATTCCTCCACGAACCTCATCGAGACCGATATCCCCTGGCCTGACCATTTCACCTACCTGGCGCAGTTACATAAGGCATTGAATCTTGTTTATACCTTCTGTTGCACCCGAAAGCACTTCGCGACTACCTGGGATAACATCAAGTCTACAGTCGAAGGGCACATCAAGAAGTCACTCCTGGTAGAAGATGTGGCGCAGGTGAAGGCTTTAGTACCACGGGCAATCAACTTTACCTATGTTGACGAGGAACATTTATTGGTGACTCTCATGGGAGAGGAAGATGGGGTCAAAGGAGGGCGGGCAGAGCATTTTCGATCGCTGCAAGAGGATGAGAATGCGCCCAAAAACACAATGGAAACTCAGAAGGAGATGCTCTTATTCGAATTCATTGATGGTGACCTCAAAAGACAAGTGGTGGATCCCAAGACCGGTCAACCAGTCAAGGTGACACAGAAGCTAAGGAATGAGGAGCTTAAGATGCCAGTATTCAGCCAGAAATCAATGTTGAAGTTGATCGAGAAACGCAATGCCAAATTTACGTCAGCCATCAATGCCTTCCTGAACCAGTGTGCAGATGATGAAGTGGATGCTGTCGAGAAAATTTTGGAAGCGAAACAGCAGTATATCCCATATCCCTCTACGAGCCGGGCAACTTCGCCAGGGGCAGAATTGGCGGGTCCCCCTAAATCTATACCTGAAGAACGTCTATCAATATCCGAGATTGTCAAGGAGATCACAGAGATGGAATGGTATACAAACCAAATAGTACCCGATGGCCACCGAGTCTTCGATCCACAGCCGGCCATCTACAATGAGCTTACGTTTCAATTGTCCCAAAACCTTGTCAACGCACTTTACAATAGCCGAGGTATCACACAGCTGTACTCTCATCAAGCTGAGGCAATCAATAATCTCCACGATGGGTACAATGTGATCGTTGCAACATCAACCAGTTCTGGAAAGTCATTGATTTATCAAATCCCGATGCTTCACGAACTTGAGCGGGATCCTGAAAGCAGGGGTATGTACATCTTTCCAACAAAAGCGCTCGCACAAGACCAGCGACGAAGTATGAAAGAGTTGTTGAAGTATATCCCGGACTTCGAGAATGTCATCGTTGAGACTTTCGACGGTGATACCCCCATGAAAGACAGAAACCTAATTCGTGATGAAGGACGTATCATCTTTACGAATCCAGACATGCTTCACATCACTATTCTACCACAAGAAAGCAGTTGGAGAGCCTTTTTGAGGAATCTCAAATTTGTTGTTGTCGACGAGTTGCATGTATACAATGGTCTTTTTGGAGCCCATGTCGCTTTCATCATGCGGCGGTTACGACGGATATGCGCGGCCGTAGGAAATCGTAAGGTCAAGTTCATTTCCTGCTCAGCCACGGTGGCTAACCCCGAAGAGCATATGAAGACAGTCTTTGGTGTTGATAAGGTCAGGTTGACAGATTATGATGGCTCGCCATCTGGCCGAAAGGAGTTCATTTGCTGGAACACACCCTACAAAGATCCTGGTGATCCCTCATCAGGGCGTGGGGACACGTTCGCCGAAACGGCTCGTTTGATTTGCCAATTGATTCTCAGAGGCGTGCGAACGATTGCGTTCTGTCGAGTTCGAAAACAATGCGAAGTACTGCTCAGTGCGGTGAAGGCCGAGTTTGCTGCACAAGAAAGGCCAGAGTGTGCAGCTCTTGTCATGGGTTATCGTGGTGGATACTCAGCACAAGACCGTCGGCGCATTGAGTCTGAGATGTTTGGTGGAAAGCTAATGGGGATTGTTGCAACCACGGCTCTCGAGCTAGGTGTTGACATCGGATCTCTGGATGCTGTTGTGACCATGGGTTTCCCCTACACAATCGCCAATCTAAGACAACAAAGTGGCCGAGCCGGCAGGAGAAACAGAGATTCACTCTCTGTCCTGGTCGGTGATTGCTTCGCGGTCGATCAGTATTATATGCAGAATCCGGACGAGATTTTCACAAAGCCCAACTGTGAGCTTCAAGTCGATCTCACCAACGAGCTTGTAGTTGAAGGTCATGTCCAGTGTGCGGCGTTCGAGATGCCGATTCAACCAGACGAAGATGTCAAGTTTCTGGGCAAGATGTTACCAGATATCTGCAGCTCCCGACTTTCCTATGACCCGATTGGATTCTATCACTGTAATGAAAGATTTCGGCCCTCACCTTCCAAATGCGTCAGCATCAGAGACACAGAAGATGGCCACTTCGCGGTTGTAGACATTACCCATGGTCGGAATATTGTGCTGGAAGAAGTTGAGCCCTCTCGCGCTTTCTTCACCCTTTACGACGGGGGAATCTTCCTCCATCAAGGCCGTACATATATGGTCAAGGAGTTCTCTCCAGAGAGGAGAATTGCCCGGGTGCAGCTCGTCAAAGTCGATTGGACAACGCAGCAAAGAGACTACACGGACGTCGACCCTATCGAAACGGAGCAGGTCCGTCGCGTGTCGGCCAACTCTTTGACAAAAGCGTATTTTGGTCGAATCAAAATCCATGCCGTAGTCTTCGGTTTCTTCAAACTCGATCAAAAGCGACGTATCTTGGACGCCGTGGCTGTTGATAATCCGCCGGTTATCATATTCTCCCGGGGTTTATGGCTGGACGTACCCAAATTTGCACTTCAGATTCTTAAAGACAAGCGGCTGAATCTTGCTGCTGGGATCCACGCCGCCGAACATGCTCTGATGAGCCTAATGCCTCAATTTGTTGTTTCGATGCCCGGCGATGTCCGCACAGAGTGCAAGAACGCACTTAAGGAATTCGCCAAGAAAGAAACCCAGAGGAAGAGACCGGCTCGCTTAACATTCTATGATTCCAAGGGCGGTGCTGCAGGTTCTGGTATTGCGGCAAAAGCCTTTGAATTCATCGACGTGCTTCTGGAGCGTGCCGTGCAACGTGTTTCGGCCTGTCACTGCATCGAAGGCTGCACAGAGTGCATCTGTGACGAGCGATGTAAGGAGAATAATATGATTATGAGTAAAGCAGGTGCAGAGGTGATTCTGCGATCTCTCATCGGCGCGGAGATTGACATTGATGCATTGCCAGAGGGTGAAGAGGAGCGAGTCCCTGCCGGGATAGAAACGGTGATTTTCGCAGAGGAGATCATGGGTAGAAATGGTCGGAGAGTCGAGGAGGGAGAATACCTCAAGAGGGAGAAAAAAGATGACGAAGCTATTGTTATCAAAGATGAGCCTGACGATTGATTTACCGGGGTCGAAAGATGAATAAACATATATTTTCCCCCTGTATGCGATACCCCTTTTTTTCACGATCTATATGATGCAAAACTGCGGCCGCAACCCATTCTATAACGCACCTATGCCTTATGATTGAACCATAACCATGCCGTGCCATTCAGGCCACAACATTACAGGTTCTTGGTAGCATTAGCCACAAAGGCATCGGTCTCCCTCCTCATAGTCTGGACATCGATCTTCCCTGTCCCATAAGCAGCCGCCACGGCAGCCTGAACCTCGTCATCCTCAAACAGGCTCTCATCGCCCTCAGAGCCCTCAAACGCCACCACGGCACGCCAGTACTCATCATCCGCGGCCTTGAGAGTCTCATTCCGGAGCACAGCATTCCTCGCCACTGAATACGCCCGTATATTCGTGGCCGCCATCTGCAGTGCAATATTCGCATTAGTAAGCATCTCGTCGTTCCGGCGCCGCGCGAGCTCCGGGTCCGCGGACGAGGCCGCGCTGAAGAGCAGGAATCGCCGCGTCGCGGACGCGTAGATCAGGAACGCCACGCCGGCGTCGAAGGCGCAGAGTGTCAATGAGCGCAGCGTTGCCGCGAGCCAGAAGAGGCCTGCTGGGCCGGGCGTGGAGGTGTCGGTGAGTGGGGCGAAGAAGCTTGTTAGGTACGTGTCGAGTGCGAACAGTAGGAGAGCGCCGGCGAGTGCGCCCCGCCGCCAGTGGTGCGCCTCAATTCCTGAGACGGTCTCGGAGGTCGCAATCCCGAGGAGAAGGACGTGCAATAGATGTGGGAACAGCACGTTAACGGGCAGGTGGTAGAGCACGTATGTTGTCGTGTCGTCCGGATGGCAGAATGTGCACTTCAGGAGTGTCGAGGGCCCGAAGCGGAGGTACATCTGCCGGATGCTGTAGATTGTGGGAAGCGAACGGTTAGCATGTTTCGTTGTCTGGAAGGCTTGGTCATGTCCGAGAACCCAAGTCGAAGGGTGGAGTACATGACAAAGTGTATCATGTATCCGACAAGGAGATTTGATGGATAATACATACGTTGAAGACGAAAGTTTCGATTTCAAAGCTTCGTCGACGGGGGTCAACATTCCATTTTCACGCAGCATCGCGATTCGTGCGAACAGCACGTCTGTCGACATCCCCAGATGAGACTGCGTGACGACAAAGATGTTGTGGTCTGGAAGATCGCCGCGGAATGGGAGAGATGCGTAGAGAAAGAAGCATATCGATGTAAAGAGGGTGTTGAGGCCTCGCGCTGTTTTCTTCGGCAATGGCCGCGGTGGCGGCCGTGTTCTGACTGCCGTCTTCACTACGCGGTAGTAATTAATCGCGCGTGGGAGAATGAAGGTGAATAGCAGTGGCCAGAATGGTTTGATGCTTTCGTTGACGGGTTAGATTGGTGTCCTCTTTGCTTGATATCGTGGAAATTGTGGGAATGGCAAACCTCTGGAGTATGCCCATCTTTGGGTGGCTGCTCGTTGATTGATCCTAAGTTCAGCCTCGCATTACAGACTGCTATATTTGTGGATGGCGGGGTATTCTGAGATTATCCCAAATTCGAATTTGGCATGATGTTTTCGTTATCGAGATTCAGATGTTATGACCAGAATGTCTTCAACGAGTCACGGCGAATCTGAAACGGGTCACGTGCCAATTTCGAAACGACCGAGTATTATAGCGGCGTCATTTGTTGACATAAATGGGCAAAACTCCTGTCGCTTCGATCCCGTAGCCTTGCCAGCAACGACAGCGAGAATATGGTACATAAGAGTTGACGCTTTGGAAGTGCTACTGCTAGGTGCTCATGTTCCACCATGTTTAGTGAGGATCAAGAGTGGTCAGGTAGCCGGATTCGATTTCTTGGGCGAGATAAGAGATCCTCCTCCACGGTCGATTTTACAAGACTGCTTTTCCTTCAGCGCCCGCAAGCATTCCTGTGGTTGGGATAATCATCAACCATCCTCTGCTGGTAAGGTCTTTGAACTGAACTCTAAGGCAATGGATTAAGTTCATGCAATTTTGCTGTCAACTCCTAAAGCACCTCCAATCTCGATGACATGCACAATCCTAGGCGGGAATGGGTTTACGTTGAAGATATATTCAGTACTGGTGATTGTAGCACGCTTTGGCCTGGGCGGATGGTTTCCAGCCAGGAGTCAAAGGAGCCGGTTTACAGTCTTTGGAATCCAAATCGGACCATGCACTTCTCCTCGGAAAGGATTTGGATAACTATTATCCGAAACTTGTGTCCGATGTTGTCCTTCTCAGATGCAATAATACCTTGGGCTCCCATCTGCACGATCTTCTGGGCTAGAATTGCTGTCACGTGGACTTCCAAACCGCTTTCTCTTCTGCTACAAGAGCGTAGTACTTGCAATGTTCTTTGGCGTAAGTCTAGGTCGCTAGTTCGTGTCGCAATCTCGAAGAGAATGGGTATCACTTCAGGAGATGTAGTGAAAGACAAGGCACCGCAGATTGACGACGGGGGTTTGGCTTGGTTATTGTTCAAAACTGCCACGCCAGCCTTGTCAGAAGGTATCTGAAGGAGGGTTTCAATTAGGCCCAGGATAGCGAAATTCGTCTCCTTAGAGTTGTCATACGTTGATTCCCCATGCACGAAGACGTGGAGGTTGATTTCGAAAGAGAATTCGAAGCTCTTGAGGAGCAGAAGTCCGGCAGGCTGGATATGATCTTGACGAAGGCCGAAGATCTGGTTGGAGAGTATTTGGAGGTGTGTCAAAGCCTCTTCCACATCTTCGAAGTGGTCAGGGATATCCCCTATCTAAGCTTCCAGCACGGGACAACTTACTTTGCATCCTTTGGCGTTCGCCTCGATGACCTGATTCTGGAGTTCCAGAAGGACGCTCAACAAGGCATGTCCAGCAGATGCGAATATGGATGTACCTGTCTGTGGGGAGCTTTGCCTGGTTGCAATCATTCTCATGCCTGCCATAGCATGCCGCGTTGCTTCTTGGAGATCGCCACGGAGACTTTCACATGCACAGAAGATGACACATGCGCATAAAAAAGAACCGAAAGCCTCGTCTGGCAAGTCGAGTGCGATTATCTGTTGCAGGGAACTTTGCGAAGAACGCATTGCATGGTCGAGAAGACCTAGGCTGGAAGAACTCTGATCTAAGCAGTGTTCGTGTGAAGAACTGAGCGCTGGAATTGCCTCATAAACTATCTACGGTCTTGGATCAGTCTTGGGACAGCAGTCGCCCACATTTCAGATCGAAACGCGCTTTCAAGCTGCTCAATAGTGCGGTATTGGAAGTGCCAGAGCGATCGACGTTCGCTGGGCGAGGCCTTCAAATATGGACCAGGTTCTGTGGGTATGGTTTACACGGCAAACCTCGGACATGTGGCATAAAGGCTTATGTCTATGTATTAACAAGGTTTCCGAGGTCTAAAGCATCTTACACAGACAGTGACTGCTTTATCACATTGGTAATGCCCGACTGATTATGACGCATGGTCAACATGTTGAATGCCAAAGTTGTGAGAAGAGCAGAACTCACGCTTGCAGCTCCGACAGCCAGTTCGAGAGCATGGTCCCTGGACTTTCAAGAGTCTATCCCGGCGTCCTCCATCCATCGTCAGTGTTGGAGTCGTGCGGAAGTCCGCAATAGTCCGTGGTGGAGTAGGTCATACTGTTGGCGGCCAAGCCTGAGAAAAGGTCGCTTTGGCACATGGTTCTGAAGAACAATGTGCGACTGAGCCCCATTCAGCCCGTTCCAAGCACCATAGGAGCGCTCGAGTGCTGTTGCCTGTGGCATCAAGTGTAGAGTAGTGGGGAAGTATTCTAGGAAGAAGAAGTGTGAAATTGCTCGGCGCGTTGTGCCGAAGCCAGCAGTGCACGTGATAAGCGCCCAGGCTAGGTATCTAATATAGCGGCGTAATTCATTGACGAAAGAAGAAGTTTATGTGGTTGTTATTAAGTTCTTGGCGTTCTTGTCGCCATGCAATTCCCTTATTTTGGTACTCCCACTACCTGGGCACAGGCGGCTAGATTAATTGGTAACCTACACGGCAGTAGAAATGAACCATGTTATTTACAAAGCTCGCTTGGTCGGAAACCCCATGGGGCTACGACACACCCCACTGGGGCTACGACAGGCTCAGCCATGATCAAAGTCTTCACCTAAGCTAGCCATAATAGGAATTTCAATGTGGGTGTTCATTGATCCCCACATGGAACGAGATGCTGGAATGTGGGTTTTTGGTTTTGGTTCCAGAAGAGAGAGATGCTTATAATTGAGAGGGGTATCTGAGAGCCATCATGTGGTTTTCCTTCTCTTCTAAGGACGACTGACTTCGACACTGGAAAATTCGTCCACCATGTCTCAAGTGATCCTGGCATACCTTGAAAGATCTTGGTCCGAACTCCGCACATTACCCGTGCCAGCCATTGCGAGTCTGCTACTGCTCGTCCCAGTATTCGCAGTGCTCCTGGATTACAGCCGAGTACTATGGCTCCGACGACGGCTCCCACCAGGACCGCTTCCAGTCCCAATCTTTGGGCATTACTTCATCACGCCAAAGAAAAAGCCATGGGTGACGTGGGAAAAGTGGGCGAAGGATTACCAAAGTCCGCTCATCACGATTTGGAATGGCCACCGTCCTTGCATCGTTTGTAACGATGCATGGGCAGCATCGGATCTCATGGAGAAGCGTGCGGCGACATATTCCTCTCGACCGCTGATGCCCAGCATGGGTGACATGATTGATTCAACGGATTCGAATCAGGTCTGCTTGGAATATGGAGAGAAATGGAGGCTTCATCGCAGGTTGATCGTGAGTACTATTAACTACCTAGGTAGTCAGTCTGGAAACTGTTGCTCATTAGTACTGAAAATTTCTAGCACACTGCAGTCGGAAGCCAGGCAGTGCGCGACTATCAGCAATTCCAATCGAACGAGGGCATCTTGTTGATGCGTGACCTTCTTCAACAGCCCGACAACTATGAGCTGTGTATCGAAAGGTACTCTGTGTCAGTGGCCTCTATTATTGGATGGGGCCGGCGCATCAATAAAATCAACGACCCAGTGGCTCAAGCGGCGCTGGCAATCATGGAGGGCGTTGACCTCGTCGTACCGTGTAACCAAATGACAGAGATAATTCCCTGGCTGATCAACGTGCCAAAATTCATCTGGGCTTACCCTTCTATTGTAAAGCTCGGTGCGAAGATGGGCAAAGAGTACTTCTATCGACTTACCGAAGAGGCAGTCCACCGGAGCGACAATTACGCCAAGCGTCTTATGACAGAGGCAAGCACGAAGGAGCTCTCGGAGGCGGAGATTGCTTCATTGACTTCAAACTTGATTGGGGGCGGCGTAGATACAACATCCTCTTCGATTATCAGCTTTGTCCTCGCCATGTGCGTCTTCTCAGAAGTGCAAGAGAAGGCTCAGAAAGAGATCGATGATCATCTCGGCGGACGTTGTCCAACAATTCACGATCAAGACTCGTTGCCGTATATCAGTGCTGTGGTGCAAGAGGTCTTGCGTTGGCGAACAGTCACCATCCTCGGCGGTATTCCACATGCACCCATCAAAGACGACGTGTACATGGACTACCACATCCCAAAAGGAACCGGCATTTACGGTAATGTCTGGGCCATTCATCGCCACCCCCGAGAATTCCCCGCCCCCGACTCTTTTCGCCCTGAGAGATTTATTAACCACGAACGGCCGTATCCGGTCAAGAAGGGCCACAATGCTTTCGGCTGGGGTCGCAGGCAATGCAGTGGGCAGCCGCTTGCAGAACAAGGTTTATTCATGATCATCAGTCGAATGCTCTGGAGTTTCCATATCAAACCGGGTTTGAACGAGAAGGTAAGCCACGCGATCTGCTCTCCCATTTTGAAGTGTGTATGTGATGCTGACTGGATCAAGGGTCGCGAGGTCACTCTGGACATTTTTGCATTCAATGATAGCGAGAATATGCGGCCTTTGCCATTCAAGGCGCGCTTTGTACCTCGCAGCCCACAGATTCAGGACCAGATCATGGCCGACGCCAAAATGGCTCGCGAAGAATTGAGGCGATATGATGGTGAGACGCATATATCGCCAACCATGTAGGACGCTCCTAGTATTTCTTGGTATCCACAGTGTTAAAATAGTCAATATTCATCTTAAATTTGTTTGCCAATATTGTCAAGGTTGGCAAGGCTGAATCATGGCCTCGAGGGTGAGAACTCCAGCTGTGCTCCAGTGTGGAAAGAGAATTATGCGCTGGTCCTGGGAAGACTCGGTAGGGCGCCTAGCAAATAAATGCTCGTAACGGAGTTAGCCTCAACATGTCAGCTTTGCGAGAGCAACTTGGGAGAAGCCAATCAAGGGCGCATTCGGGCAAGACGAGAGCGTGCGCATCCACAATCCAAATAGTTTATGCTATTTACATCAAACCCAACAGAGGCTAAGAGACTGTTTCTAGCCATGCGGCTCTGGTGTAGTTCAGCGGTTCAGCGCCGAATGCGCCCCGGAAAAACACCTTGCTAAACCCATTTCGTCCACGAGTTACCAAACGAGAAGAGGTATTTATGGGCTGTGGTTCGCTTCAACCCAGACACACAATGTGCGCCTCTTCCACGACCGGACTTCGTGTTATTTCTGTTTTGGAGCAGCGCCGTCGCCGGCTGCTTTTGCTGCCGCTGAGGCAATAGTCAGATAGGACATTCCACAACTCCCGATCTATGACGACCCACCTTTTGCTTGTTTTTCTCTCATAATAGCAGCTTGGGCCTCTTTGGTCTTTGCAAACTCGGTACCGCTTTGGGTATTCTTCTTTTTCTGTTGTGACCGGAAAGTCAGCGTCCAGTTCCTGGCATTGCGGACATAAGTTGGGGCCCAAGACGGCCGATCAGGTTCTCAGGATGATAGTACGCGGGTCGTCGAAGAGGAAGGGCACACTGATGTCGATCTATGTAGTGGCACCTACCTGTCCAGCCTGGTCTTTGAGGTTCTTTTCACGAGCCTTGTCTCTCTGATTTCCTCGAGTCATCTTGAAGTGTGGTGGCTGACTTATGGTCTAGAGAAGAGTCCAGCAAGGATGGGATATCGAAAATGCAGGTCTGATGCAAGTACGGACAGGTGTGGGAGGCTACAGGCGTGAAAGGAGACAACAGTGTATGGGAGATCGGTGAGATGGACAATGGATTGCTGTCAAGTACTTCAAATGACATGACAACGAGGCATTTATTATTTGGGGCTGCACGTGACCAGCTCTATTTCACCAGGAGACCTTTTTATTTTGCCTACACTGGGAACTACGGGTGCCACTGCAGGCAGGCCGCCGCTTCCCTTTCTGCTCTGCCAAGGCCAACATCCACAACCACCAGTCCCTTTCCTGTCTGACTCAACATCACAGACTCTTGACTCTTCAGCCTTGTGCCATGCTTCACTCCTCCAACACGCGTTCATCAAAATCATCATCCGGTCAGCTTTGACTCATGTGGCCCGCTTCGCAAGGCTGCAGCGATGGTCAAAGGTGGCCAGGCGCCTGTCTATTGGTCGGAAATTGAGACATCCTGAAGCGCGTTTCAGGTTCATTCAGGCTTCGAATTTGGGCTGCCCATAGCCACTCCTTTACCACGCCTCTCATAAGCCTGAGGAGATCTCGGTCTTTGCAGCATTTCAACCGTCCGAGTCAAACGAGTGTGTCTTTTTCTCTGGAGTGTCATCGACTGTCTCTCAATACAGCCACACGAGAGAGTTCTTCTGCTTTTGAAACCGAAAGTAACGCTTCTCAGACATTTGCCACCAGCAACCAATGGTCGCGTGGTCTTTCAGGAATGCCCGACAGATATACTACAGCTTCGATCTCATGGTCGCGCGCTTACAATGATAATAACCCAGAGACATCGACTGGGGGTCACCCTACGGATCCAAAGGTCTGTGAAAGCTTCGTCCTGTTGCCGTGCTTCGTCTTGGGTCCAAAAATGATCTGCTGCCCTCGTTCATCCAAGTCTTCACTCTTCACTTACCTATTCATTCATCCCGTGGCTTCTCAATAGCCCTTTGCGGTCCTATTGTTCTAATCATCATCATTTGTACCATGATCATCTTTCGCTCATAAATACTTACATAGATTTTCTCTCGTCAATTCTCTGCACAAGATATCCACTCCGACGGCCAACCCTCCATTTATCCTAAAATCTAATCACCATCTATTTCGAAAGCATGCTTTTCTTTGGCAGATCATTGCTCGGCGCTGGCTACGTCGTGCTCAATGTTATTCGAGTCATGAACATAATAGCGTTTCTTTCAATCATTGCGGCGAGTTCGGTCATGCTGGTCAAGACCTTCGTTGTCTCCAAATTCTTCTTTTTCGATGCATGCGAGCATGTCATCAGAATCATCATGGGTGGTAGGTCCAAGAGGTTCTTCGTATTGCAATGATGACTAAATGCGCCCAGGCTTCCTCATCCTCACCGAGCTTCCCCTGTTCAAAACCTACTTCTCCCGAAATTGGCCACTATTTAGTCACCGATCTGGGTTCGTCATGCTCGGATTTGTTATGATCTTCCTCGGTATCAGTATCCTCGGTAATCTCAACAAGGAAGCTACCAGTCAAAAGAGCTTGGGTTTACCTTTCTGGCGTGTTGTGATAGCCTCAGGTATTGTCGTCCTGGTTCTGGGTCCTATCAATATTCTGGCCGTGAGTCTAGAAGTATCATCGACACTGGAAGAGAACTAACCGATCTTAGAGCTATGTATTCAGAGACAAGCACAGCCATCTCACGGCACGTCAAGTTCGGTCTCATGGCGCTGTTGCGTCTCACAAGGCAGATGTAGAGGCATCAACTCCAAAGCCACCGAGCCGAAAAAGTCATTATCGATCATTCTTCCTGGGCAGCAAACGCGACTCACTCCCATCATATTATTCCCGCAAGAACGCTGATCGTGGCGAAATGGGCCAGACACCGAAGATGCACATGGCTATTTCCAGTCCGTTCCCCCAAGATGCGTCTCTAGTGAGAACAGCTCAAAGCCCCGGAGCGTCAAGCTCCAAGTATAGCCAAAGCCCCAAAAGTGAGCGATATGCCATGAGCCCCGAATTGAACAGACCAAATCTGGCACGTCATCCGGCCATGACACAAGGCCATGCAATCTGAATAGAGAGGGAGATATGGGCTTCAGTAACTGATGCTGACTGATTCCACCCTTTTGCAATGGGGGTTGATGTTCTGCGGGTTTTACACATGATACCACGGGGGATCGGCAAGGCGTTCCTTACCTAAAAAGCAACGATCCGCAAAAGCACCTGGCGGTGGCTGGTTTATCAAGCCTAGCGTGATATCAAATGGTTCGCTTTCTCTGAAGCAGAATCTACATACCCAGCAATAGATAAAACGCAATAATAAGCTTGAAAACGAATGAAATTTCCACCAAAAGTTCTTCTCTGGCTCGAAGGGGTTCACGTGTTATAGGATCCCTTCTCACACGATAAGCGTAGCTGCTGAGCAGCCATTGGGGCGCCCCGCACACTGGGCTTTAAAGATCTTACCAAAGCAGCGAAAGGGCCCACGCCTTAAACAAGTAACAAGAGACGCGGCACGCACGCGTAGATTTGCGTTCCTTCGTAGGTCAGTACTTAGTAACTTTCGGAGTACTGATAAGTTACTGAGTGGCAAAGGGTCTGGAAGAACACAGGTTCCAGACCACTCTTACTTTTAGGATTTTGGGGTCCAAGAGGCTTTTGGAAGCTCCACCGATCTGAAGCGCCTGGGATGCTTGGTTGCTTGAAACGGGAAGCGTTGCCTCATCTGTGCCCATTTGCTGCCTTCTGAAGTCGCCACCGCTGGCCTCTTTGCCTGCGCGAGGGTCTTTCTTGCGTGGAGAGCCCCTCGATGTACCTCTTCCCTGGGGGCCCCTCCCCTCCCTGGCGCTCGCGTTCTCCTCCTCCTCCTCATCCTCATCCCCCTCGTCCGCTGCATCCCAGTACCAAGCAACGGCTAACTCCCACGGTGCCCTGCATGCGAGACCCAGGCCGCCTTGCGTGCTCGCAAATGAAGTAGCTCCCTTAGCTAGAACAGCATGCATTGTTTTCCGTCTCATCCAGTCGCAGGCGTCGCGGGGATGCGCCGGTGGGTAGCCACAGTTAGCCACCTGGCGAATTCACCACATTTGGGTACTTGGACTTCCCAAGAGGGCATTCCTGTACAAACTTCATCGTCCAGCAGCGCTAGAATCGCCACTCAAGTGGGGACTGAGGAGAGCTCTGGCTGGGCTTTGATGAGATGACGAGACGAATGAGCGGCACAGGACTCGGAGACAAGCCTGGTTGCAGAGAGGATGCATATGCGAATATCCAGCTGCCGCAGCACCTGTCCTTGAACTGGTCTTGTTTCCCTTCTTCTTCTTCATCTTCTTCTCCTGTGAGGCTAGGGCATCAAGGTTCTGGGAGCTGGATAGAGATTAGGAGTGGTTGTCTTTATGGCCTCCCTCGGTCTACGCGTATTCCGTAAGGATGTGAGCAATGAGCATCTACAACGTCCATGGACTCAAGCACGCTCAATAGCACTCTTACATAGTCAGAGAGTACGTCGATGCCGCGACTCAAACAAGACCGCTGAGCAAACCACATAGACACGGACGGGCCACACCACCCTTGATCTCTACTGTCGACTGGGACAGCATTTGCAAACGAGGACCATAACCAGGCCAGACCCAGACCCAGACCCAGACCAAGACTCAGAGCCAGTCCTGCAGGCTTCGCCCTACGCGCCCACCTACCAAAGGGGCCTAAGCGCCGCCACAGAGGGATTCAATGCAGCGTCATATCCGTACGCCTATCCACAAGGAGTTGGGCCAGCCTAAGTACCCAAGTACCTCCCCTGTAAGTCAGCCCTTTGCTCCACTCCCTCGTCTGCCGGTACCTACAGTATGTACTCCGTACTCTGTACCTCCCATCCATCAGCATGCGCTCGCCCTCCGCGTTGGTCTAGATCTGACGACCTAACGAAGGAGAATCCCCCACTTCATGTGGAAAGAATTGCCACTGTCAATCATAGTGGGCAGTGGGCAATTGAACCCCGTCCCGGTGCTGGTGCCCACTGGCAGCTCTGGAAGGGAAACTATGCAGGTTTACAGGGTACTTTGAACTACCTAAGCACCCTGCCCTAGGTGGATGTGTACCAAGGTACATTCCGGAGAACTACACTTTGTCCTTGTTGTAAGGTGCCACTGCCACCTCTCTATCCATGAGATCAAGGACGGCAGAGATCTAGGTTCAGGCAGCGGAGACCCCATCTGCGTCAACATTGCTTGATATCAGTCACCTCCTAGCCATCTAAGATTTATGTGCATCGTACATGTCACTTGCCTCTGCAGGGGAGGACCTCCACATGCCGCATACTCAGGTATGGATGACTCTGTACTCTGTGTCAGAGAGCCTCTATGTACTTAAGAGATCGACAACCTGTTCCTCTAAAGAGCAGGCCGATCCGCGTGATCATCAAGCCAGCGCTCGTAAGTAAGAATGAGAGTGACTTGGACTGACCGTCCTCGCGCCACCCCCCCCCCCCCCCAGCCCCCCACAAGTTGTTCTGGGTTCCCCCTTCCCCCCTTCTTCAGACACAATCAAGCTCCAGCGAGGCAAGGCAAGGTAAGTGGCGCGGGGGCAGAAATCGAGGGTCATCATCTCGGCGAGGCTCGCCGCGCCATCCTCAGTTATGGCGCCAGTGCGCGTTGACGAGCCATCACAATGATGACTATGATGATGACTATGATGGCAAATCCCGCGCGTGTTCCAAGCGGACCAGTCCAACGGTCCGGGGCTGCGCTGGGGGGAATGGAAGGCGAAAGGGAACCAGACTTGTGTACCTACGGGTAGTTCTGTGTGTGTACGGACGAGATCGAGTCATCGTCATCTTTTAGTCAGTCCTTACCGGCCCTGGCTCGCAACCACTCCAACTCGGGTATCTAGATGTAGGCACCCAGTGGGCAGGCAGTTCGGTAAGCTGATACACTACCTGGTATCAGTGTTATTCATCAATTGGCTGCATATCTTGTCCCCCCATATGCGCACGCCTACCAACCAACAGGCGCACACATATCATCATGTCATGCATATAATTCTCGGCGATTGCAAGCCGGCCATCAGAGCCACCACCACCACCGTTATGATGATGATCCACCTTGGTACCGGGTACAAGCACTGTAACAGTGAGGGTGGAAGTTCGCTTCAGCCTTGCGGAACGCATGAAGGAGGCCAAAGCCTTATGGAATGTCGTTGCGCTTTGCGCCTCCTACCACCAAGGAAACAACAAAATCCAAACAAAACAATCCCAAGTGCGGGCGCACGTGTGTTTGGAGTACGGGGTACCAGCAGGATCTGTACAGAACGTACATTTATTCTTTCTGAGCTGGAATTTGAGAAAGTGGGGGATGGATAGATAGGTTGTATCGCGTCATTACTGGTGTCGCTCATTCTGGCCCTGTCTGCAAAGTATCACATATTTGTATGCGCTGATTCGTTTCATCTGAGTATCCTCCACTTCACCAGCAAAACAAAAGATTGGGCATGCATCTGCGACTGGCATCCATAAAAGCATGCCCACACAATTCCGTAGGGGGAAAAGTCGTTTCATCGTAAGAATCTCAGACCCCTGTTCATCAACCAAACCAACATGTCTCCAGTGTTGTCGACTCCCAAATTCTGATGCAAAATCCAAAGAAAAAACAACCACAAAATGCATCCAACAATGCGCCCCTCCTTGAATCACGTAAACATCCAACTCGATCTCCTTCCAGCAGGACTCTTGCTCCTAGTCTGACTCTTCTCCCGGACGACGTACATCTTGTCACCTTTCTTAACAAAAGTGTCGTTCGGGGTGAGTGTGGTGATGGTTTTGGTTTCCTTGACGTAGGGCCCCGTGATGAGTTTTCGTTCCTTGAGTTTCCGCGTGTGTTCGAAGAGCTCGTCTTGGAGGCTGTGGTCGATGTACTTCTTGATGATAATGTATTCTTCATCGCGCTGCGGGAGGAGGCAAATAGTTAGTGGGAAAGTATTGTAAGGGGTTCGTGTCGAGGGGGAAACGAAGAATACATACCCCGTCCCATTCCCATGGTAGTCCGTATGCATCCAGCGTGTCAGGATGGAGGTACTTCCGATTGACTTTGATGTAGGTCGGACGATGAAGATCGATCGCCAACGTCGCCTTCTCCTCTTTCTTCTTGTGCAGTACTTCTTCAATGTAATCGGGACTGTAGCCTGTTGTGCCAGAAGAAAAGACAAAAATTCCAATTAGCCACCCATGCGAAAAGAGCCGTCAAGCAAATGAAAAGGGGAAGAAGCGACAACACAAGCAAGAATGAAACATAGGCCCAAAAAAGAACTAGGACGGTCAAGCCCCACAAAACTCATGATGCACATCCAGCAAAATCTGTATCAACGATAACCACCGCAGTATGGGTAAGGATATGGGTAGGGGAGGGGGTAGGAGCGGAAGCCATAAACTGGCCGTCCCCAGGGGTGCTCACCGGCTTTCATGAATTTCTCCTTGACCTTTCGCTCAAATTCCTCCTCCTCAGCCTTTTTCTTTTCCTTCTCCTTCTTCTGTCTCTCTTCTTCGTCCTTCAACACCTTCCTCCTCAACTCCTCGGCTTCTTTCTTTTTGCGCTCTTCTTCCAATTTGGCTTCAAGCAAGATGGCCTCGCGTTCTTTTTTCTTGCGATCCTTCTCGAGCGCTTCCTCGTATTCCCATCGTTTTCTGGCTTCCTCGCGGTCTCTCTTTGCACGCTCTTTCTCCTTCTCCTCTTCATATTGCCATTGTTTCTTAGCGTCTTCACGGTCTTTCTTCATCCTCTCTAGTATTCTTCTCTCTTCTTCCTCTTTTCTTGAGAGTCGACCATAGTCGAGATCCTTGCGTAGCTCATAAGAGAGCTCGGTTTCTTTGGTGGTCTTTCTGCTGCTGCTACCGCGGTGGCTGCGGCGGTGTGATCTGGATCGATCGCTGGAATAGTCCGAGCTGGACGAACGACTTCTACTGCGATGGTGCCGGTGACGACTGCGGGAACGGCTATGGCCTCGTTCCGACGGGACCGTGCCGATGTTGACAATTGTGGGTGCAGGACCACCACCTGTGCTGGAAGCCCGGGGTCGTTGCTGAGGCACGCCTAGGTAATTATTGACGACTGCCTCAACGGGAGAGCGCCGTCCATCACCACCCCGTCGAGAGCGTCCATAGTCACTGCCGGCATGGCTGCGAACTGGCATCAACACATACTCAGCTTCAGAGCCTGAGGAACGTCTTGAGTAAGGCATGATTTGTGGTTGTCACGGGGGGGGGTGCCGTGTTTGCAGTTGCTGCGTTTGCCTAGAATAATTGCCCCTCCACGAGGTTGGCAGGCGCAGGTGCAGGCGCAGACTGCCCGCTCTTCAGCCCTACGGAATACAAGCGGCTGCTGATCCAAACCTTTGCGTGTGTGGGAAGGTGGGGTCAATCAACGCCCCGATTGCTTAGACAGTCCAAGTAGTCGGGCGCAAGGTATACAGGGGGAATGGCAGCTCAACCAAGAGGCATCCGTTGCACAGGTTTCAACATAGGATGAATGGTGTGCCTGACAGCAGTGGTAGAGAAGAAGGAGAGTGGTTGCAAGAGGATACCGCAATTTCAGCTGGACCGTGGGGATGCAGTTGGGTTTTATCTTTAGGAGTCAGAAGTCAGGAATCAGGAGGCCAAGGGATCTCCAGCAAATGACCGGGTGCCAGAGTGCCACTCCAGTAATGTTTGCTTGCGCAGGGCCTGAAGCGAAGCCAGCAACCTGCAGGCTTGCGGCTGGATTGCAGCCATCAAATGAGCGATGGCTGGTCTCCCGAGAGCCACAAAAGCACACAAAGCGAAAATTCAAAGGTTGGGGGCCGGGAGACTAAGAGCAGATGACTTTGTAAGAGGGAATTACAAGGTACGACTGCGACTGGTGTGGCCCGTCAACGCATCATGGACAAGGGGGCCACCGCTACTACTTGCGACTATACTCGTAGGTGTTTGATTCCTATGATAGCCATGATACGAGTTTGATTCCTATAGCCATGACCATGGCCACAATTTGATTACCCGGGAATAACAACGGGAGTAACTTCTCCGCCCGCTGTTAGATCGGATGGTTACCTTTTGCTCATCAAAAGGCTCTTTTTGTGAGTGATCCAATTGCTATGAAGCCCACGCGTCTGCTGCCCTAAGTGATTCTATTGCGCTCTCCTCCGAGTTTGACGTCCGAGAACGAGGGAGAACGTTTGAAATGGCAGGGCTTTGCAACACCTTTGTTTCGTTTGGCGACCAGTGTTAAGTATAGCAAGTGGCCAAACACCTGAGTTGGTCTCAGGCCCCCTAGCGCTATTGTTGCCACCTGACCCGCCTGCTCTTAGCTACCTACGGAGTACGGAGTACTCATAACTTCCGAGGAGTAATGTGTATACACGTAACTCGTTAGAGAGTGGGAATTCATCAACTGTCGGTGTCTATTTAACAACGAGAGTGCGTCATCCCGCCCTCGCGTCCTTAGGCAGACTAGCTAGCTGTTGCAGTTGCTACTTAAGTGCTAGTTATCATAGGCATTTCGTGATGCTGCTCTGGCGCCCACCATCTGATAGCCTGGTCCACATAAGGCACTTTCCTGGGTTCAAGGACTAGACACTTGAGTCCACCTTGGTTGCACTTGACTGCGGCCCAATTCATTTCCAAGACAAAGCTAATTACATATCCATGTTCTGTCTGACACCATTTCCACACATGTATGGTGCGTTGTCTTTGTGCATCATCGACTGACGGGCGGGGCTGTCACGTATCGTACGCACTAGCAAATAGACCTGCTCCGTAGAGGGGCAGATATCAAGCAGTGATACACATCGATGCATGCTCTACCAGTGTCGTCTGCCCGAGAAGGTTTCTTCATTGCTTGTGCACCGGCATGGCGCGAGACAGGACCCGACTCGCGTGCTGCCGAGTTGTTTCACTTCTATCCTCTGCTTCGTCGTGATACACTGAGCAGCAGCCTCGACCGCTGTCAATCAGAAAAGGCCAGAGCCGCCTGTAGTCTCGGCGGATTCAACAGAATATAAGAGATCTGTAGCACGAATTCGCTTGGGAGTCGCTCAACCATTTCACGGACGAGACCCGGTTTGAAGGATCTTTTCAATATGGCTGCGACTGTTCTTGTAGGTGGTTTCTTGATAGTGCAATCTTTTCTCCAAGTCTGCAATTTCCTTGTTCAGAGTAGTCGACTCGCTATGTAAGCGTTGGTTCAAGGTAGTGATTGGTACAGCGACAAACCTGCCGAGCGCTCTGTTAGATGGAGTTCTCAGCAAGGGAGGATGTGGAAGCGTACATCTTGCCAACACCCTCGTAGACGTTGGTGTCTTTGGACAAAGACTTCAACTCATTGGAAGTGAGATGGTTCAAACGCGCATCCCTCCGTTTGGCACCGAGTTCTGCCTGCGTTTGGGTGATTTTTTGCTGGGAGAGAACGGCTTGGGTTTCGACCTCTTGAAGCAACTAACCAGGTGATGGGTTAGAGAGTTCTCTTCTTTATTTTGACCCGGTGCGAATCACTTACCTTCTGGAGGGCAGCGTTTGGAATCGCCATTCTGCCTAGGGGACCACGACGGGTATGGGCAGAGGAAGGAAGTGGTCGTCCAAATTGTGCCTTGATCAGCTAAGTACCTCAGCAACACTCTGTCAACACTCTGTCAATGGGGTGGTTGGTGTGCCGTGCCTCTGCGAACTTATGACCCTCCGAATCGACCCTAATGTAACGAGAGTGGTGGACGATTGAAGGGGCCAGGGGGAACTCTGCCTGCGTTTGCAGTGTGCCAGTCCGCCAACGCAGGCTCCTCGGTACCGGTACGACCTATAGCTTCGCTCGTTCTTGCCCTCTTCCGGGTGCGCTGCCAGCGCGAGGCACGTGCTTTGGGTGACGCGCCACCGCTTGCAAGGAACCCGAGAGTCCGAGACATGCAAGGGCAGCATTGACGTCACACCTGTCACATCCTCTCCAGCAAACACGTTCTTAATCCCCCACTACCTACATGGGGCGCATACAGTCATCTCGAGCATTGTCAGCGACTGCTGTACTTTGGTCCCGTTCCACTTCTATCCGGCCGATACTTATATTATAAGCCTGGCCAGCTAGTTTGTTCCAAGATGATAATTTTCTAGCCCTGGCCTATCCAATTTCTTGTGCATTGCCTTTCGTCAACATGTCTCCGTGGCTTCCGTCCATTCCTTACCCTCCTCCAGACCAACCAGGGTTCTGGGATCCGGTGACCTCGACTCTACAGTGGTGCGAAGAGGTACAAATTGGGCCTGCACATCGCTGCGTCGTGCTTTGCTGATAATACAAGGACTACTATGTGACCTACTACTCAGCGGAAATAATCAACACCTTAACCAACCTTATGTTCATCTATTTGGCATATGAGGGCGTCAAGAGCTGTAGGAAACATGGACATGATACCGTCTTTGAGGTTGCTTATTTCGGATACTTTCTCGTCGGATTTGGGAGCTTTATGTTTCATTCTACTCTGAAATGTGCGTTGATCCGCATCTTGTTCTAAAGCGCCGGTTGACAATGATAGATCCCTGGCAATTGGTCGACGAACTCAACATGATTTACACCACCTGTCTTATGGCATATGCAAGCCTTTCCTACTCCCGCTCAGCGAGCGTTCAAATAGCTCTCGGTGTCTGTCTGACCCTGTTCTGCGGTGCCATCACGGTCTATTATCATTATGTACAGGACCCTACCTTTCACCAGAATGTTTATGCAGCATTGACCGTCTACATTGTCTTTCAAAGCATATATCGTATGGAGTTTACGCTTCGACCTTCCCTGAGAAGGAGCGAGGAGAAACACCGAAGAGAACGAGAGCTCCGCAACGACCCCTTGAAGAGCAAAGCTGAAAATGAGTACGAAAACAAACGAGATATGGAGATCTTAAACACCATGTGGCTGCTAGTGGGATGCGGCCTCTCAATTTTTCTCGGTGGTTTCGGAATCTGGGCTCTGGACATCAAATACTGCCCAACACTTCGAACATGGCGCAGAAGCATTGGGATGCCATGGGGTTTCTTGCTTGAAGGCCATGGCTGGTGGCACCTGATGACTGGCATTGGTGCATACTGCTATATTGTCTGGGGCATTCACCTCCGACACATCCTCAACGGCGACCAGGAGCATTATGTCATGGTCTGGCCTAGGATATATCGACTTCCCGAGATCGTCAAACTATCTGAACCACCTCCAAAGGAGACAACCAATGGGACCGTTGCTAACGGCACACTGGATCACAAGAAGACCATCTAAAGAACCTCAAACTTGACAATCTTGTTGAGATACGGAGTAGATATGCTCGGAAATAGTGAGGTAGGTAGAATTGAACCCACGGTCACATGACTTTCCTGTTCCCCCCTTTTCTCAGGCCTTTCTCCGGAGTACTGCCTTAGAGATCAACCGCGGATCTGGATCTGCTAAACAATTCACCGTACACAACAAGGACAACACCTTTCTCTGTGAAGATCAATAACCAATCTGCTCATGTGCTACAATATAGGTACATGACTGCCAACATTTCCCAAGACCACCTTGGTCCGTTGTCCAAATCGCGATGAACTCCAACAAGGGCACCGCAATCAGTAACGTCTTACTCCCTCATAGAGTTTCAGATGATCTTCCTCTCGAACGACAGGGCCACGTGTTTTGTCGTCCTTGTCGAACTGTGCCGCAAATTTGGCCCAGACTCTGCCTTGAACCCAGGCATGTGGAGAGGGGCCGTCTCTCTCATGCCACCATTCCCACTTTCACCCTAAAACTAAATCCGTTCCCAGCACTAAGTGGGTGAGCTGCATCGATTTTGACTGCGTGATGTACATACAGTTTGTTCTGGTAACGACAGCATTTATACTTGTGGGAGCATCATCAACATGAATACTAAAATAGTCATGGATTTTCAGTGTAGTGTTGGCGGCTACGCAGTACTTTACGTGGATATGGAGGAAAGGGTACCAGGTCAAGGGAGCAGATCGGCATGACTTGTCTGACTGGGACGAAAAAAGTACACTTTCGGGACCACTGTCTCTAAAGAGCAACGAGGATGATCTTGCCGAGGTAACAGGGGCTTTGCTTTGGGTGAGCTCGCTGGGAAGATAGTGTCCGGATACAAGGTACGATGTCAATGATAGTAAAGCTAAATAGCATAATGTGAATCTTTCGAGACGATGCACTCTGAACGATGGGCCAAACCCCAGATGGCCGAAACGAACGAAAAGAAAGAAAAGGATAGCTCGCTAGACTCGAAACGAAGGAGTGAAAGAATCAAACCTTGAGGATTGGGTCTCAATGGTCTTTCGTCAACACACAAATTAGCACCGAAATCTACTTTTAGCCGCCACCCATAGAAACAATTTGAGGAACTCCTCAAATTGGATATATCAGGGCGCAAAAGGATTCAATAGGAACGCAGAATCAAGATGGGTTCTGCAGGGAATTGCTCCGCTCGAGTTGAACGACTGGAATACTTGTGTTGCGGGTGAGATTCCTTGCCATCTGGATCTAGATCTCGTGGGAAAGACTAATGATCCACGAAGGCTTATGGACCAGCGTTAAGCTAACAAGGAAGACGACACTGCAAATATGCTGCTGTAGCATATGAGGTAACGGGGAGTTCTATCGATGGGAGCTCGATCTAGCGTTGGTAAGATGAGAACGACAGCACACCCCAGCAACACCAAAAGAAAAAAACGAAGGTCATATAGTGAGTGAATGCTCCACCGTACCTCCGAGAGAGCGTGAAACCGTATTGGCTGGAATTTCACTACATCCAGGCACGCGCCATCTAATTAAGCGTGTCGTCAGTATTTACGCATTTCATATCCACTTGGATTTACATGACAATTCAACAACTTCGAAGAGTCTGGCAACCGCAAACGAGATCAAGTAGCCCCGTACGGGAGCTACATTAGCACTCTAACCTGGCTATACTGGAGTGACTGTTTATAGCGGTCCATAACCTTGTCCTGGGGCAACAATCGCTGGGCTGTCTAAAACTATGCCTTTCATCTGGAGGAACAGCATTTAATAGTCTCAGCCCTGGCCGCAGAGCAACACCTATAGGTCGGTTATCAAGGAGATGGCAGGACCACCACCCAATCCAAACACCGTCTCCAATCTACTCTCAACACATCGAGCCCTTGTCGACACACTCACGTCCTTTTTAACCGTCACAACCCACCACATTTTGTACCTACGACGCCTCTACCCACCAGTGTCATTCCTCTCCGCCCGGGCCTATAACTACCCGGTACGTCAGAGCCGCCACCCCGCCGTCTGCGGCTGGATCAAGGACGCGGTGGCAGCTATTCGCGACCAGCTCGAGAAGAACACGGTCGAGAAAGTATCGCTGTGTATCTACGAATGCGATGAGAACCGCGTCCTGGAACGATGGACTTTCGACCTGCGATCTTTTCCCAGCGTCGCCAAACGCGACCGTGACGTCCCGTTCGAATCATCGTCCAATAATGTCAACGATGCAGACCACCCCCTCGCCAGGAGAGTCAATCTTGCAGATCTCGAAGCCAACTTCAGAGCGACCTTGTCCCGCATCAGCACTTCTGCTGCCAAGTTGACACCCTTACCCGAAGGTCCTGCAGCCCCAGAATGCAGCTTCACCTTGACGATCGAAGTCAAGGACAAAGCCGACCGGCCCGTCGGACGTCTCGAGAAGGAAGAACGCAAATGGATAGCCTCCGAACCGGAACCATTCGATCGAAACACAAACAATCCAACTGGCGAAACCTCATCCTCGAACCCGCTCAATCAGAGTAACTCAGAAAACCCCGACCCCAACTCGAAGACCCATGCAATCCGGCGCCTAGAAGCAGGTGAGCTACGCATGGAAGTGTGGGTCGAAGAATCCGCCGCCAAATTCTCCTACCAGCCATCATCATCGCCATTGTCGTCCTTTTCCTCCCAACGACCCCCAGCTTCAGACCCAGCACAGCGGCGTGCCAAAATGTCCTACGGCGCGGGCACCGAGAAGTTCAATCCGGAAAACGCGATGTACCAGTATGACGTGGAGCCGGCGGACATCAACAGGAAGCCGCAGAGCGGAGCGATGACAGATTACCAACGTGGATGAAGAAAGCATCCCGTTTTACGAATGAAATGAAATGAAAACGCCCTTAGCATGGGGCTCAGAGCGTGGGTCAGGAAGGACATAGACATGCGTATGGGCATTGGCATGGCATGGGCATGGGCATTACCGGACCGCGATGCCAGCGCCAACGACAACGAAAATATCAAGATGGACACGAAGGCCCCGAGTCGCAGGGATATGCGGCCGGGAAAAGCGCAGAGCCAAGCCACATTGACCAGTCAAATAGTAGCAGGCAGCCCAAAAAAAAAAAAGAAAACCAAAAAACCCTGCACCGGTACCCAACGAGATGAACAACCATTCGAGTATGCTCACTGTCCAGGGCTCAGCTAGTCATTGATAGACATACCTAGCCCTGGTGTGAATCCTCTCCAAGATTGGAATGTTGCTGCATTATTAGAGAGTCAAGGCGCCGACTTGTGTAGGCGTGCTCATTTTAACTGATTTTGTCCGGTGATTATTAATTCTGCCTTCGAAAACTAATGAAAACTAACAGTACAATACTGACTGACGGGGCCTGCTTCGACGTCTGTTCATAGCCCGTGTCCTGTGATTTAACCGTCCTCCATCCTCATTTACTCTGTGACATGCCAGGTATTGATTCGGCTCTTCTGGCCTCTAGCTCACTGGGCTCGAACACCGTCCACCCTGTTCCTGAAACGTGCAAAAGAAAAATAAAAGAGAAAAAGGAAATCCAATGCCTCATGATGACAATGGCCCCTGATAGCACAAGTCAATAATACTCCAACACGGATCCTACTGATCTGGTAGTCCAATTCTCTCAACGTATGCTATTCATCGTTGCCCAGTGCTTCGATCGCCTCGTATCGAGTTTGGCACCAATGGCAGACCAATCTCTTGCAGCCTAGTTCCAGGGTCATCTAGCATTCCCAGATTTAGTCTTCCACTCACGGGTCAGGTCGGACGCGGTCGTCCCCCAAAGATCTCTCGAAAACCATAATCTTCCTCAGCATCGTAGTTGGGTGGGGACCCAAATGTCTCTTGCGCTTGATTCAAAGCGAACTCGGGAGGTGCATATGGTGGAGGCGCAAGTCGGGTATGTGGAGACTCGTTTGACGCACCGAGGCTGCCATTTGGAGAAAAATCCCAAGAAATGGGCCCAAATTGCGGATATTGTGATCTGCGATCGATTCGGTTCCATGGTGGAGAGGCACGATTTGGCTGGGTAAGCTGTGGGGGAACCAGGGGGTGGTCGACGTTCGGCATCCGTGACTGCGCATGGAACGCCCCGGGAATGCGTCGATAGACATTGCCAGCGCCAAACGGCAGAACAGACTCCTTGCCCTTGCCTTTATCTTTGTCCTTATCTTTGTCCGGCGACTCATGTGGTTGAGTGTTGTTGGTAGGAGGTTCAACAGCAGCCATTCGACGCGCAAAATGGTGTCCATGTCCAATGTCATGTGGGTTAAATGCAACTCGCACGTCAAATGCTGGGATCATCAGTCTATCTGGAATACCGTGTTGGAGAGTTTCTATCTGTCGTCGTGCTTCTCTGCGATTTCGATCCGTGAGCAGAAGATCTCGTCTCTGTTGCTGCAAGTCACGCAAGATGCGCAAATGGTTGTCGCGATGATTTGCATGGCGCACAAACATGTCACGAGCAGGGTGCAGGTCCAACGCTGTTGGTTTTGGCTTACCAGTTTCTACTTGAAGTCTTGTCTCGTCAACACTGGAATCTTCTTCTTTGGCTTTTCTGATGGCTTCTCTCTCAGCGTCATCAGCCTCAACCTCATGGCGATCGACACCTACGCGATCATAAAGGGAGCATTTGGCGCCGGGCTTGTTAAAATGGTTGTAGACATTTGGCCCAAGCTTGGTGAGATCTTCTTGGCATTCGTAACACATGAATGCTCTGCAGGTGGCGCAAATCATCTTGTTGCAGCCATCTTCTTTGATGATCTTGACTTTGCATTTAGGGCATGTTCGCATGACAGCATCAGATCTGGCTTCTTCGACTCGATGGCGAGCAGTGAGATCGTTCTCCTTTTGGTGTTCCTCGCATGTCTTTGGTGGATGGTTCTCCAAGTGACATTTGCGGCAAGAGACCACCTCACATTCAGGGTTCTGGCAAGCGAAAACGGGATTAACGTCCACGGTATCACAGATGGCCTTGAAGTCACAGAAGGGGCATTGTTCTAAGCCTTCAAGGTCGGCAGCCATGATTTCTGCCTGTTGTCTGTTGAATTCGAGACGATCAAAAGTTTTGATGTCGATTGCTTTTGCAATGGCCGACCAACAAAGGTTAGCGGAGCAGATTGTAGCATCCATGCATTTCATTTCGTATTGCATGAGGCCAACCTGGGACTCTGCAAGGCCAGAAATACATGTGAAACAGAAAGAATGTGCAGGATCTGCTTCGCAGATGACGGTTCGGTTAAGTGGCACGGTTTCTTCGAAGCAGCAACCACAGGAAGTGATTGCACCGATGGCTTTTTGCTCCCGCGCATTGACTTCCTCGGCGTCATCCTTTGCCTTTTGAATACTACTCTTGTGGGCTTCTCTGGCACAATGTTGCTTGGCAGCCTGCAACTCATTGACTTGTTGAATATATTGGTGGTGAATGCGCTGTTCACGAGGTGTGAGTTGGTACTTCTTCTCTATCACCACTCTGGGAAATCTCAATCTTGCATAAGGGCGGGGATTGAGGTGGTGAAATTTGATTTCCTTTTCATCCAGATGGACATAGGTATCGAATAATGATTTTGTCTCATGAACCATCTTATGAATGTAATAAGTTGGGGTGTGATCGAAGACTTTGGCAAGCAGAATAACGGCTTCCTTGAAGTACATTGGATCTTTCGGAAGGTCTCTATTCCAAGCGATGGTTTTCCCTGTTCCATCTCCCGGGAGACCCTCGGTCTTGGTGGCCTTTGGTTGTTTTGGGTAAGAACTCAGTTCAAGGAGTTCGGAAATGATGGTTTGTGGGATGACTAAGTCGTAATCGGTCAGAGTGATAATGTTTCGGACCTTGCTCTTTCTCCATGGACTTTTCATGATCTTTTCCAGTACGAATTGACGCTGAACATCTGGGAAAACCTCGAGGACGGCGGAGAGGCACAGATGGTCAAAATAGGTGCCCCCCTGTTTCTCATTGTCAGTGGTTTCGTCGCTGCCGGACTCAGAGTCGGAGTCGGAGTCAATATCATGGATTTGAGTACGAGTCAAAGGTGGAGGATGGAGCAGTCTCATACCCTTTCTCAATCGGCTTCTCTCCTGGGCGGCATCCCATTTGTTGCAGATGATTTGATGGTCGTTGTTCGTGCCTAAGGCAACATGGAACCGCTCGTAGCCAGGGCCTCGATACATTGTGATCTCCAAGTCACGATCAAAGAAATAAGGGGCTGGTTTCTGGACTTTGAGTTTCTTGCGGATAGGCGGTTTTTGCTGCAAGTTTGGCAAAGGAGGGAGGTCCGTATTTATAGCATTGAGAGTGGTTGGCATGGCCAGTGTGCGATTTCCCGCATCGTGAAGGAAGGAGAAGTCGTCAAAGTTGTTTGCTGGTGGAAGTCCATTGTTGACGGTAGGCAGCGAGTGCTCGTGTGAAGGTAAACCCGGGGTGACTCTGGGGCGAGCAGTGGCTGAGGCTCCGGCTTGAACGATAGGGTCAAGTCTGATTCGTTTGGGAGGCTGAGGAACGTGGGAAGGACGGGATCGACCAAGGAACGTGAGATCGCCATCCGAGTCAGACGTGAGGTCGATCGGCTCGCTGTGACGGCTGGCTCGGACACCGAATTGGTGAGACTCAGAAACCGCAGGTGCCAGGGTGGAAAATTCGACATCAGAATCATCGTCATCCGAGATCTCTAGTACTGGCCGTGGCCCAATGTTGAAAGCGGAGTTCATTTGAGGGATAGGTGGGTAGCGAGTGAGGCTTGCAAGGAACTGTTGATGGACGTGATCCGGAAGAGGAGGAATGCTGGTCAAGTGTATCAGTTGGTGGTTTTCATGATGAGAAGGCTGAAAGGCTCAGTTTGCAGGAGATGCAAGTAGCGATTCGTTCACTTCGAGTCTTTCGCCCAAGGGTCGATGCACTTTATGAACGTGGAAGTAATAGTGGCAGTAACAGTGACAGTAGCAGGGGCAGCAGAAGGAGTTGATTGACTTACAAATTGGGCAAGTAATAGCCTTCCATTGTGTTTGGCTCTGGGTGTCAAGGCATGGACAAGAGGCAATACCTGGGAAGGTGAGGATCAAAGGTGAGGTCCTTGGTGAGACCCGTGAACAGGAGGACACACAGCGAAAGGGAAGCAGTGAGCGGAGAGTCCAACAGACGGTGACCACCTGGTGGCCAGGCGGCTGTCAGGCAGTGTTCAGGGATATCAAGTAGGGAACTCGAGAGGTTGATTGAGGCTGAGATAGGGTGCGATGAGGCTCAGATAAGTAGGATGGGATTGATATGAGCTGATGATGACATGATGTGAGCTGACCGGTGATGGGAACTGAATGAGATACGACATTTAGATGGCAATATTAACGTAGATGGCAACAGTGAAGGCTGAAGGCGGTGTCGAAGGCGGTAGCGAGGGCGGTGTTGACGAGCAGCGAGTGCGTGCGTGCGTGCGTGCGTGCGTGCGTGAATGAGTGAGTGAATGAGTGCGTGAGTGGTGAGTGCGTGAATACGTGAGGTGGACAGCGAACCTGGAAAGGCAACGAAGAGGGGTTGGATTTGTCGCTGGCGAAGGACGCCCAAAAGGGCAACCATATTTGCCAGGGATTATGGTACCATTATTGTACCATCGTTATTTCGTCATTATCCCATCATTATCCGTTATTATTCCACCCTGGTTCGCATGGCTGGTGGCGCCTATCCTGAGGCATCCGCTCATACCATAAGTACCCGTGAATACGGCAACCTGTTCATTGCCTGATAAGTCACAGCTGCACACCTGCGATGGCCTGATATCTGGTATCCAAGAAGAAACAAAATACCCACGACCCACGACCCTCGATTATCTGTTTGTTTTTCTTTCCTTTCTTCGTTTAGCTACCGTGGCTAGTGATGGATCCTGTTCCCACTTCAGTGCCTGAACGGCTCCATCGGGGACGGAACTCCCACGTTCTTACCTCCTATCTAACGTACTTTCAGTTAGGCCTCTTCGGCTACAGCGGGTAGACCCATCAGGCAAGAGTCAGTGCCTGTCCGTCTAGAGCCCAACTGATCCTAGGCGCTCCGGGCGCTTAATCCGCACCACGGCAGCACCCAAAGTAGCCAAGTGCAATGGACATCTTAGGTAGGTATCCGGAACCTATCAGTTGCAGGACTTTCTTACTATCAGAAAGTACTCGGTACTGATCTCCAAAACCAATGCCAAGCCCACAACCCCCCACCAAACCCTTGCACCCCGCATCGGCCACCACATACGAAGCTTTTCTCCTAGGTACCTACGATTCTGTACCTGGTACCCTACGCCTTCGGCTTTTCTCCAATCTCCCATACCATTACCTGCGTTGGTAAGGGTGTTGACAGAAGAGACTAGGAATGACTTTGCAGTGTTGAACAACCATGGGTCATCTCCTCTAACACGGCCCTCATCACTTCTCCACCAGGTACTAGTATCTTTGCCGCGCCCTGCGCCCTACCACTAGGTAATCCATCTGCGCTCGACATCTATATTTGAAACATTTTCCTGCATTTCCTTTCTCACTAACTTGGCCCTAGTCATTCCTGTCCGGCACCTTCGCTAACAAGATGGCCATTACAACCTCCCTGTTAGCCAGCCTGCCGGTCCCCTTCCTTCCCCCACCGGTTGACGAGGCGTCACTACCATCGGCACAATCTGCAGACCTGGTACTTGTTCCGGCTTCAGATTCTGAATACGTCCAGACCGCTTATCTAAATGGCGAATCATGGAAGGGGCCTTTGACCATGGACCAATACCTCGAACGAGAAGTCGACCTCCAATCAGTTACCTTGACTAAAGATGGCCGTATTACTTGTTGGCTGCTCACCTCTGGTGCCCTTCCAACCAACCCCGACGGGACCCGCCCTATCCTTGCCTCCTGCGAATCAATCCCCATGTCTGCTTATATCGCCCGAGACGGCCGGGTTCAGAAGGTCCAGGTACATGGCGTGGCTTCTGTTTACACAAGGCCTGAATATCGCGGAAAGGGCTACGCCGGGAGAATGATGGCCGACTTGGGCAAAAGATTGGAGTCCTGGCAACAAATCGACGGGCAGCAGAACTCCTTTTCCGTCCTCTACAGCGATATTGGTCAAAAATTCTATGCTCAGTTTGGCTGGAACCCACTTGAAAGCACCCATATCCATCTTTCACCATTGGCTCGCTCTGCCTATGAAAACATTGCGGCATCATTGCCCGCCGTACAAGATCTATCGGCCTCAGGCCTGCAGAACCTACCCACGTCTCGCCATGTAGAAGACAAGTTGCAGCGCCTATCCGCAGAAAAGCCTTCAGTGACTTTCACTGCCATCAGGCCAGATCTGGATCACTTCGAGTGGCACCATGCCCGGGAAGAGTCCCTCAGTAAAATTCTTGCATTGGATCCGCCAAGCATAAAAGGAGCAATACACCGGGATTCGGGACTTGCTGTGATTTGGTCCCGCAGATATGCTTCACAACCTAAGGACTGGCAACTGGCCATACTGCACACTGTCATACCCTCCAACATCGAACCCTCCGAAGAAAATCAACGTATATTCGCCGCTTTACTCTTGAGATCACAACTCGAAGCTGCGGATTGTGGCATGGCTGCCGGTGTTGACATCTGGGACCCTTCACATTTGGTCGTCTCTGCAGCCCAGCTCTTGAGGGCCTCTGAGGAGCCTAAAGTGGAGGTCATCACTCGTGACAAAGAACACATATGCAGTCTTCGATGGCCCACTGCTCAAGAACATGATTTTGTCTGGATTGACAAGCAGGAATATGCCTGGTGTTAAAGACGTCCAGGCTCCTGTTGGGTGCCTGATCATATCATGTGAGCGCTTACGTAAACATATATCGGAGATACGGACACCCGTGCGGACCAAGTCCCCTTTTGCGGCCTTCAAATGCTCGTATATTTAGACTGTGCCTGAAACCATCGTAGCCAAAACTACCAGCCGCGCCAAGATACTTCTTCGTCGGTTTGCCTACTCAACAAGGTCCGTTTTTCGTATCTCTCTCGGCGTATGTCGTTTCCCTGGTTTGCGCCTTGTGTCCTCTCACTGTTTTCGCTCTGTAGCCGAGCCTGTCACTGGTACGCGAATGCGAGTTCGGATACGTCCTCTCTGACAGCATGGTAAGGTACACGTCTCCTCTCCGGTTGAGGAGGACGGACCGAGGTGGTGTTCAGGAATTTAAAAAGGCATCATGTGTCCCATCAAGCAAAGACATGTTGCCTACCATCGTGATCTCTCCTGTCATCTGTGCATCAGAAGAAGTCCCGAGTCAAATTCGACGTGTATCGGTTTGCTGAAGTCAAACCTGCTCACACACCCCCTTCCCCCCCGGGGACAGAACGATCACCCTCTATCTACGGGCGTCGGGTGCTTACAATGGATCAGAAGCACCCCCTGGCAGCTTTCACAGCCCTGAACGACCGTGTCTTCATCTACAAGCCGCTTGAAAAGGGTGATCCAGAGCCTGTAACGGCTTCTCAAAAGCCTTCAATCCCGGATTTAGTGGTCGTCTGTGCGTGGGCATTTGCGCAACCACGGCGTAAGTCTATGTTCATGCAAGATATTCAAACCTTTCCTTACTTAGCTAACTCCCACGTTTGCACTTTCGCAGACATCGCCAAGTACCTCGTTCACTACCACAGCCTATACCCGCGAGCAAGAATTCTTCTGCTTTTCAACACAGTGCACAACATGCTGTGGAGACCCGACTGGATGCAGATGGAAGATCTCCGGCCGGCGGTCTGGGCGGTTGAGGAATGTCTCGACTCCTATAATTCACAGGCGAAAGCGACTACGACTACAGTGAACGAGGCTGGTACTAGGGCTGACAGCAAGCAAAAACAAGAACCCACAGTGGTCTTCCACATCTTCTCCAATGGTGGCGCACACATGGCGGTGCAACTCGCACAGGCATACCGCGACAACATAAGAATGTCGCCGTCACTTTCCCCAAACTCAACAGCAGTCAAGAAGCAGCTTCCCATCTCGGCGCTTATCTTCGATTCTTGCCCCGGACACGCCAGGTACAGCACAGCGGGCAAGACGACGCTTTCATTCCTCCCGAAAGACGCACATGTCACTCGCGCTCTCGCCATGCCGCTTGCGTATGCGGTCCTCGGAGTCGCCTACCTGTGTCATGTTTCCGGCATTGCGGAACATGTCGTCATCAAGCTTTGGCGCGAGCTGAACGATCCCAAGGGGCCGTTTCTGTTCAAGCCGGTGGAGTTCATCAGCAATATTCATGCTACAAACAACACAGAAGTAAATGGGGTCGCTGCATTGACCGAAAGGGTCATACCGCGAATATACATCTGCAGCGATGCGGACGACATGATACCCACCCACGATATTGTGGAGCATGCCGCAATAGCAAGGCGCACGACCGGCTTAAGCGATGAGGCTGCCAGGGACGCCGTCCGAGTCGAGGAGTTCGTCGGGAGCATGCACGTCAATCATGTTTCGCTGCACAAAGAGCGATACTGGGATGCGGTCAGGGAAACGCTAGACCGGATTGAATAAACGAGCACTTTTTCTGAAAGAGTCCATACCGAGGTACTTGGGATAGGAACGTAGAATAATTAGATGGGGCATTGGTTTCATTTGTGCAGAATCACCTCATGCCATGCCATTCATGGCGACTAGAAAGATCTTGATCGAAGACCTAGTGTCCTTCGGCCGATGGTGCGTGGTGGGTAAGCTCATAGCTGTATTATGCTTGTCATTGGAGCGTGAAAGCTGATTTCTCTTGTATGAAACTGCTACTATAGCGCGATAACCATTTCTCGCTCGAATACCATCATCCTACAAATCACTGACGCAGATTCCACCTCAAGGCTACCAAGTTGCTTCTCTGGATCCTCTACCCGTGGATCAGGAGACGCTGGTTACATACTTTGGCGCCAGTAGAGAAGGTTCCGCTAGCGCGAGGCTAGGGTCGGCCCATCCCGATGCGGACAACCTCGGGACGGAGTAATACTTCGGTCTGTTAAATAGTCACCCTCACTATCGCCCAGGTCAGGCTGAACACTGTGCCGATCCCATTTCTCTTTTTATCCATCGCTCGTGTCACGACGACTAAGTATGAACAACTCCATCTCCTTGGTGAGTTCAGTATGACCACTGCATTCGGTTTCTCCGTGGGTTATTTCATCAATGGGATCAAAGTGGTGGTAGATCTCATCAACGCACTCCATGACTCTCAAGTATCCTCGAGCGAGTTTCTCGAGTTGCATTCTCAGCTCTATAGCTTAGAACAGACACTGATATTTGCGAAGTCTCTCAAATCCTTTGAATATGAGGTTGCTCAGTTCACAGCCTTGCCCTTTGCCATTGATCGGTCCCATGGCACTATCGATGCTTTTATGGCTTCGATTGCGAAAGTCAAACCGTTGAAATGAGCATGATGGTTGAGTACATGGGAGACCATGATTTGCAAACCTGCACTATGGGTAATTCTGAGCTTGTGCGGGTACACAAAGTCTCCTGGTGGGTATTTCAGAATGACCTTTTTGAATAGGCCTCAGCTGATCTCCTGTCGGTGATACATGCCAAAAGCATTTCTCCCACGTCATGAAATCTGCCCCGAAGGCAATTGGTCACAGCACTCGAGTAGTTCGAGTAGGGCCTGTACCACCGACCGATCTCCCAACCGACGGGGGAAAAAAGGCGCATTCAGCTTGGGAGCTGATTCACCAAAAGCCTCCCGTCGCCTGCACTCCGTGTTCATTGGACAGAAATGTCAGTGCAACGGCGTTGCCACGATTTCCAGGGCACGATCGTGTGGTTCGTTACTATCTTCCAGTAGTTATTATAGATCTCAGCACAAGACCACAATGCATGTAATGCACGTATTTGAGCATTGCAAGATGCAGCATGGTGGTTCCATGGAAAAGTGATACATGTGCAAATAATTGAAAATTACGATTAAAATTTTGTGGCCGATAAACTGAACGATTAAGCCCAAGCCGAAAGAATACAGTCTCCAACGAAGCATTGAAACCCCGAAGACTGCCGATATGCACGTCGCCGTGCCGGATATGGCCAAATTTAGGTGTCACAAATACGTATCTTGTCCCGTCATCATTTTCATATTTTCGCTTTTTTAAAACAATAGAACAGAGGCATCACTACTCGGATTCTAAGCACACCTTGTCTTCTGGCTCTCAATGAGCCCTCCACTAAAGCCTATTCCCCCTGAACAAATCGTATGCCTCTGTTGTAATTGCGAAGGGTGTCTGAAGGATGGCTTTTAGGGCGCAAACTCCGCTTGGTCTTCAGCGCGCTGCATGTCATTCGACCATGAAAGGTGCGGCTGTGACTTTTAGACTATAATGGTGGTACATCGGACAGGCGACAAGAACAATATATTCTAAGTGCTCTAGCGGCTATAATCTAAACACTACAGTATTTGTGATATCCTCGTATGGCTTTGTGCAATGCGGCCTATGAAATCGGAATCCATAATAAAGTGTCTCTCGTTAGGGTTGCTTAATTAAGAGAGGTTTAATAAACTAGTATTCGAGTAACTATGAAAGAAAAGTTCTCTAGATACAGATGGATGCAAAACCAGCTTCTCACTGAATGTAATGAATCGTGTCGACGGCGTCCATGCCGTAAACCATTTTCACAAGGAACCCTTGCATGAGAGTCTATTGCCGCTTGAGGAGTAGAGCTGGAACCAATGACAGGTATCACGGCCGCAAGGCCAACACTCCGTGGTTCTGGGCAAGTTCACGCATCAAAGCCAACCACAAGGCTATCAGAATTGCTTTCGTTTGTTTCGTAGGTACATGACTGCTGCACGCTGAAGCAAGCCTGCTTGTTGCTGTATATAGAATACTTTATTCTAAGGACACGATGCGCAGCATGTGACACTTAATAGAAGTGTCTTCCCGCTGCACCGGTCTGTTCTACCCCCGCATGCCACCCTTCTAATTTGTCCTACATAGCTTTTTCCAGTCAGCGCGCTGGCATTCCTGAGAGCAGTACTTGGCTTGTTGACAACCTCCACAGCTCACCAGGCCTGATCCATTTAGCCCCTTCTGGCTACCGCATGATAGTCATGCTTTTGCCTTTTTGTCTGGCAACTCTCTAATATCATTTCCCTGAGCGAGTCTGTCCTCGAACATCGCGGCGGAGAAACATGGCGAAATCGCCGCTCTGACTGCATATCTGGCTACCTTGTTCCATTCTGGAACATTTCTACCAAAGTCAATAGGTATCATCCCCTCCCCACAGGAACACAATACCCTTCGTCCCTTCTCGATTGACAGAGGCACTCATCGCTCGGTCAGATATTCGCAATCAGACTGGTGAGACCACGTCCTGCAACGCTCGACCAGCGCGGGTAGTATTCGCTTCTAGGTGCGCATCTCGGCTTCGGTGGTGCGGATCTAACGAAGACCACCTTATTATGTGTCAGGGCGCTCAAGAAGGAGGCAATCTGAGGCATCAGTGTGTCGTGCAATGGTAGCACTACCGTGTCTAATACGACTGTGCGGTTTAAGAGATCGAGTCGGAGATAGAACACAAAGAATAGGATATGCACACCACCATCCGTAGGGCTGTTCATCCCAAATACATGAGTACGCTGGCCTTGTACTCTACTATAATGCATGAATAATGTGAATAGAGAATCCTTCAACTCTACCCTTGTTCGCTCCCCTGTGGAAGCCTGCTGTTGAGGATTGTCGCGGAGTGATCTCTCCCTTGCCGTAAACATCATCGAGGTATGCGTGTTCAGCCATTCTAAGCGCGACTGTTGTCTCGTATCGAGGACTAATAGTGTGTGAAGATTTACATACGGCATGTTCCAAGTCGTGACAATACCCGAGTCAAGGACGACCGGGTACGTGAAGGAGTCAAATGAATGCCAATCAGCGCCATCCGCGACCTGCAAAATCACTTCGAGGTATATGTGCTCGGTATCGGAAAGAGTCGTTTGATAGACTGTGAGCTGAAGGCCAAGCTTGTCGATGAATGTGCGGGTGCTCTGAGGGGCGCTCTGAATACCAAACTCCACAGAGGCTGTCCGTGGTTGCAAAAGGAGAGTCCAGGTTGGAGCATAGAAAGACACCAGCAATGGTGATGTCCCACTCCATCCTGGCCCGTCCTCGATGATGCGCAGTTCGAATGAAGGGGAGAATGGAGTACCCTGGCTCTCGACCTGGCCGAATCCAGTTTGAACAGCCCCAAAGACATTTTACTATGGTCGTCCATTGCAAGAGCCCTGGACTAGGCAATGCACAGGTGGTATTCCGATTTTGGTGACGTCACCGTCGGTAAAAACCTTTAACCTATTTCTAGGCACTTTACCGTAATACACACAACCGGGGGCACATTCTTCTAGTCGCGTAGGTCGTTCATTCTGATGTCGATGCTGGGCTATCAAGTGGAGCTTTCAGGGCTTCCACGGAGTAGACGTCAAGCAGATGGAACCAGACATATAATTCTTGGACGTAGTTTATTGTCATTAGGTGACTAACGTTGGCTGCGAGAAGATCGAGGAGAGAATCGACAGACTTCTCTCAATCGACATTGACACTGGCTTTGAGAATGCTGACAAAGACGACAAAGCTGCCACGCTGGTAAGTGGGTAGGGAAAGTCTTTGCATTTTAAGCACTGTTATATTTGACATCATCTACGTCACGTCTTCGCTCTCAAACATCTTTAAGTAAATGTGATAGAGAATCGCCGCGAGGCCCGGTGGGTCAATGGTAACCCGGTCTGGAGCTTTCATTTGTGTTAAGCGGTTGGACGTACCTATTGGTCGTTTCCACACAATCCGGGTGAATAAATGTCCGGACTCGGATGAGTTCTCTCTTGAATGATGAATCAAGGTGTCGAGGAGAACTTCATCGCCCGTTGAGAGTGCGGAAGTGTTGGTCACAAAATCCACCGGACTCAGACCAAGAAGCATTAAAACCGTTCGACAAGGGACCACAAAAGAGGCTATCGAACAAGCTACTGTACGTGTTTGTCGGATCGCACAAGTTTTTCCGTGTAGAGCGTCGCGGAAATGTTATGTGCTAGAAGCGGTCGCGACCAGTAAATTGAGAGCCCTAAGATGGACGATCAGGTTCGAAGTGTCGATAACGGTAAAGGTGATCGGACTATTTCCCGTTTCAGTGTAGTCTTTCCCGTCAACAATCAAGGGTTCGAAATGAGAGCGATCGCGGTACATATGTGCAGACGAGAGTGATTCCGCCCTCACCCTGCGTTGTAGAGAATGAGAGAACGCCAGGGCATCACCTACGAAAAAAACGCAAGTGAACACAATGTGCGTTGTTTCTGAAGGACGTCGCCAAGGAGTAGAATTCAGTCTTGGCCGCCCTAACCACGAGCTCCCGACGATTCAGCCCGGGTTGCGATAGAAACAAAGGTGATGTCGGTGACAGTGATACGTAGGAGGAGGCTAAAGGGAAGCCTCGTAGCGGGTCGGTTCCATAATGCATGATAACATTGTCATCTAGAGACACGAACATTGGGTTAGCACATACCGCAAGCGGCAGCTTGGATTGATTGATGTCAGTAGTGCCATACTCCTAGTAGTGCTTATGTATGCTATTCACGTCATCGACGGAGTGTAAAGGCACAGGCGAGGCAGATCTGAACCCCGTGAGATTCATCCCAACCCCTAGACGGGCTTTATGTTGGATCGACTTCCGGACACAGCCGTCGTGTTTTCAAGAGGATAGAAGAATGTGACGATGTCGGCAACCTGCGAAGTCAACATAACGTCGTTCCTGACCAATTCTTAGAGGAGGGTTGGCTGTTGATACTGCTACGCTCAGTCTGTAAGGGAAACTGAATGGGATATTGCGAAGGTATGAGACAAACGCGTCCGCCCGAATTCCAAGTGTTTCTCGTAAAAGGGGAGAAGGTCGTCGGACCTACACCCGGCTCTTCTGGCTCGTCTGGAGGCATGCAACACCAATGCGCAGGAATTGGCAGCCTCAATGAGTTTTCAGCGACTGCCTCGCCACTTCGAATTTTCGATGCTATTGTGCTCGCTGCTCTTGTGCCAATCCTTCCCCTCCTCCCATCATCTGAAGGCCGAGAAGCTTCAAATCCTTGAAATCGGAGGAGGGCATGTGATCGCGACATCCTTGAGCGAATTGCCGTATTGCGAAAAAGAGTCCGAGATAGGGGACTTGGTATAGCTGGTCGTAGAGCGGCATGCGGACGTCCACTGCATAGCTGCTGTAAGCAGTTCCACTGGCAGCCTATTCTTTGACAGGTTACGCGACAGGGCTTTGTTGGCCACACCGCCATAGTGCAGCCAATAGTTCTCATTCTCGAGTGTCAGGGGTTTGCGTTGATGAGTGCATTAATCATTTCCAGAGTAGGAGCGCCAACTCACAGGGTTGAAGGGCTGCACTTCCAGGTGCGCCACGTGTCAAGCTGCAATACCCCAGATGACCCATATCCGACCATCATCACAAGTCTATTCTAAAGTCATAGTCCATAGGTTCAAATCTCTGCCCCATTGATAATGATCCCGTTCCAAGGGATCTGAAGAGTGTCTGGGATCCATTCACAGAGTTTACAAGCAAAGGGTGTTGCCTCAAGGAGTGCGAGATGGTGCGTACGCAAATCTGCGGGACGAAAGCATCTTTCCGCCATTTCCATCTCTACCCGAAGAAAACAGCATCAGCTTGGAATTCTATAATAGTTTAGATGAATTCAACTCCCTCCCCGGGAGGCATTGGTGCTTTCTGGCCCAGGTTATCAATGTTGAGTCCTTTGGGCGACTGAGAGTAATCGTTCAAGACAAAGTCCAACAGTACTCGACAGAAAACCATGGAAAACGTCAATGTCATGGATGTAATGAACGGAAGCTATCCTTAAGGAAATACGGTAAGTGTTCCATGTTTTGGTACTGTAGCAAGATAAGTTTCAGATAAACAATTGACGATAATTCGGGTTCTCTGCGCCAAGCTCTGACTTGCACTCAAGGCTTGTTAGAGTGTTGGCAGGAGGCAGAGAGGCACAAGTAGGACTGCAAAACCCTGAGGGATAAAGACTTACAAGCTATGTTTTGTCTAATTTGGAATGATTTTAAAGGCTTTATGATATTTCCAATGCAGCCTAAACGATTGGTTGGAACGACTCACAATACGAGGATGAGATTTTTTTATTGTAACCATTACAGATATTCAGTGGAGTCATGCGAGCTGGTATTTGTTGGAGGAACAAATCGGCCTTGAACCACCGGCCTCATTGCCTAAAACTTTCGCACCTTAACTATCATTGTTGTAGTACTTCTACTTTATTTCGCGGTATTTTAATATGACAGATAGCAGCTTGTTGGTGCTTGTAGATCCCAGATCTCGCCATCATCATAGAGCGTGGGAAGGGAATTTAAAGCACACATTTCACAATGAGGCTAAAGATAACATGAATGAGATACTGTAGCGCGTAGCTTCATGCTCCATTTCCTTCAGATCAGTTGAGAATGCTCATTTGCTTTTTAGATGGTGCGACTATGCTCATGGGTGCACTGTTTCATCCGCGTGCTGATCTAAGACGTCAATGGGGAAAGAATCACCTTCGATTACCCAGCATTTTACACCGTAGGCCATGTGGTCGCCGATCCCGGTCCTGTGGGCCTCCCAATCTGATAGATCTGATTACTCTCGTCGAACCCACCAGGATAATCCTAGATTTGCAACCCGGCCGTATAAAGACAGTCCAGGGCTCCCACTTATACTTTTTCCTCCTCTTCAGGTCCAAGATCGTGTCAGCTTCTCAGGTCTGCGATGTTGGCTGTGTAACCATTAGAGCCAATGGTCTCGATCATATCCGGAAAGTCGAGACTCATCGGGTGTATTGAGCTGATCTGGCCCGGAGGAAGGAGAGAAACCACCTCTAAGTCTTTCCTCCAAATTCGCCAGATGCCTCAACCTTTATACGCCGTCGTTCGTACTTGTTTCACACACGGGCCCTGGCCTTTTCCACAGTTGGTACATCTGAGAGCAATATTTGAGTTGAGCCCAATGCTCAGATCTTTCGGTTAAGCAGCTGCATAATATGTAGGCTGGAAGGGTGTGGAGGCCGCATTTGGTGTATCTGCTGGAAGTGGTTCTACCATGGACTGCGATCAGAGAGCCACACGCTGCCAGCAGGTATATGTGGCGGGCCCCAGAGGTGGTTTATAAACGGTGCGTCAGCGAAACTGTTATTTAGAGACACCCCGCCGAAACTAGACAAGTCGGCGACGTAAATACCTTGATTGATAGGGTTTTCTGAGAGCCATGTAAACCCAACTTCTCGATCCTGGATCTCCTTCTGCTATCTTTTTTTCCAATTCCTGCTCCGAGATTTTGACTTGTGGAATTGTGATGGCTGCACTTAAGTCTATAAGATGGACTTTCATGAAGAACTTATTTCAATCTTCACTGCATCAATTTCCACCATTTTGCTGAATATCTGTGCTCATTACTAGAAATAGACTTTCGTTGTCACGGCTCAGATACTAGTTTATGCTTTGAATGTAGGATACAGAAGAATCGCATAACGACCAGACTTATTACTATGTTGTCAGCCGGTCGGTCATATTCGTGGTCAAAGTTCATACAGATCAAAGGGCTTATGAAACCGATATATTAAGAATTTAGGGTGCGAGACGAAAACGCTATACCTTAAATAGCCTGAGGAGCTGTTAATCGAGATCGTCATCAATGAGAAATACTAGGGCTTAAATTATAAATACTGTATTTAACAATATTTAGACCTATAGAAAGATATAATTTTTAGGAATTACAGGTCTAGAGGAGTCGTGGTTGATGATGTCCTAGGTGTAGAGTATTCCTCAAGAGAGACATCATAAATCTGTGATAGTCTCTTATAAACTACACTGCTATAGTCTATCCTAAGGCTGATGGTGTATAGGATAGAATGTGGTCAATGAGATGTGTGATAGTTAATAGAATTTCTTTAGGCACTCTAGAACACTTGTTCTAGAATTAATCTACTGTGCTATTCTGTTGACGCTTACGTTTATTAATCAGCTTCAAGATGGATCCATAAATTTGGAAGCTGCCTTTATTTCCTGATATATTGATGTCTGAAGTATTCTTTGAGCAGGAGGTCTGCTTTGAGACGAATCAACTTCAGTAGAGTCTAACGTTGCCTGTCCAGCCATACATAGATAATCGAAGGAGAAGCTAATTGTCTCGTCCTGCAAGGAGTTCAGGTTACAAAGGTCCTATTTTACATCGTCTCTATGCAAACTTTGTATGCTCACTTACAGACTTTAGGAAAGTTTGCTGAGTGGGAAAGAATCAGTGGTATTGTCAGAGAATTCTCTTTCTATGCTAACTTCTAAAGGTGCTTATGCGGCAAGCAGCATGTCAACACTAATCAAAGAAGCTCCGTTATAAAATCTAGAGAGGAAATGCCAAGTCAGTAGTGGAAATTGCACCATGACTCCGGGAAACAAGCGGATAGTGCTTAGTGTCCGCTACAGACCTAGTTACCATAATTAGTCCCTATTCAGCTACAAAGTCGAGACAAATAAACTATAGGATCATAGATTCACTGCCAAGGACTTTCCAGGATGCAGTAGAAGTTACAAGAAAACTGGGCGTCCGATAACCGTGGATTGATTCATTATGTATCCTCCAGGACTATAACAGTGACTGGGAAACCGAATCTGTGGTAATGGATCGCATTTACAATTGTGCCTGTTTGAAAATCGCCACATCACATGCATAACCTGACGATAGCGGATTTCTGGCATCACAAACAAAGCCGCCGATCGAGCTAGAGGACCTTCAGTTTTACCAAAAAGGAAGCCAACGTATCAGAAAGTGGTGGCTCGCTACTACCGGTGATCTAGAGGGAAGAGCTCGCAGGAATATTCAGTAGGGTGTTAACTATAGTACCTTGAACTCGCGAGCCTAGGTATTACGAGAGCGTTTATTGTCTCCTACGGTGGTTCATTTTACAAAGACTTAAACTATCTTGGTAAGCTTTACTTTAAAGTTACTATCTATCTTACTGACTACATAGGAAGGAATGTGAAGAAGAATCGCGTTATAAGGACGGTAACATATAGGATCCGAATCTCTCCCGACCTAGTTCTCTGTTAGAAGGTTTCGTAGGCAATATCTTTAAGCTAGATGATCGGGGGAACACAAAGTCTATTAAACTTTCAAATATACTAGCGGCTTGAAATCTTAACATAGTTTTCTAGCCTTGCTATTACTTACGAGTCAGATTAACTTATAGTATTATACGGCTTAGCTCTATATCGCAGCAAAGCCACAGGGGAAGAAGTCTTTAAGGAATTTTGAGTTGTAGATTTCACGGTGTTGAAGAGCCTCGTCGGAGAAACATTCACCAAATTTACTGCCACTTTTATTCAACTGATCAAAATGGCAATGGCAGGCCCAATCTTTGCACAACTCTGGATAATGCTTGGGGTAAAAGTGTCGGATCAGCGATACTTGATCTGCCAGCAAATTTAATATGACGTATTTAATGTCTTCTCGTGGCTATCCCAGAGCCATCGGATCAGTAAGAGAGGCTATCATAATACCGAATTTGCGCTGCTTCTAACAGCTACTAGAGAAGAGAATAAATATCATTGTGTTAGTTTAGCGAGTGTTAACCTTTATTGGATGCAGGGGGGAGAAAACAATATGTTTATATATACTAAAAGAGTTATCTTAGCGAATCTGCATCCCCGAAGTAGTGCTTTTGCAGACGACGGCCGGACAAGCATCAGGTGTATATTTTCCTTGCTTCACTAATGCGAGAAATATCTCACGTGCGTTGGCAATGGCAACTGGCGGTCTTTAACATTCTCTAAACACGTAGCTTTCCCCGCGGCATCCTTATCATCGCTCCTTCTTATGCGAGATCTCACTTCTATAAAGCCCAGACCACTAGCCGCTGTTCAGCGTGGAAGTAAGATACATCTGGCCTAACATCTACATCGGTATGCTGATGGCATGATTTTATCGTCGCTTTCGTCGCCATATCGTGTAATAGCATTCTATTATTCGAAGATAGCTCTCGTTTCTATTGTAACAAACAACATTCCTCTCTTAGATCATGCCAACTATGAGTAACTTAGTATGGTTCGTCATTAGTGTATGTCTGATGAAATTGCGACTATAGTAGAAGTTTGATTTCAATGGAAGGAGACGCTGAACCATTGAAAAGGCCTAAGCAGATATATCTTGGCACTTGATTGTCGGGATTAGGAATGCCCGTACTTCAAGCTAGATGTCAAGACGAATCGCCGTAATTCACGAAGGGAAATCAGCCGTAACTTCGTAAAATTCTTATGGTTAACACTGGCTAGGGCTTGGGATGACCTTTACCATTTGTTGACTAAGTCACGGCACAGAACCTCGTAAGATTAAAACAGAGTTCGACGAGGAAGCCGGTTTTGCAAAACCCTGTATACAGAGCAAAATAATTTTCTTTACATGAATAGCGTTAGGTTAGCTTAGCAGTATTTGGACTAGACGAAGAGGCGGGTGGATAAGAATTCACCATCGAGTGAAGCCAAGTGGCTAAGAGAAGTTGAAGGATCGACGGTTCCGGCAACAACTTCCGGAACATGCACCCATGTTTCTACGCAAGGCTGAGAAATGCAACTGAGTCTTCTGTCCTCTAGTGTGACAAGAGTAGCATGGATAATTAGTAGGATAACATTACTGTGACGGAAAATGAGACGGCGTTCTGACGTATGTCAGTGAGACACGAATGGAATGCCGAGGTACTCATTAAACACGTGCAGCACCAGTCTATAGATGACTTAGGTGCTCGTGGAATGGAAGCGTCCATTACCATTTACAACGAACGGCTGGCATTATCGTCGGAGACTTCTACGTTGGTATACTACTTTATCCACTCTTGTTCGAGTAACCATCAATTAAAGTGCTAATCTAGAAATGCATAGATTGTGACCCTGATGGACAACAATAGGTAGCTGTCGCTGAGAGAGGCGGGGTCAAGCAGGAATCGCCGGAAAAGTGCAATTGGACAGTAGTGACCTCCGCCGACAAGGGGCTGATGTCATGATGAAGCAAATAAAATGAGCCGTAGTTGGCACCATTCTATATTCACAATGAATGAACACAGTTATTCTTGCGATGTAGCCAACCTCCAAAACGTTCGGACAATTCTCACGCGATTTATACACACCTTTGAAGGGTGGCAGGTGATGCAACAGTTTTACTCATATAAAGTAGATGATTACGTCCTCTTTATTACTAGCGGGATCTCTACCCGCCATATTCCTCTTATGGCGGGTTCGCACTTCCGAGTGCTATCATAAAGGCCTTGCGAATGACTGAATCATTATTGGTGTACGTTATTTCGCAGAGCACCCTACCCCTCTTAGTGATGTCTCCATCTCGATGGATATGAGGTAACCTCCCTTTTAAAAATTGAGTGTAATGGTCAAGGTCTAGCTGTGACGTGCTTTAGCGTCCTGTTGATGGGCCCTTACTGGCCGGAAATCTTTCTTCCTGACGTCTCGAGTATTCCCGTGACGGTTGTTATGATTTCGATACGAAGTCATGAGTTGGACATTCGAGGTAAGCTATATCTCCCATTATCGGAGACATGTCTCTGTCTTCCTTCTGCCAACCATCCTTGCCTGAAGCGCTATCACGAGCATTGCTATCTCATCTTGACCGTTGAGTTCTCTTACCTCAAGGCACGTATCCTTACTATATTAGTCCCACAATGGCACACCCCATGCAAGCAGTCCAGGAACTCGCAGGCGCTGTCGGCGCAGACCCAAGACCAGTGCAACGTGCGACGCTATTTCAAGGCCTCAATGACGGTCCAGCAACTTTGGCCGCGAGGATCACAGGCGTGACTTCAGGCGGCCCGAGGGAAGACAACGCTCCATATCACACTAACAACGATGGCATTCCGTGGCCGACGCCTACTCATAGCAAGACCATTGGTGGGATTCCCGTTGCGAGTGATATCTTCTTGTTTCAGAAGCAGCAGGCTTTCAATCGACATAAGTTGCTAGAGAGGATCGTTCATCCTTGTCTGTATAAGCTCAAAGATAATTTGTGAAGAATAATTAACTGTCTATAGGTGGAAGTGGCGCTTTCGGATACTTTGAGACAACGAAGGATATGTCTCATTTGACTAAAGTAAATCGTAGTCACAACTAGCGAAGAGCATTGTGGAAGCTGACATCTGCATCCTAGGCGCAATTCCTCAATGGCGTCGGGACTAGGACCCCTATCTTCATTCGCTACTCGACTGTGACTCTGGGTCGAGAATTTCCAGACTTAGCTAGGAACCCACGAGGCTTTGCTGTCAAGTTTTATACTGGAGAAGGCAATTACGACCTAGTTGGGTTAAATTGGGTGAGTTGTGGTTTTCTTCCCCTTGTCCACCAATGTCAAGCTGATACATTCGTCCCATAACAGCCCGTTTTCTTCAGTCGCGATCCCATGCAAGGGCCCGATGTGATTCGCAGCCAAGGAAGGAGATCTGATAATTTCCTCCTTGATTATAATGCTACCTTTGATCTTTTAGCGCACACTCCTGAGGCGTAAGTTGGCGATGCTCATTTTTGAATACGATTAATTAACACTAACAGAAACCACGCTGGAATGATGTTTTTTAGCGATCATGGTACGCCCGATGGTTGGCACTCGAACCATGGTTATGGCTGCCACACGTTCAAATGGTACCAAAACTTTCTTCCTACCACCCAGACCATTCTAATTAACATGGTCAGGGTCAACAAAGACGGCAAATTTGTCTACATTAAATACCACTTCCGGGCCGATCGCGGACAAAAAATGCTCACCCGTCAGCAAGCTATTGAATTGTCTGGCGTCAATCCTGATTATTCCAAGCAGACATTATGGGAAGCTATTGATCGTGGTGATCCAATCTCGTACACGGCGTGTGTACAAATCATGGAACCGGCAGAGGCCGACCCTGTGGAGTTAGGGTTTGATCCCTTCGATGTCACTAAGGTGTGGCCGAGAGAAAAATATCCGGTAAGTTCGGCGTCGTCTCTTGTTCTTTTAAACCCTCCCTGGAAATACTAACGACATGCTTCAGATTCAAGAGTTTGGAAAGCCTCATGTGACAAAGAATCCAGAGAACTACCACCGAGACGTCGAACAGGCTGCTTTCTCACCTGGTGCGATGGTGCCGGGTATTGAAGATAGTCCGGACAGTCTTCTACAGTTCCGCATGTTCTTCTACCGTGACGCACAGTATCATCGTCTTGGGTCTACAAATTATCATCAGATTCCAGGTAGGCGCAATTGCTTCTTAAGTTGCTCGAGGCCGAAACTATCACGACAATACGATTCAAGTTAAAACCTTGCTGGTACTGCTGTGATATCATGCTAACTACACTTCGCTAGTGAATTGCCCATTCATGGCCTCTTCGATGTCCAGTCTCAACTTCGACGGCAACATGCGAGCAGACTCGAACCATTCAAAGAATCCAGACTACGCACCGAACTCCTACACCCCTCTAAGTAAATTTCGTCCGGATACCGCTAATGCACCTTATGAGGTTTCGGACGCGATCATGTCGCGTAAATCGCACTTCTACCACGAAGGCAAGCTCTCAGATTACGATCAACCCCGCGCCCTCTACGAAAAAGTCATGACCAACACTCAACGCGATCACTTACACAGCAATACCGCAGTGATGCTAGCACATGTGAGCGATCCACGAATTCAGATTTTGTATCTAGGCCAGCAATATTGTATCAAGCCGAGCTATGCGAAGGCGATTTTCGACTTGTTGCCTGAGAAGAAGTTTGACTTTAATGAGGTTGAGAAGGCCAGTAAAGGCGCTGAGAAGAGGACTAAGACGCCCGCGTTCCTACATACTGATGAACGTGAGAGGTTAGTCGGCATGCCGGTGGATGGAGGATATAATTTGTGAGGTGGTTGATTGATATTCTTATTGCACGGTGGTGGCCACAATCACAGTATATGATAGCAAAATTACTGCAGCCAAATTATACCAACTCTTAGCATTGCCCATGAAAACCGGGGCCACTAAAGCAGCCTTCCTTATCTCGAACTATGTCCCTGTCTCGAAAATTACAATTACAACATATCCCGCTTCCTACGTGCCCTCCAATTATCGGAGCCACGAATGGAGTTGTTTCAATATCCGCTCGACTCACATAAATAGCATTAACAGCAAGGGAGTACACTTATTGCTCTTACCAGTACAAGAAGAGCCTCGATTGCTCCTGTGTATGCACCAGAGGAGGCGATCATTTTGCATCACCAGAGCAAATATTGAGAAATCAATCGATCCTATGCATTGAATCGTTGTCTCTACCGCCTCACCAACAGAGTTCGAATTGTATAAAAGCGGACCCAGGTAATCCGGAATAGCAGTCCGATGGACTTCGAATTCGTCTTGCGTGACGTGGACTTTGTTCACTATGTACCTAGTAGCATTTCTGATGACACATCGCCACCGTCTCAGAAGCAAGGGAATGGTGAAGTGGCACCGGTTATATGATCATGTTCGTCCTAAAAGCTAATGAATTCGGAAAATCTCTATCTTTATTTAGAAGGTTACGAAATTCGCGTTTGCTAGGTCACCGGGGCGCCGAGCCGAGATCTATACAATGTTCTAAAACCCCATCGGAGCTGAGAGCGGATTCTCAAGCGGATAAGTAGCATCTGATTAGTGGGACCTCCTGAAACACGGTGCGAATTATAATCTACCCTCGTGCATCGATAGGCTTAATAAATTCGCTTAGGAGATCCGACGTATTTTTAAAGATTACCTACGATGAACTTGTTAATTTGATAGAACTTATTCTATTTAGAGACATGGAAGGAGTTACTACAAGTCTTTGCGCTAAGGCACTGTTGTTTTCAGTCCCACCGAAGCTATCGTACATTTTGCACAGCCGTCTTCGGCGATCGATATCCAGATTCGTGCCAGCTACATCCTGGCGTTAATGGGTTTAGGTTGCATAGAGGTGCGTCTTCCCTTCCACATGTTGATTGCAACGCCACTGAAGCCGCTCTCAAGTGGAATGGATATCCTAAATCCAGCTTCGCTGGTGCATCCCGTACGGGATGTCAAAAGATAAAGGGCGATATACCCTTCGATGCGGAGGCGAAGCTGAAGGCAGCATGACTGGCCGATGCTCAGCGCTTGCTATTGTCCATGTCACGTCACCTTACTATTGATCCAGAGAACGTCTCCCGTAGTGCGATCGATGGCTTCCTGCAAGGAACAAGCGGGGTGAAGATCCGGGGACGAATCAGATGTACGTTTCGGCTACCCGGAGTATATATCTCATCATAAAGGAAGTGGCTTGTTACGTGATCTTGTCCGACGCAAGATATGAAACTTCGCTACTCTTATTCTAGCATTGCGATGTGGTCAGCTGTCACATCGTCATCATGACATCCGAATTACTTCTCATTCTCTTTATAAGAAGAACAAACTGTCACCTCAAACAGCAGAAAATTTATCCCCAAGTTACGCACCACCTCTTCATTAGCCTCCTCCCACTGCTCAAATTCACAATGGCTCGCAATCTCGCCATCACTGCCGTTGACGGCTACACTGGCTTTACCATTGCCCAATATATCCTCAAGAATGACAATTTCAATAAAAAGATCGGCACTCTCACAGGTCTCACCTTAGCACCCACCTCGCCAAAGGCGAAAGAGCTTGCGAAGCAGGGTGTCAAGATTGTCACTCATAAGCCCGGTCGCTTGAAGGAGATGATCAGCTTGCTAGATTCCACTGGTGCCGATACCATCTGCTTAATTCCACCAGCCCATGAGGAGAAGTTTGGCATCACTGAGGAACTGATCGAAGCCACTAAGAAGGCCAATATTCCCAATGTTTGCTTCATCAGTACCGCTGGTTGTGATCTTGCCGACTCCGAGAAACAACCAGTCCTGCGGGAGTTTGTCGAGTTGGAAAGCTTAGTCATGGCTGCAAAAGGCGATGTCGAGACCTCCACTGGACATTCTCCCGTTATAATTCGACCAGGCTTCTATGCTGAGAACATCTTGCTCTACACGCCTCAAATTCAACAGGACCACTCCATTCCTCTTCCAATCGGAGAGAACCACAAGTTTGCACCTATGGCTCTAAAAGTTGGTACAAGTCCTGGATACTTTTAGCATCGATCTCTAAAATAAGATAGGATCTTGCAAATCTAGCAGCACATGTTCTTACTGGCAAAGGAAAGCATGGCTTCAGTGACAAACATCGTGGACAGCTGATGGTCCTTACTGGTAAATTTGAAGATGATCGCATTTTGACATCGACTAACGACTGTCCAGGTCCCATGCTCTGTGCAGGCAAAGAATTGGCAGAAGCAGCGTCTCGAGCATTAGGTACGGAAATAGAATTCGAAAACATCTCAGAGTATGTCACTATTTCGATGCATCATCGGCAACCAGACTAATCTTCTTTTCCCAGGCGCGAGGCGAAGAAAGTCTTGACCGAACAATCCGACCTCAACCCAGCTGAACTGCGATATCTCTTGGAGTACTATTCATTGGTCCGCGAGGGTAAGACTAACTACATCTCCACCACTGCTTTCCACGATTTCACTGGTCAACATCCCCTCGAGCTGCCAGAATTCTTCACCGAGATTAAACAAGATTTGGTAGCAGCTGCTCCTTACCCCAGCAAGAAGAGAAGGACGAACGGAAATTGATAGAGAAACAGGCACGTCGACCGGATGTCAGCTCAGTCGTTAATTTCAAGAGCGCCTCATTGGTTCGATTCGCAGCTTTTTCTTTTACCTAGCCTTTATTTTTCTCCTCCTAACTATAACACCTCGGAACGGACGGAAACCTCTCTTTCGTGACGTCTAGGTGAACGCTGGAAATAGGATAGCTGTCCATGTATCCATTGTCTCAAGAATTACGTTGATGAACCCTTGTCAAGCTAGTTGATGGTATCAAATAAAACCTAGAGCTCCGCGCAGCCTAAGCTTTTCAAGGGCGGTGGCTGATGACTACTAGAACTAATGAGTAAGTGGTACATCAAAATGCTGGCGTCAATCACGCACGAAGGAAGTGATCAACGGTCACTAAATGAGAAGCAGAGGTAGTGGGAGCCTGGAAGGGAGTCAGTCATTCGGTTGGGATCGCCTGGGTGACTTGAGATGCTAGCGAAGATGAGAAAATTGATTTAACCGAACTTCCCTTCCGACCACGGTTTTAGTCTTGGGGTCACGTCCGTCACTAGCAGCTCTATCGGATGCTATAGCCCCTAGTCGCTTGCCGCACAGGAACCGAATTGGCAAGATCATACTGTTGCCAATCTACTCAGCTCTGACTTCTTCTGCCTCATTCTGCCTCCTTCATAAAATCCGAAAACTGTTGTGCAAAATCGTTGTGCCGCTGATGAATCGCCATATCGCAATCTCTGTAGGGTTGTGGGCACAACTGTGCCCTCCAGTTGCTTCTCAGGTAGGCTGAGCACCAGCCTACATTACTAGAAAAGACATGTGTTGTTCCGAAACCCATCCATCCAAGGGTTGCCTCTGGCCTTTTTCATCATCATGCCTGGAAGTTTGTTTTGACCACATAATCGACTGGATCGCCGTCCGTCTTGGGCATCTCCACTTCAAGATCGGCGTCTGATAATTGACTGGCGGGCTCCTTTCCAAAAAGTCGATCAATCTCCTCTAAGGCGAGGCCAGAGGTCTAACATCACGAGCGTCAGTAATTATGATTAAATTGGGGACTCGAGTCAGAATACTTACCTCGGGCAACTTGAACCAGAGGAAGACGATGGAAAAAAAAGTTAAACCGATGAACACCAAGTAGTATTTCCACCCGATCGTGGCAGACGCCGTTGGAGCCAACTGGAGCCATAAAAGGTCGGTGAGAAACAGGGTGGACATGGCGATACCGGTGCCTTGAGAGCGAAGATGGGATGGGAAAATCTCGGAAGCGACGGTCCAGCAGTTGACGTCGATAAAGCAGGCGTAGCTGTGGTTGCGTTAGCATGAGTACATTGAACGTGCCGACTTTTCACACCAAAAGACGTAGAGGTACAGGAAGATGACAGCTACTGCTGCCCAGGATCGTGAAGGGGTTTCATTGTATTTGGCGATCAAGCCGGTTGCAATAGCGAACATGAGGAATGTGGATATAAATCCAATGACTGGTTTGTTGTTAGCCCCACAGTGACATCTGGGAACAATAGAACACGCTCACGCAGTAGCTTTCGCCGGCCCATCCGATCGGAAATGGGCGCTCCCATAAAGTTGGCTATCATGCCCCATGTGTTGTAGGCGGCCGACACAATCAGTGATTCCGTATTGCTCAGACCGAGGGACTGGTAGAGCAACGTATTGTAACTGTTAATGACCAAGATGCCAGTATTCTGGGTGCCAATGACGATCATGCATGATAGAATAAGGCGGATACGGTAAGTCTTCATGGTCAAAATCTGCCACCGTCCTCCTTCTCGCAGGGCTCTGGTATCCTCGTTGATTTGTCTGCGAATAAGGGCGACCTCTTGGGCGGCAAAGGTATCTTCGGCGTCGTTGCGGTCATGATGGAGACGACCGAGAACGCGAAGTGCTTCTGCGTCCCGACCTTTACTTACCAGCCATCGCGGGCTTTCAGGTACTAGGGCGAGTTAGATTCACCAGCCGCAGAGTGTTCGACGGCTATCAAGCTTACTAAAGAATGTTCCGGCGAGAAAACACAGTGCCAGGATGATGAACACAGCGTTGGGAAAACGCCACGCAAAGGAAGTTGACGAGTAGAAGGTTCCAAACCTGCCTATGAATCAGCATGAATCAGAATTCCCTAACCAATAACTGACCCAATCCAATTCGCACTGGCGTAGCCAACATTGATGAAACAGCCATGTGCGCCTGCCATGAAACCGCGAGAGTGAGGAGGGGCCACTTCGGCGAAATAGACGGGCATTGCGGCAAAGGCATGGCCGGTAGCAAAGCCAGTGATGAACCGAGCCAGAATGTACTGATTATTGTCAGAGATTGTCTTACCAGACTCTGTGGCTCACAGGGAACGCTTTACCATTCCTTGATTTCTTGCGCCCGTCTGTATCGCCCCTCCAGCGATGGCGAACGACGCGCAGATCTGGAATCCACGAACACGGCCGAACCTAGAGGCTACGGCAGCGAAGATGGCACCGAAGAATCCACCAGCAAAGAGGATGCCCTGGATTGTGGCTATGAAGTCGTTGGTATGCCGGTAACCTGGACTGCTCGGGTCTGCATCGAGATTGAGGCTGGTGTAAAAGCTAGGTTGACCAAGAGTGGCGATGATGACAGCGAGGCCATAGCCACTCAACCACGAACCGAAGGCCGCAAATAGGATGACCTAGTAGAGAGTCAGTTCCGAGCAAGGGTCATGCTCTTTAGGTCAATCAATTACCGCAACATTGTAGGCAGTATACCTCTCCATTCTATCGATGGCTCCGGCGTCAAGAGCTATTTTTGTGGGAGGAACCTGGTTAGAGTAAGATTAGTGAGTGCATAAATACTGGGGGACGAAAGAGTATTGAGCGGAAGAGATATACTTATACGCTGGAAGACGGATCGTCAGCCGAAAGTAGAGAAATCCCCAGAAATTCCCCACCATTCTCGGGCTCCTCTAGACAGCAGGTCTTCAATGTAGAGGATCGAAATGTCGAGGACTTAGAAGATCCCGGCGGGTAGATCAACCAAGTCGGAATCACTATACTTCCGCGCCACCCCGAAATGGAAAAGTTCGATTCTGACCAAAGTGTCCAATTCCCACCGGTGCCGGGACTTCCTCAAATAGTGAAATGCCGATCCAGTCTTATTCATTAGTGTCCAATTCTGGAAGCTATCAAAAGAGCCAGACTGGCCGAGATGTGTCACAGGTAGGTAGTACCCTCAATCCCATGAGAGGCCTTTGTCAAAGCCAGATAATCATATGTGGCTCAATAGACGAGCTTCACCCCATTTGGCCAACTCCGTCGTTTCCTGGTCCTTGTGGCAGCAATCTACCATGACACATCACCGAACAATGTGCAAACTCGCTTTACATATGCGTAGACTAGGTTTTACTGCTTAGTCTTATGTATTAGGCAAGGCGACAAGGCACGATTGCGACGCCGACCAAAGCAAGGGTAAATCCACATCTCAAAATACAGAGGCCTTCGCTAACACCCATGCCGCATTGCTCCTCTTTCCTTTGAGATTCCCCTCTTAGAGATTGGCCTAGGCAGTCTGATTTACAGGATTAATAGGCGGAGGGTGTGGCCCTTTATTTGGAAGTCGAGATCTTTTCGCCCGATCGCGAATGGCCTGTGGCGGGTTATATACGTTGGGGGTGGCTTTGGCACCTCTGTATGGTTGACGTCCTTGTTATCCTAGAATCTCTGATGCCAGACTGTCGGGAAGGCGACACCGCCAGCCATGATCGCAGTACACTTAGATCAATTAGTGGCGATGGGAATATTGCGACAGAAAACTCTCAGATTCACTGTGACCCGCTGGTGCCATTTGCAGCGTGATGGAGGAGACAGGTCGACGTCAAGCTCTGTTCCCAGACGTTGCCTTGTGCAGCGGCTGGTGGTTGCTTCTAAGTTCTCAACACATCCAACCATCCACTCAACTCCAGCTGGAAGAGTCAAACCCAAACAACGTGTTCACAAAGGGGTCGAGTTCTGGGTTATCTCCAAACACTATGCCCGTGTTAGCATCGTTCTGTGCATTCATTTTTGCTGCTATGGTAGTATCTACCGATAGAGATGGAATACATACTGTGCTGCAACGACGAGAATGCCTCGGCGAAATCACCCTCGAAGCTTGTATAAGGGTAGAGATCGCCAAATGGAAGCTCAAGCTGTTGGACTGGCTCTCTCGACCCACTGACACTCACTTGAAGGGCCCGGGCTTGCCTCGAGGAGTCGTCCATTCGTAGCAACGAGGCGCCTCGGCCATGATCCGCAACAATAGCACGTGGATCCCCAGCCGGCGGTATTTCATGGTTACGACGCATGTCATCCAGTGATGGCGAAGGGCTGTTAAGGATGGTCAAAGGCTCAGAGGCCGACAACAACGTCTTCATCTCCTGCTTCGTCTCCTCAGCAAGGATCAGTCGCAGGAGGTCCTCTAATATCTTACTGCTTTGAGTCCATATCGGTGCTTTTTGACCTGGAGTACCTGACATCTTGATGATGCGGGCTATTCCAAGTTTAGCCTCCTGGCTCTGTTTAGACAGCGGACTCGACAGAGCAAATACGCCCAACATCACCCCAGCGGTGAAGGAGTGCAAACCGACATGGCCTCCAAGTGGGCTGCTGCACGCAGCTGCCCATAACTCAGGGTCTTCCAGAGCGCGAGATGTGCGCATGGCCGATTTCCAACACTGGTTTTTGCTGGTTTCCGCTATACTGACATCTATTTCAGGCTCTTGGGGAAGATCGTGCACCTGTGTGTCTTTATCGGGTTGCACGCTGAGGTGAGGGCCTGAGTCTGTTCGTCTGATGCAAGATAACAGTGGCCGATGAAGAAGCAGCTGAGTGTTGTCGTACGAGATCTGCAACGCGACAGCCTGCAATCGGAAAACATGGGAGACTTTTTCCATCTCAGGATCGATCTTGCGCCTCCAGAAAGACCCCAGACGCAGTTCGGAAGGGATATTCTGCTCCCATGCGACCAGTTCTTGGTGAATCTTCTTTATTTGCTCCACCGCACCACGCACAGACGGACCCCTGTGAAAATTCATATCTTGTGCTATGGGAGCCGCAATTCGATACAGTGCCGATCTGAGCCTCATGTATGAGTGGATCGTGACCACTTTATTGGTACCATCTTCGCGACGTTCCATCGAGCAGAAGCCGTGATAGGTGCTTAAGTTGTCGTCAAAGTCGAGCGGCTGCCTGACCTCGATGTCTGTTTCATTGACCAACGCAGGCCTTCCGAATGTTTGAGCGATGAATCTGAGCGATTTTAGCTTGACACCGATATTGATGATGGGAATGGTGGCAATGACCACAGCGGCTTAAACACATACCCATCACCCACATATACCGACCACCACAATCGTCGGCGCGTTTCACGTTCAACAGGAGTTGGCCTCCCCCAAAGAGTTTCATTGTAAAGGCCCAAGCCCTGTGCGGCCCTCAAGCTTGCAGCAAAAACAATGAATGCTCGCGAGGGTCGACGGTTGAATAGGTAGTGAGAGCATAGTAAATAAAGGAATGCTACCGAATCCACAGAATTCTCATCAAACACCAGAAGCAGTCTCTCCTCAATCTTCAGCATGAACATATCTTGCAATCGAGTCAGATCAATGTTACTTCCAAGCGACCGCAACTTGCCAGGAGGCAGGTATCGTGCCCCAGTAACAAGTACAATTAGCAAGACCATCAGGAAAGATTGTTGTCCCTCGTCCACCGTGCCTGAGTCCATTACAGAGTTCACCCGCGCCCATAAGGTGGGCTCATGAAAGAGGCAGATGTACCAATGTACGCAATCGATGAAGCTGCGCACCAGAAGCTGGACGACATCTTTTGGAGGTAGATCGAATCCCAAAACGGAGAAAACACTCCTTGGGTTTTTGAGGGAAGGGATCTGAAGGGACTGCTGAGGGCTGCCGTCGGGGATGGCATCCGACACTTTGGCTGGGTCACGGTAAGTTTGATGGCTTTTGAAGATCTTGGTCCTGATTAATTAACCCGCTTCAGGCGTACGTGCAATTACTCGATGGGTAACTGACCTGCTCGACTAGCCTGTAGGTGGATGGGCGCGACTGGTAAGGTGGTGTTGGTGGATTGGTGGCATGTTGATACCCTTCCAATGGTGGTGATCCTTGATCTTCCACCTGCGCTTTTGCGACTATGGCGGAGGGCGCCTGCACAGTCCTTTGTACCTTTCTGGGCTCTGCTTGTCATGTTAAGGGAATGAGAAAGGATCGGCTTGCATACCTCTGTCTTTGTGGGGCGTCTTCACAGGTGCGTCCAGCGCGAGTACATAGCTGACATGGACGTTGGTTGTCGCACTGGGACAATCAAGGACGATCGAGTTAGCAGTCGAGCATGGGACCAAGGCTTGATAACTGATGACGAACTCTCAATTTCTGCCTCCTGCATCGTGCACAGGCGCGGCGTGCTCTGGTTTGATGGGTTATAGGTGTTTTGTTCCCTGTGTCGTGCAATATCACACTAAAATCGGCTTCTCGATCGTGCCGGTCGGATGGTCCGGCCATGGACAAAGGATCGGATAGCTACCTTTGATCGGGAACGCTGCAGGAGGTACCAAAGATACTAGACTACCGAGTGATCGGTCGTAGGTACGAAGTCAGTTTGTTGCAAACCGGGCCTTTTGATGAACCCACGGAGAACTTACGCATGTTTGCAGAAAAAGTGATTGAGGAAGGGTTGAAGTGCTGTCGAGTTCCCGGTGGAGTCTGGCCCCGCATTTTACGCTTGCTGTCCGTTTCTCTTTTTGGAAATGCCGGTAGTATCAGCCGAAAGAGCACAGAATGATTTGACACTAGGTTGTCCTAAGAGCGTACTGATCTTCTACCGGGTAAACTTGCAGTCTGTGGAGGGGCTAGCGATGGCTCTACTTCCGGTGCCGAAGGAAATACCCACGATCGCTAGTAGTCCCACTTCCGGTGGAATTCAAGGATGGAAGACTTCCAGCAAATTAAGAGGCCCGCTCGATGCTATGGATGTCAAGTATACCCAGCCGCATGCCGGTCGCTGGAAAGAGATATCAGTACGATAACCGAACACCCATCCAGACTTTCTGTCAGGGCGCACATGGCCAAGGCATTTACACTATCCAGTCTTAACATCGTGCCCACCGTGTGTGGCTGTACGCTACATGGAAGAAGGTGGTGGCAGTCACAAGTACACCTGGATAGCCAACGCGGATGTGCTACTTGAGATCTTATTAATAAAGCTTTATAATCTTTATAGGTAGGTATTAAGGTAACATCTAATAGATGAAGGGAGAAGAAGAGATGGGTATAGGAATAAAGAAAGTATTAAACCAAAGGAAGACTCTGAGAGTCACTAGTTATATAATATAGGTTATTCCGATATTAAGTACAAATTAGAGAAGGCATGCATGAGCGTAGAGGTTAAGTGGGAACAGAGTTCTATCTTCATCGGAAGTACAACCAAAGTTGGACCAGAGAGGCGGAAGCCGGACTGACAAAATCACTGGAAAGTCTAACGTTGGAAGCAAACACACATTGTAACTATCAGCAATGAATGGAAACACTTGCGACTGAGTGGTGAGTCACGGCTAGGGAGTCGCTTTTGACGTCCCCTTAAACTCCTCATCATTAAAGACGCTAGATCTCTTCGCCCCTCTACTTCCTTATAAATTCACTTATTACTCGTATAGGCCTAATTCGTGTTAGGCATCTCACTACCTATATAACTTCATTAGGTAGACATAAGAGCGGGATGAGACCTAGACCGTTCCGTTCGATGCGACTCAGGATCTTCTCGAATGAGAGCAACCTCTCTTGGTGGAAAGGTGACGTTTTGCCCCAGCGTAGTTGTACCTCGTATGCGACCTTGAGAGGATGTAAGGTTGAAGCCGGTCCAAACAGTTTGAATTCAGGTTTGCTCAGGTATGCCATACTATTCCGGATGAGGTCAGCCAGATTTAATATTACTTTTAGCCGATTTGATGCTCGATGTGGGGATGGCGGATTCGTATCGAAGCGTATATCGAGCTCCTCGAGATGTTGCAGGCAGATGATCTGGAAGGTCCAAAGATGGGTGAGAGCATTGGCCACTGGTATATCGATGAAATCGAGGACTCTTTCGGTCTCTGCACCGCCAACTTCTTTCATGTCGACCGCTTCCGTCCACCAGTATGGGGCATGCGGCGATAACTTGTCAATTGCTGAATGCCATTCGCTTAATGTGGTCAGAACGTCGGAAAATGATGCTTTGAGACTATCAATCGCTGCTCTCGACGGAGTGAAAAGGCAAGGATGCGATAATGCGTCATATCTCTCCAATAGGGACGGTATTTGGGATGCGTGACTGAAGAGCTGTTGCGCGGACGAAGGGGGGTGTACTCTGAACGGGACCGTCTGCCATTCTGCTTGAGCCAAGAAAGTTGATGTACGAGAGCCAAAGGATTTCAACACCTGCATCGAACATGAACATCATACGACTGCCAACAGGGAAATAAAACAAATCTCGAGGCTCTGTTATTGACTTACTAAGATTGGCAGAAATCCCACAAACAAGCGATGGCCGATTCCCGCTGAATATTTTTCAGGCCCAGCCATCTGCATCAGCTGTGCTGCCCCGTCAACATGCGACATCCACGCAGTTTTGGAGCTTGGTCGTGTGAACTGAGGGCCAGTGAGATAGTATTCCTCGGGATAAACAACGAGCAACTTACCTCTGTCATAGCCAGGCACATTATTGCCGCAAGTAAATCCACATGAGATACTGTAGAAACATGGCTGATCTGCCTTCGCAACGTGTGAACGGCCAGCTGGTATGCGATATTCGACTGTGAGGACGCCGAATGTTGAGGATTCTTGTCCGTGCTCAGAGTGACGGTTGCGAATGCCTGCAATGCAGAACAAAGAACATTTCTTGCCCTTGAAGCCAGTAGAGGGAGCACCTCCATCCATCTCCCACACACTCTGAACGATTCAGCGCGGCGTAGACTGGACAATGAGATAACATGGTGAAGACCTTTACCATGGGGAACATATCTCGCGACCGCTGCTGTCGTCAGAGCTTCTAACGATGTTTGGATTCCTCGAATAAGATTTTGTTGACCAGTAGCATGCCTGACTAATAGCGAACGATCAGGCGTGCGAGCTACAATCCCAGCTTTCGAGACAACGGCTTTTGTTGCAGCAGGCTTTCTGGTGGCGGCCGCAGCCTCAGCTGAATGACCTTTAGCGCTAGTTTGCTGAACAAAAGTCCAATTTGATTGGTACACGCATGTTTTAGCCCTTAGCACACACTGGCTGCAGGATGGCTTCTTGCCATCACACTGTGCAAGTACTGTGGTCAACGCGCTGCAACGTTGGCGACGGGTTCAGCCAGTACTCACTCCAAGTTTGCGATCTCGGCATGTTTGGCAGACCGAACCGGATTTGACCTTCATTTATGCTTGCGACGAAATCATGAGCACCAGTACCACAGCCTTCTGAAAGATTACGGTGGGAATTAGAGGAGACGAGAGAGGTAGCTAACCTTTTCTCATGAGATACGCCGAAAGGGCAGTTGATGTTGGATGTTGCCACCAAAGGAGAAATCGGAGAAAGGTTACGCCGTCCTACGTCAGGCTGAGACACTTTCATCCAGTAGATTGAGCCCCTGAAAACCTTGGCGGAATATAAGGCCATTTTAAGTTAGGTGCTGTGCTGCACAACCTTCAGTGCTGATCTGGTTCTAAGGCTTCTCAAATTCAGGATTGGATACAGTATGACTCTCTTCTTCGAAGTCACTTAGCATTGCTGCCCTCGTCCATTCAATCACCATATAATGCGATGTCGTAGCTGCCATAGTTTGCCTTCTTTCCCGTTGTCCCCTTTCCCGTGGCTTCAATTAGCCCAGCCGCCTAAACCAACTTCTTTAAAGTGCCATAGTGCAGATCGAAGAGATAGCCGACAACCTCGATCTCATTGGAGAGATACGGACAATCCTTGACCTCCTGCACGTCATGCTCCAGCATTTTTTGATGACTGAAGTACGATACATTCCCTGAGTTAGCACAAGTCCAAGCATTTGACGATCAGCAGAATAGGGCCAGTCAATGTGACGTACTCCGAAATGTGTCCAAACTCCATCTTTTCAATCTCATCAGCACGATTGGGAGCCAGAGACTTCACTCGCGCCCGGACACTCTCATTTGTTTGATGTGTCAACCCACAATCTAACACGTTGTTAGCCGTCAGACTCTGACTCGGGCCTCCGAAACAAAGCTTTGCGCTTGACTGACCAGTGTGGTGAATAACAGCAATCGTTTTGATTGGAACGATGCCTTCCAGAACAATCATGGATCTCAATGCATCCATAGTTCTCCCTCCTGCAGTACGGATGGTGGTTGCCTCTGGACACCATGTCAGCGAAAGGGAGTAGAATAATGCCAATCGCCCATCTCACTGACCTCCGGGTCCCAGTTGAAGGAATAGATCGGGGCTCAATCTTGGGTCAGCGCAGGTGACTAACACGGCATCACAACACGTGAGACTTTGAAGCTAGCAGATCGAACTCGAGCCAAGGGGCCGTACGCAAAATAGTTTGTGCCCTTCCTCTGATGGGCATCGATTTCAACATTGCCACGGTGGGCGCGGGTATATGCTGTTTCACATATTCTCTGTAGTGTATCAGCCAGGTCGATGTTCATATAGGGAGCAGGAGGTTTGATCTTGGTACTTATTCCTCTCGAGAAAATCTTCGAATGTGACTCGCTGCATAATGACCCGATACCCCGACGAGGTTGTAGAGACAGCGAATGGAGCTGAACAGTTGTCAAAACAAAATGTCCTACTGGAGAACATTGCGAGCTATTTAAACATATCGGTGAGCCTTGATCTCCGTCAAGTGGATGTTTCAGCTTGGCGGTTTACATTTCCGTATTGATCCTGAGGAGTCGAGTCTAGACCAGACCATTACCTCCCATGAAGACCGCTCTATCCGCCTAACCGCGGTTGGAAGTGAAAGCCGACCATGAATAGTTCTTGTCAGAATTGTCCTACAGCTCACTGAGACCTTTTTCACGGAAATGAAGACTGACAAAGAGTCCGATGGAGTCCGACAGAGGCTGATGAGAAATCAAAAAGGCCTTTGTCAAGGGCAGGAAACAAAAGTTGTGTAAGTAAAGCATTCTCGAAGCTCCGAGTCATCAGATCTTCGCCTTCTGGGGAGACCCATGCCACATTAATCAGAGACCGAGACAGAGGAGATATGACAGGATAATTCACATCTTCTTGGCGGCATATTGTTCCCAACGCGGATCAAAATCACTAATCTGGCTTGGGATCCACTCGTGGGGCGCCGGCAGCGGAGATAGGGAATGCCTGTCTTGCGGGATGATCGGGTCATCTGAAATCGCTGTGTCGAGCGGAACAAACATTTCACTCTCGTGTCACGGTGGATAAGTTCGGTCTAATGCTCTCGAAATGTCTACGAAGAGTATCTTCGACAGGGATTCCGTCCATGGGATGACAAGAGGGTAGGATTGGTAATGCACAGATGTACGGACTTCGATGTAGAAAGATCGCGGAAGCGATACCCCCTAGCACGCAACTATTGCGCAGCAAGTCTGCACGAGAACTTCTGGTTACATCTCAGACCGATGTATCTCTAAAAGATGTGGCAGTACCTTCATTCGCCCACGTGGAAGACCTTGTCCTCCACTTTTCAAACACCTTCAGCTCCAAGCACAAGTTCCATGTCGGCGATAGGGGTTGAGAAATTCATCAGGCGTATTCCTTACTGGATGTGGTACAAGACATCACTTCAACCCCATGTGGATTGGTAGGGGGTTCCTGGCCTGGAACCAGTGTCATTTTAGGAGGTCTGCGATCCATAACTTGCCTACTCCCCTTGTCCAAATAGTCGAAACTCAAACTCTTCACACGAAATGCTGTGAAGACGGGACCCAGGCGTGATGACGGTTAAAAGCAGAAGGATATGGCTGAGAGAACGAATGGGTAACACCAAGAATATCCGGAGGTCATAATATGGCTATCGACACCTTTTTTGTCAGCACTTTGCAAGTAGTTGCTTAGAGGCGCTTAGAGTGCTTCGACGTTAATCCTTCTTATCAGGCGAGACTCTTGAGAGACTGATGGCAAGCCTCGAGGGTCAACAGTACATCAAGCAGACAGTCCAAAAGGTCTTTAGAGGTCAACCATCCTTCTTATACAACGTCCTCGAGAAAGTAGTGGCATAACCCGGGGACCAAGACCAAGAAGTCAAGACGACGGCCCTTAGAGTCCTTCAGGGTCAAACCTCCTTGTCAGATGAGAGTTTGAGGTTCTCGAGAAAGTTCGATCCGCAATGGCCGATTCTCTACTCACCGCTCAACGTCGCAGAGTCCTCTAGACGAGCCATCTCTGCACCCACTTCTCCTGGCCCATTCCCTTCCGACCTCTCTCACAAGACGTCCAGTGGGAACCGGCACAAACTTTGCTTAGCCTTTGTGGCGTATGCCTCAACCAAACGTGTTACGCGGCGCTGTCTAGAATTTATCAACTAGATCTACACAGCTGAGTGCTTCCTTGAACCTTACTTTGAAGAAATAGCGACATCCAACCTGGTAGGACGACTCGTACACCCGAGACAGCGACAGTTGCGCCGATTCCGTAGAAAAGACGGCGCGGCTTGCCATGAGAGTTTTCGCTATGCGAAAAGCATGAGAAGATCACTCCACAGGCAAATATGTATATAGAAGAGTGCATGCAGCATAGCAGAGACTTGCTGCGCATACATTGGCCCTACAGTTGCGCAAGACCCTTCATGGTCCGACAACTATGAGCCCGGATCTATCTGCTCAAATTGACTTGGAATTCGTAGTGACGTCCATTGACGTGGAGCGAGATCAGAATTGTAGTTTTGTAGTGTGTGGGGGGTTCATGGCCGCAGATACTCAAATCCTCTGCTCTACGGACAGAGACCAAGCTAGGGACCAAGCAGAAGGCCCCCGATAACTCTCGAATGGCGCTTGTAGCCAGTTGCGATTAGGGCAACCTAAGATCACGCTCCGCCTTAAGCTCCAGGACACAGGTCTGTACATAGGAAAGGAAAGGATGGGAAGAAAGTAAATGAAGTAAAGGAGGTAGATGTGCCGGAGGTGACAAGCTAGCCGATCTCATCTAGTTTACACAGGTACCCACCATGATATACTTGGCTGTCTAATGTAGTATCGAATCTCACGTCGCCGCTGTTAATCTGGTGGTAGTAAACTCGGAATTATTTACTAATAAGTAGTTATTTATACTAGACGTATACTAATAGCTATATACAATAGGTTAAATACCTCCTAGATCTAGTATTGATACCTCTTGTTGGAGGATTTGGACTGTGCGATTGTACGGGCCAATCGATACCAGGCAAGTCAGCGTAGATGAGATTTCTGTCTTCTTCTACTCTATGGTCACCGTTCTAGTTTATATAGAAAATTACTAGGCAAATGACCTCCTGGAGCCTATTTTCCATGATTCTAAAGCATTCCAGAGGCTGTAGCACTTACGCATTGCTCGTCGTCATGAGGTTGCCGGCGCTAGTCACTTTGGCGCCAACACCTCTTGACATTAGCCGCCTTTAGCTTCTTACTATCGGCTGAATCTATACTTAGTAGCTGTAGCTCTTATGAATATTAATTCACTTAAGGTGTGAACTGGCGCATTACCTGAGGAAACCCTTAAGTGCTCGGTCATTTGCACTTCAGGTAGGTTTTCTGCTTCTGTATCGACGGAGATCATATTCTATACAAGAAGTCAGGCCTCTAACGAGCAATCCTCTTGTTTAATTTTGAGCCTCTCTCACTTGCATTGTTGGAACGCTGCAACGCACCCACTCTACACTCCAACATACGCTCAAAAGACCTCCAGCGCACCTTAAGAACATAAGCAAACCCTTTTGCCTTTTCTTTTCGACCATAGTTCCCTTCCCGACACAACTACCTCTTCCTCAACGCTGCTCTTGACCCTTTCCCCTCCAACCTTGTTACACTTTTTCCTTCTCCTTCTCTTTCCCTCCTAAAAGCGCCTCGCCCACCCTCCGCACTACTTTCTTACTCCCAAAATACACCGCCTGCAAAGGCCCGATCCCATTGTTGGTGCTCCCACACCCATGGCACCGGCCGCAGTGGCCGCACACGCTCTTGCCAAACCCGTATGCGTCATTATTATCGCACACACCGCAGCCTTTGAGATTGGGGCTGGGGGTGGTTGTGGGGGTTCCGTTGCCGATGGGATCGGAGCAGGCGCGGCGGGATCGTGGGTGATTGAGTGGTGGTGGTTGTGATTGTTGTGGGATGGGGGTGGCGGTGGCCATGGTGGGATGGAGGGGAGTTGTACCTTTGTTTGGACTATGAGGGCTGTGCTAGGCTCGTGTAAGGCAAACCCGCAGAGTCGCCTTACTATGTATTCGCGGTGTCTAATTGGTAAAGGGTTGCCCTTTAGGTGGTGTTGAGGTTGGACTGGTGAGGATAACTCATAGACGATAAAAGAAATCTAGTAAATGACTTGAGGTTGGGTTCCAAGTCTCTCATGAGACGAAGCCCCTTGAGGCTGTACAGTACGGAACGTTCAGTGAAGAACTGGTGGGCAAGCCTGGTGGGCCCCTCCGGCCCGGGACGCCTGAAACTGGGCCACCTACCCGCAGCAGCAAGACCGCAACGCAGAACATCCCCAGGCTAGTGACAGGAGTCCAAGCTGTAGGATGTGGTCAAGTTTCGCAAATATATAGTATGATTGCGCATGATGATCGAGCTGCCTACAGAGTACACGCTTAACCTTGGGATGCAGCGCGGTGAGTGATCTGAAGGAACTGGGTCGATGGCTGATCTCTATCTTGCCGTTGCCGTCGTTGACAGGGCAGTCAATACTATTCCGCAGAGCCACCCTAAACGAACTACCGTTTGAGTAACCTTGTAATCTGGCTCGGCACGCGATTTGAGCGAAATGGGTCAATGGACGATCTCGATTCTCAACCGTGCCCTATCCTACTTCAAGCTTGGGCAGCAGCCTTATTATAGTTTTCAGCTATCTATCTCCGTCTACCTAGCTCGCCGTATAGCAAAATAACTTCGATAATAATAGAATATAGTAATTACCACTAAGAGATTAACGACTCAGGTGTAGCTCTTTAGCCAACTTAATTACCAATAATGAGCTCTATCGTGACTCTAAGGGTGTAGTACTCATAGTAACGTAGCGCTAGCGATTTATCTAGAACGATGGCGTTAATGGTTAAAGGAGAGTGTTTTTCGAGTGTATCGCGCTCGAGGACTGGTGGCCCTTCGAAAGACAAGAGGAGGGAATTCGTTGATTAACGAAGGTCAAACCAAGGAGAACAAAATACAGTGGTCCATGACTATTACGGAGGTGCCGCTGGACGAGACTTAATCACCACTGGCACAACCGCATCCTCTTGCAAGCGGAACAGCGCCAGTCTTAGCATCCAACACTAGGCCCCACAGGCCGGCTCTGACGGACCCCCAGCAGTGGAATAGACGGCTGTTTTTACTGATGAGTCCAATTTACCTCTTCGTGTTGTACGCTACTTAAACATTGGTTCAGCTCCGTCAACGATGTCATGATGCATGCATGACCGATATTAACTGCATAAGTACATTTGAGAGTTCCTTTCTTGAACGAGCGACTGTCTAGTTACACTATATAAACGAGAAGCTAGGCCATCATGGCCATCTCCAACTCTCGATGGCGCGGTTCAAATAGCTGCTCGCCAATGAAAGAATCAAGGCCGAAGGGGGAGGCGCTAACATTTCAGTGTCTCTTTGCTCCGCACTGTGCTCATCGCTCCCAACTCAGATGATAGCCCCCATCAGATCTAAGCAAGCTTCCTGCAACCCTCGGGCCAGCTGCCGTAGCACCAATAGACCGCAGTCTCAGCAATCTCAACTCCGTCACGCTTGGACTTGGCAAAAGCTTCCGCGGCCGGATGCGCCAGTGGGTTGGGAGAGCGCTCCTTCAAGGCGTTGTTGGGCATGGCGTTGGCAGCCTGTGTCAGGTCATCAAACGCAGATTCTAGTTAGAGTGTGGAGCAACGTACTGGCATAGCGGCGGCGGCACCAAGAGTGGAAAGTAGAGCAAAGACGGTAAAGGCCTTCATATTTTCTTTTCTTTTCTGTAACGTTGTTGGCGGTTTTCTTTACGGAAGAGTTGTCAGACAGTGACGTAGTACCCAGTTGAGTTCAGATGTTGACGGAAGACGTGGATTCATTGAGTTGGAACCGCCTTTTTATATCCGACTTGAACCTGTCGCCATTACTCAATATAGTGCGGATGTAACTGGAGTTGCAAGATAATTGCCGTCACATCGTTCTTGCAGTAGTGGGACTTGAGATACACTCTCAATCGCTACGGGGCTGGATGACACCTTCGTCGTAGGTTGTAGGATCGGACAGTTGCATGAGGACGGGTGAATCTCATTAGCTGATAGTCATTCAAACCTTCTTGTCTCAAAGCCTGTGTCGGGGACAAGTAGCTATCTGACACAAGAAGATCTGTTTAAGGCATAGTGGCCGTTGTTCAATATGTCTGATCAACACACGGCATATCGAATAAGAAGGTGTATGACGATGGACTGTGACATGTTGTCTATCATACTAACCTGATTCCGCGGGTACTAGGTGACAAGACCCGCAGGATAAAACACAGGTTTGCTGCTGGATGGCCAAATCCGGTGACGGAAGAGGTCGCTCACCTATAAGACTCTGCAGCTAGCTAGGTAGATTGGTGATATTTTTCTTCCAGGTATAGGTTCTGTGATCCTGGATAGGGCCCATGATTACTGTAGGCAGTGGTTGAATGAATGCAGATCCCTAGGGTGCCTGGAAAATCGAGCTCTTTAGCCAGCTGCCCTTCTGAGCAAATTGGCTCGCTATTTATTGTTGGGGTACATAGTATAGTTATGTGTGGTCTTACAATTGGCCAGTCTGATTGTTGTTCCATCCGCATACCCAGGTGGTGATGTCCTTCGGGAGAGTCCGTGCCAAATTAGGCCAGGTTTTGCCTTATTCGAGATACCGCCGTTTTGCCCCGCGGATTTCTTCTGCAGTGGGAGCAGCAGTGTAACGATGGGGTTTAATCACTAGCGCCCGGGCGACTCAAACTCAACGGGGAGAGTCCGGAGGCTTTTCATACCAATGCACAAAGACTTTAGCATGTGTGTATTCTAGCTGCATGGCGTGGTGACTGCCTGGCATCGATCCTAATGGCTATTCGAGAGTCATTCGGTTGTATCTTCTAGCCATATGTGATACGGAAGCAGTCTCTACTGTGTTGAGAATATGATGAGGACCAACCTCAACGGAGGTCAGCGGATGTCAGTCAAGACCTGAAATGAAGCTGATCATGTAGGAGGGGCAGAAGTTATCTCCATTTCAAAAACAGCAGAGAACTTCTCTAAGACCTTGCCTTTTGTGCAGTATCTGCAACGAGGTCTTCTGAGCAAGGAATCGACCTTGTCGTAGCATTGACAATATGTTTCCTCTAAAACGTCAAGGCTATAGCGATTTAAGACGCGTGCACTTTACGAAATCAGATAGCGAGGACTCAGAAGCTTCTGAGGGTGTGCAATATGAGCCACACCCGCAAGGCCATCATAGATGGTGGCTCGGCTATGGGCTCTTTATTATGCTTGGAGTATCTGTCTTTGTCAACGGCATGCAATATATCAACAAGTTATTAGACGCTTCCAAACACACGCCGCACGACATTGACGACGTCTGCTCTATGCATACTTTTGAGTACCGTATGTGCTGATCAACCGAGTGCTTGAGTGTCATGGTGCGAGGCTAATGGCTTGGTACAGCATCACCTATACAGAAGGACATCCAGGTCAAATACAGGACGACCAAGTTCAACGACTCTTTCTTAGAGCAGTCACGGTACCGTGGTCCACCCGGGCCAGCGACAGATCGGCTTTGGCTAGAACTTGGGACAAGAAGTAAGTTGAATTAACCTCAAAGACACATATTCTAATGATGGCGCACAGATCGCCACTACATTGTACCGGAAGATGAAGGCCATAAGTACGGCCTCAACCCGGGTCACGCAAAGATCGATCCCAAGTACGGCGGAGGCTATCCAGTTCTGTTCCAATTCGAACACGATCTTCATTGCCTCAACCTCATGCGACAAGCCCTCTGGTGGAACTACGAGTACTATTCAGCGAAGGGAGAGGGTCCCTTCAGCAACCCTCCGGAAGTCCTTGAGAAGCATGTTGGGCATTGCATGGACATGCTTCGTCAAGCACTGATGTGCAAACCTGACTTGCAGGTCTTTGGGCAGTATTGGATCGGAGATATCAAAACTCCATTTGTGGACTTCAACACAAACCATAAATGCATGAACGTAAGTAGAATTAATCGTATCAAGAGTCTCGGCTTACTTTTGCAGTTCTGGGGTAGGTACCTCCCGGGATCACTCCACTTACTCCTTCCTGTCTTTTCTTGTTGAGGTCTGCAGCGAGAGATGGCGAACTCGTTGAGAGATTCACGCCTCTATCGTCTCCGCCGGACTAATGCCATTTCGCAAGGGCTGGCTGACTGCAGCAGAACTTAAGAATTGGGTAACGGAACATCAGATGAGCACCGAGATGTCAGTACTGAAGGCTGTGGTCCAAAGACCAGGTGACACTGTACTGGCGCATATCCCCTAACCAGACAGACTTTCAAGACGGTAGGACACCCCGAGAAAGTTGAATCAGAGTGCATTTGGGGTGCAGAAATCATCAATACCTCGTCCTATTGTGGGCAAAAGCGTCACTTTATCCGTATGAGAGTTTAGTGCGGGGCGTCAAAATTTCGATCCGTTCTTGGGTATCCATAGCAATAAGATCGGTGTATTATTGAAAACCTCGGTTTAAGACCCGAATCCCCTTCGTGTACAAAGCTCTGGTCTAGGACTACTCCGATAGCATAAGCTAACCTGGCGAACTACAGAGAACGGATTTTTTTTAGGCGATATTCAAAGAAACCAATGCAACCTTTCATCTTTTGATGGGATCTTAGCATCCTGACTCTCTTGATTACGGTGTGCTTACTGTACCAAGGTTCTAATTCGGCGCCTTAAAATTTCTCTGCGTAAATACTGTGGTCCATGTATGCTTATAACACTATGAACAGCATGGTTAAGAATGTACGGGGCTGTGGGGTCGAATTCGGAGTGGAGACACTTGGCCACTTGAACGATTCTGTTCCATGCTGGCGCCCATGGGTTCCGTGCTGAGATGAAACTACAAAACTTGGTGGTATGGTAGTTACGGGCGACTCCAAATAACTTCCGGGCCTGAATCATCATTTCAAGACTGTACCTACTAGAGATGACTTCACGGTGACGTCGAGTGTCGGAGATACAACCCCACCCATCCTGCAATGGTCTCTTTAAAGCGTCATCATGGCAGTGTTAGGCTCAGCTGACGACCACCAGGAAGTTCTTCTGTTTCTTTCCAAACTTCCCAGGATCAGTGAAAAATCGTAGAGACAATACTGGATGGATTTTGAGCACTACTTCAACTGCACTCATCGTCCCGAGATTTCCGACATGCCTCGGTGAGCAGAATTCGACGACGGAATGCCGCAGTGCGACAATGCTGTTGACGCTGGCGAAGACAAAGTCCACGGCATAGGAAAGGTAGACAAGACGAGCCAGTCATACCACTTAATGCGTATCGTGTAAGACTTATGCTGACGGGTGTACCTCAGACCACGGACGAAGTCGAAGTTAACCACGCAAAGAAGACCGCCCCTTTACCCGACTTGAGTGAAGTCAACAACCATATTCACAGCGGGTGAGCAGCACCAGGCCATCAAGATGGATACGGCCACCCGCCCAAAACGCAAGGATAAGGTACCCAAATAGCTTCAAACAAGAACCTCGGTGGGGCAGGTTCTCACCGAACGAATCCTACACCGGATAATTCTGTGATTTGTAGGGAAAGCACAACGAAGCTACTGAAGAAAAACTACTCGCTGTGGTTTCAAAGATGTGAATCAGTCTCTATCGCTTGCCGCATCGGACGTTTATTTGTCGTACGGGTGCAGGCTAGCATTCTTACTGCTTGTGGTGAACTAACTCGCCTTGGCACAACACGTCCGATACGCTCTAATCCATCATCATTGTCCTCCTCGTGCTTGTCCGTCTTCTGGCCGTCCAACTGGTGCCAGATGGCGTTGAAAACCTGAAGATGGCGAGCATTACATCCGCCATATAGATTGTCGTCTCTACCCCCAAGGTCACTCCTTCAGCCACATTAATAAGACTCTTGGACCGATATGTGTGTGCCCACAAGCTGCCAGATCCGTCTCCCTCACCTTCGAAGACTGCACGACCCCGGAGACTCTGCGTTGGCGCCTTCCGAAGTGTCCACAGAAACATGGCGCTAGGGCACTAGAGTCAAGGGACCCAGATTAGGCTGAGGCAACGTTGCATTTGGTGATATGACAATAACGCGCAGCGCTGTTAGTTTTCGGTGCAACACATGTGCCATAAAAGGAACTGTTCGCCAGCAGAGGCTGCTGTCCAAGAACCCGAAATCACTTTTCCACTTGCAAAACTATGCAATTCTTAGCTATAGATCCCAAATGTGTAGCTTGAGCGGACAGCACGATGCCAAATCATCAAGCAGACTTCGTCTAGGATGTGGAATTCTTTCCACGCCCTTACACCAGCATTTCGAGACTCGCTCTATACGACCCTTATGGATGGTCGGCAGCACAGTTTTCCGCGGAACCGCAGCTTCACATGCTTCAGGCCGAATTTGAGCAGAGAGAAGAGACATTATATCAGGCAAGGTGAAAACTCGACTTTCACCTCAAACGGAGGATAGCCCACGGTGAGGAATGCGGGGAATCGTAGAGACGATCCGGACAACCAAATTCCGGTGATCGGCAACGCCTTAACGGCCATCCACTTCCGTGTGATTTTAGCTCCGTGGCATGCATGATTGGCATACCACCTACATCCGTTTACGGCCGGTCTCTTCTTAATGACGGCCAATGCCCAGATCTTAGTTAGCCAACAAAGTTTCGCCACCATACCTCCTTTCCCCTAATCCGACATCCGTCGAGGAGGATGTGAACAGGGGATTCCTAGGCGACGATTCCCGGCGTAGCAACTGCAAGTTGCGTCATACGAACATAAAACTTTTCAAACTTTTACTTATCTTGTTCTTACAGTCCGTCCTGACCACCACAGTGGTCTATGTGCATTCGGAAGCTCTTTAGCCGCCATCTTTGAAATCCTCTTTCTCCACCCTCTAGCGAAGTCCCTCTCCCGAATCTATCGACGAATAAGAAAGTAGGACGTACATCTAAGTTAGGTGATCCTTTTCCTGACCCCGGTCATTTTCTTCAAGCGCTTTTCTGCTACTGACGATATGGTTGAGTTTGTTCTTTGAAGATGAAAAAAGGCAGCAGAGATTACTGCCGTGTCAGCTTATATAAAGTCGAGTTCCAGGCTGCTAATGTAAGCTCAAGGCATTGCAATTGATCCAACCCATGTGTCAAATCTTATTTACACTTAATCTGTGAAAAATGAAGACGGCTCTGAATGATTTCGATGATTTTCAAATTTCAGGCAACGAATCTTGCCTCAAACACCAGCTTCCTTGTGATACAGCACGTCAAAAACCTCAGACACATTTGCGATGTGACCACTCTCCACACACAAGCCAGCGCTCCCTTCAACCCACAGTTGAAGATGTCCCAGACGAACACTGGTTGCGACCCACTAGTCGTATAAACTCTGCTCATCCCATTATCATTTTTTCTTTTCAACACCATGATCCACCTAATCCACGGCGGAGATCACTTGATCAGCATGCATCTGACTGGGAATCCTCCCGCCCCACCAAAAAGCAAATGCGAGGTACGAATTTTTATCTTCACTATTGCCATATGTTGACGATTGCCTTTTGTCGTTCAAGGCATTTGATCGAAGAGCACCATCCTGCGTTTGAACGATGCACTTGCTTTGTTTGATCGCAGCCTCATGCTATCAGGATCGCTCCCACACTGTAGGAGGAAGTTCTCACCTGTGGGCAAGACAAATAAAGCCGTCGCCCAAGGTTTATTGGGGTCCATATTGTAGACACAACCATCGAGTAAGGTACCGCATTCTCCCGAGAGGGGAAGATGGGGAAGGTCTGTCAGCGTTGTCGGCTAGAATCAATCATCAAACATTTTATTCGAACTCAATCATAGCATACCGTCGTTTTCAAATGCGGCTTCGCATTTATTTGATTTGATTTGATTTGATTCCACTTGGCTGTGCAGACTAGGTGTCTCTTCGCATTTACACATAGACAAAGTTATTTCAAGTCCCACAATTTGCTCCACTCACACTCCACAGCATTACTAATTGGGTAAAGCACTAAAGCATGGTGTGTCCAATCGGTAGAATAGACTTACCGACTTACGTACTGCATTTTAGAAAATTAATACTACTAAAAATACAACTAGCACCTAGTGGCTATAAGTAATTAATAGTAGCAAGGCTATTCACCTACGCCTTAATGCGATAACCGATTGCTCCGGTGGCAGCGAGTCTTACAACTAATAACTCGGCCCCATCTACTTCATATCTAACCTTAAGTAGGGTATTTATACACGATATATTTAAGGAGCCGTGAAACCTTCGCTATCATAGCTACCAACCACGATGCCCCGAGCCTAGATTACGCTAGTTCTTTAGCCTTCTTAGGCAACACACTACCTGAGACCACCGATAGTAGCTCTGAAATATTCAGCAATGCTACCTCGAACGTTTCCTCGATCCCTTCTAAAGGAGCCACGTTTATTATTCGCTCTATCTCTTATGGACGCGTACTTACACTATAATAGGAGAAAATTATCTTAGTCCATCTATCACGAATACCAAGACTTACGCACGTGACTAGCTAGTATATCGCACGCGAGACGCGTACGAAGCTCCCCTGAGCTTCTTACGCTTCGAATCGATGTCGATACTACCTCTATAGTTAGATAGAAATCCGTCGATATAGCTCTTTCGAATAGCTCCCGCTCATTCCTGACACCATCCCGACGGCCGCGGCTCTATACATTAGGCGTGCGTAAAATTTAAGGGGTAGTATGTTGTGTAACAAATAAGTTTCTAGGTTATTAGGGAGATGGAAGGCTATACTACTTAGCCATAAAGCAGTAGAATATAGAGAACTTTTATATCTCTCCAAGGCCGAAAGGTGGTTCTTTCTTAATTATATTATATATAGGATAACTTATTGCGGATTTTTAGTGTGGACGAGAGCTATAGTACGTAGGAGTGAAGATAGAGCAGGAAGTCGAGACCTTAGTAAAAATTGGGACGGAAGATTCCGTTGGCATAGGTTAGGAGTTTATTAAGATTAGGTAGTAGTGGGATAATGCTGAGAGTACTGGCGTTGATTAGTACGCTGTTCCTGACCACTTTTCAAAGTCAACAATCAATTTAAAGATCTAGCGACAGCGTAAACAGAAGACGTTAGGTACAGTGAGTGACTGGCCTCTCGGTCACGTGTAAGCACGTTAAGCTCTAGCTACTATTACGCATTTTTACGCGATTGAGAGCGTGTGTACAGTAATTTGATTGTACCTAAGTGTAAGCTAAGATATATGACAGAAAATATAAGCTCTTACTTATTGGCAGGTCGACAAAATTAGTTTAACTACATGCAGCCTAGGTCGTAGCATAGTAGGTTTAAATGTGGGCGACCAAATTATCTTGTGTTGTGTAGATGCGGACGCGCAATTGAAAACGCCTGTAAAGGTCAATTACAATTTGGTTTCACCAGAATCACGAATGTAGATTATATATCATGTCCATCGTCGCTCTCGAGCAAAGCCTTCTTTGCTTGCATTCAACGTAACAGATATGATAGTGCCAGTTGCCCAGACATTGCTGATGTTCAACCAGTACACCACCATCGCGCCCGACAAACAAACTCAACAGGGTAATTTCACGCACTACAACGACTGGACCGGCATAGTACTGTAACATATTAACCCATTCCCACCAGCTTGTTTTACTCATGCTCGCTTTTTACAGTGGTTATCCTCTTGATCACTCTGTCTGATGCCTTTTTCGAACTATCTAGCATCGCCTCCAGTGCCTTTGCACTCCTGAGTTCAACCCTACTCTTTCCATTGCCGAACAGAGAGTTGGTACCATCTCTACTGCTCCCACAGTGTCTACAATTGAAGACCAGCCTTTGGTCCTTGTCGACGGCCAGAAATACGCGCCAGAGGATCATATATCAGAGAAGCGCCCACGTCGTTCTTAGATACATTAAACATGGATTCGCACTGCTAAACTTTGAGTCGAAGAAGGCCTTCTGAGTATCTAAATAGTGCGATGAGAAGAGTGGCAGGAAACTAGACACAGCTGCGTCGACTTCCACCGATGAAACCATTAGTTGACAGCCTTCAGAAACCGTCTAGTGAGATAGATTGTCACCTACCAGACCGCCTTTGCCGCCATAAAAGCCCATTCTTTTAAAGACCTACTCTCGTCAGGCTCTAAAACTGTAGCCGACCTCATTCCAACTGGTAGTACTATCCGGACGTGCAAAATGCAGAAGTTCGAGAGAAAAAAGACTGAAATCAGAGCTCAGATATTGCAGGAAAGCTCGTGGGAGATTCATCTCTTCTTCGATTTATCGACCTCTCTAAACTGTATTTGAGGCACACTTGCCAAGTAGACTGAGTCCCGGATTATGCTGAACAACTTAATTCAAAGCCAGGCCGTACCGTCTAGGGTTTGTAGATGTACACAGTAATCTCCTCTTCAATGGAACCCGAGTTTTCAACAATACCCCCATATTTGCCGATTGCAATCTAGGCAGACTCCTAATGCTCGCTTGCCGATTGAAACAAGAGCAGAACCGGTATTCCTTTGGATTCGTCCCTTTCTACATGATTTACAGCATCATAGTCATAAGTTATTGAAACTTTGTGCTATCGTTCAGGAAAAGCTTTTCTCGATGCCTAGCCAGCTCGCTCTACGTAGTTCAACGATATCCCCTCTTTAAATGACAGGAATATTGTGTACTCAAGCAGACGTTCTTGAATATACAGGGGCAATGACCGACTACGACTGCGACAAGTTCACCGTTCATTACAGCCCCGATATCGATATCATAATGTCTTCCAGGTAGAACCTCGGGGACGTCAAGCCATCGAAGAATGCTTTCAGAAATTACTGAATGGCATGAGCGAGCGTTTGGAAGTTTCTCTGGTAGTTTTTGATCACATGGCTTGCCCTTGTTGTATTGCTTCCTGCTCACCAGGGCTTTTCTTTAGGGATACATTTTCTGCTCCCTGCTTGAATTGGACAAACCATTGAAATAACTTGCATCATCATCGATACCCTGCAAATTGTGACAACACTCTGCACTGTGCTGCCTGTCTACGTGGAGCAAACAACCAATTTCATACATATCGTTGTCAAACTTTGCTCGCCAGAAGGCTAATATGGAATCTAAAGTCGAATAGTTGAACCGTGCACTTTTCGCCGCTCAAACCGACCAGATGCAGAAGCACAGCTGACCAACAGAACAAAATTCCCTAATCTCATTCGACTCTGCCACAAGCGCTTTACCGCTCCTCTCAGCGTCGAGATCGATTGATCTATTACGATAAGATGATCTATCACAAGTCCTGGGCATTAACCTAGGCTGAATGTAAGATGTGAGTGCATTGCCTTGCTAACTTTCTCTTTAAATACTATCGGTTTATCGTAGGAAAGCGAATCGGCAAAGGCAGTATTCCCCATTATCAATACTGGGACAGGGTTCCAAATGAACGGCAGGAATGAAATCTCCATTTTGGGTGGAGGGCCCGCTAGTATGGCGGCAGCGTTATCACTCATGAAAGCCGGGTTTTCAGTCAAGAGCTTTGAACGCTACCCTCATGCAAGACCTGCTGGCAATATTCTAAATCTTTGGCCACCACCAGTCCATCTCACAGCTGTATGGGTGTTAACATTGGAGAACTTGGCACACCATGTCATACCACATTTCGAAGTGTCAAAGCGCACATACGTGCAGAAGTCCAGTTGCCGGACGAAGTCTTGAAAGGGTATGGTGGCGACTTGACTGGCCTTCTGCGACCCGACCTTTACTTACGAATGCTTGAGGCGATACCTCCGGGAACCATTGAGTTCAATCGCGGGATAACAGCGATCGAAGACAATGGTGACTTTATCAAGCTCCTTTTTCCGGATGGGACAAGTTTCGAAACTGCCCTTCTGATTGGGGCAGACGGCATTGATTCTATCATCCGTCAACGTCTCTGGGGCGAACCTCCGAAACGAGCTCATAATTTGCGAATAGTCGGTGGAGTCACATTTAACGAAGAAGTCGCCACGGCGCAGAATGAGGTAACCTAACCTAAACTTAGCCTAACCCTGTATTTTAAGGGTTAGATTAGGTTTTAACTTTAAGGAACCTAGAACTTACGGGGCTAACTTCTGTTAAAGCCTAGTTCTCATGAATACGTTCGTTGAGATCAGCGTCTCTAACATTGCGAGAATTGTTACCGGGCGCTGGGTCATCCTGGGATAGTCTGGGTATAATGGGCCGGCTCCGATTAGGATCATGAGATGTGTATTACATTATAACTTGTTGGAGTAGTCAGGCCACTCACTCAATGATGTACGATCACCAGACTGGGCCAGTAACGGAAATCGCTCGCTGTCGAGCGAATTTGGTGTCTTGACCGCTAGACTATCTGTGATGGGCAAGGAGAGAATTTGAGATGTCCACGTTATAAAGTCAGGATAGAGAACACCATTCACACGTACATTCACACGCCAATTTCAAATATCTGAATTCATTAAATTCGATTGTTTTGTCCGGGTGGCCCTGAAGATTTGTTTGCAAGTCTAGTCTCTGAAAGCACACAGAGCACATCACGCAATTCCAAGAATTTGGATTGCCAAGTCTTGATATCACTCCACCCTTCATTTTTGCACTCCAGCAAAATCCGCTGCATTCTCAGCCCAGCATCACGCTCCTTTTCTGATTCGAAGGGACTTTTAACAGCTTGAGCGCCACAGCGACAGAAAGACTATATGTAGCAATATCAGCAGTTTTCCTGAGTAATCTTGAAACAGTAGATATTCATAGGATGTGTATTCTCTTATATACCCTCGTGTTTTCAAATCTTTAAATTACACCAATCTACATCTTCATCAAACCGTAAACCATCAAATCTGGCCATAAGCAGGAAACATGTCAATTCTAGTTACCTATGCCACAGCAAAAGGCGCAACGAGTGAGATCGCCGAGAGGATCGCCGAGCATCTTAAAACGTTTGCCGCGTCTGTCGAGGTTCGTCCAACTAAAGAAGTCTCTGCTACGTCTTTACATACCTATTCCGCTATTATTGTGGGCAGCGCAATTCACGCAGGATTGTGGCTGACGCCCGCGCGCCACTTTATTCGTGACAACTCTACGACCCTAAGTTCACAGCAAGTGTGGGCATTCAGTGTGGGCATGCCGCCGAATGAGGAAGAACGCATGAACGAAGAGCGCATGATGGATGGGAAGATCCGAAAAGTTCTACCGGCGCTGCGTGGCCACAAGCTGTTCCAGGGCCGTTTTAAAAAACAGGATCTACCGTGGATTATACGTATTATTTTCGCATGCTGCGTACCTAAAAACAAGACGAAGTGGGGCGACGCGAGGAACTGGGAAGAGATCGAGGTATGGTCGGAAAATGTTGGGAGAGAGATTACCAGTGGAAGCTCAGTGGGCATGGCTTGATACTACTGCAATGAAAGTGGGTAATCTTCTTCCTCCTCTGGCATTTCAACTGAAAGGGGTGGCGGGAGATAGGCGGCCGGGGATTGATTGGGACGACGGTTGTCTAAATGGACGATGCTTCCTTTAGATAGCACATATATCTAAACACGCTGTTGGATCATTTCTTCCTAACACTCAAGAAGAGGTTGTTAGACAATAGTAACTAATGTTAGCATCAAATACATTCGATGCGCTGTCCTAGCATGAAGTAAGATAGTTGAAAGGTGCATGCTCTGTGCGAGTATGTTGATTAAACAACAATAGCAGGGGAGTACTTGGTTCTTTACTCTTCGTATCTTCGTATACATGAAGGAAGAAATCCAGTCAACAACGTGATTCTCTTTCAACATGCCCGGGTCCTCATACGTAAGGATTTATATCTAACGCAGAGTCTTCGCTCGTTTGGTAGTACCGTCCTTCGCGCCTTCATTATCCCAATCGTCTTTTCCGTCAATGTTGCGTTCATTCTGCGGGTGTACTGGCCGAAAGAGCATTATGGAATTTGTCCAACCCTATCCGGTGCAATCACTGGCCTCGGCCATGGATTTGGCCAACTTGTGGAGGTCCAAGTTAGTGTTTGTCAACTCGGCCTGAGAAAAGCGGAGACATCGGCCGTGTGATCAATCGAGCGGCAAAATCGATTCGAGACACTGGTCGTACTGTCATGATCCTACGGGATCAAACAGATCTTTTGGAGCTATTTCGAAGCACTTTCAGTGGTGTCACACCCTGCTACGGCGCGGCCATTTTCTCTTCTTCACCGAGCGAAGGTCCGAGACGACAATGGAATTACACGACAGCGGATTTGGTCGAGAGGTGGATGTGAGGATGAACACTAACGACGTAGAACTCTACCACTTTCTGTTACAGCGCGCCATCGATGAAGCTTTTGTTAGTCTGGTACGAACACAATGCCAGCCGTAGACGGATATCCATTTACCTCGAAAACCCAGGACGAATCTACCAAGTCAATCACGCAAAATCTTGTTGAGGCGACAACGAAATTCCTTTCTGTGGTCTGGTATCTTACATACATTGGCGTAACCTCTCAGTTTGTGGGACTAATAGCAGTCGAGGGGGGAGACTGGTGTGACGGATCTCTTGGACGGTGTAATGCGAAGACCCGTGGCTGGGAATCACATGCCGCACGACTCCTTGCACCTCATTTAAGTTTCGACATGATATATTTCCCTTGCTGAATTGCCATTGCTATTATTGAAGTATTGAGTGTGTAGGAACCAATTTGTTGGCCTGATCATCGTCTTTTCGCTCTTGAGCGGACTGGCACTGGCCTCTTGGAGCCTACTTGGAGCCTACTTGGAGCTGCTTTCTTCCGCAAAGCCCATCTAAGCGGAATCGGCATCGCCATCGTGACCTTAGTTTTGGGTGTGGTGTGTCAGGTGACTTCGAGTATACGCACACAGCTGCCGTTGGCGTGCTGGGGACTTTTCCTCACGATGAATACCGTCTCTGCTCTAATCAACATTCCTCGCTCCCGGAAGCTGATAAAATTATTGGTTCTCGAGGTCTAGAGCTTTATTGAAGCTGGCAGGGCCACTTGAAGAACGATAGTACTGGCTCGGATAGGTTGCACTAACAGTGACCATCAGCTTTGTACCTCCGCTCTAACCACAAATGTTTGGGGATTCACTGCAAACACTCTTTCACTATCAGAAACTCAATCTCATTGGTTAAAGAAGTTGATTGTTTTGTAGTAGTACATGAGCTCAAACATTTATGCCACTGAAAAACACCGAAAGACGGAGCCTAGTTGCTGAACTTGTATCTCAATTTGATCCTGCTTGCATTTTTAGTCATGTGGCTCCCCTGTCGATCAGTCGCCCAAAAGATTAATATTTTTATGTTAATATCAAAGACACTCAATTGCAAACGACAAAAGTGCGTGTCCCAATCACATCGTTTGCAGTGGTTTATAGTGATTCCACGATATTGATCACTGAAGCATCTCATCCTCATCATTCCCATTCTCATCTAGTTCTCCTTTTGGGACATGATATGTCAAATCGTGGGATGCCCAATCTTGCCCACCACTTGGATGATGGCGACCATGAGACTGAGAGAACTTCGGCACATCATACATACCGTTTGGATCCACACCATTTTTGAGGATAAATTGTTCCACCTTGGCCCTTTCATGCTGGATATGCGCCACGAGCTTTTGCATGTCGACCGCAATGTGAGGATTGCATTTTGAAGCTCCGCGAACTGCAGCCTCGGCAACATGATAGCGACTGCATCCATTTCGAAGGACGGTTGCAAATGGAGTTGTGGCCGCGCCTTCGTTTTGAAACCCAGTAATGGAGATTCGTTCGGTGTTCGGTCTTCCGAAAAGTAAACCCTGCAGCTCATTGGCATAGCCATGATAATTGAAATGGATGTCTCGGTGTGGAGTAAACAATGTGTCGAAATCGCGATGGCTTAGTGCATGAGGGTGCGATTCTTCGTGCCCCAGCATCATCAGGTCCGTAATGTTAACCACGCGGACGGCCAAAGAGGGCGCAAGCTTTCGTAAGTAGGCTGCACCAGCAATAACCTCAAACATGACAGCTGCTCCCAATCCGACGAGGACGACGTCAGGATCAATGCCATCATCTGTACTGGCAAATTTCCACACGCTTCCTCCAGCTCGACAGTGAATATCTGCTTCCTCCGGGCTGAGCCATGTAGGGCCTGGATTCCCAGATGACACGATGAAATTAATGTAATTCTTCGACCTTAAGCAGTGAGCGAGGGTCGAGAGGAATGTGTTTGCGTCAGGTGGTAGATATACCCTCCCGATCCCGGATTTTAGGTTCAGCACTGAGCCGATGAAGCTCGGATTTTGATGTGACATGCCGCTGGGTTCCGGATGAGTCCAAGTGCTGGTGGAGATGTAATTTAGGCTGTTCATATCATTGCGCCACGGAGTGTCTCTTGCGGTTCTCAGAAATTTACTATACTGCATCATCATTGTCGCAATGATCGGAAGTAAGCATTCATTGGCGGCGAAGATCCCCGTACGTCCAGTCATGGTATAGCCTTGGAGTAAGCCTAAAGAGTAGTGATGAATGATAGTCACTGGCGAAAGCAACATGTCTACTCACCTTGACAGGTATGCTCAGACGTGAACTCTATGACTTGCTCTCCTTTGTTTATATTATGTTCATGCCATCGAAAGCTGCGAAATGTTCGGTCGGAGATCTTGTCAAGGTTCTTGCTTATAAGCCTATCCGGCGAAAAGATACGCAGCAAGTTCTTGTTTCGCGTTAGTGTTTCATCGAGGAAGACCGCTGCAGCTTTAAGACAGCTGTAGTAGTTCCCTTTCGCGACACCAAAGTGCCTCCACTCCGGTACATCAAGGTGGTGTCGCACGTCCCACGTCAGTCGGTTCTGTCCTAGTCGTAACTTACTGTTTGGTGGCAGGATGCGTTCGATATTATCTGAAATTCCTCCGCCCGAAAAAATATCAGCTGGCTTATAGGAGCTGAGCCAGTCTTGTAGGTGTTTTAGCTCTCGTTGGTTAGTCTTCGCGTGCGGCAAGATGACTTCATGGCCATGAAACGAACTAGTGAGGTGTTCTTTCTGGCCTAACTGAGGATAACCCCAATCTTTCGGTATTCTGAGTATAATCATCGGCCACCTCGGCTTTCCACTTCGGGCCCTGGCTTTTGCGTTAAGTTGGATTTCTCGGACAGTCTCAATTGCCCAGGACAGCGTTGTATAGAGCTCTCTGTCTATGTCATTTATGTCATCAACGATGCATGGTTTATAGCCATAACCGGTGAAGAGACAGCAAAGTTCAGCATCGTCCATGGACTCAAAAATTGTATTCCGGTCACCCTTAAAGCTGTTAAGATACAAGAGGGGTATTGAAGCACCAGATTGCTCAGGATCGATGTATTTGCACATGTGCCATGCGCTCAAACAATGTCAGTGTGATCTCGTTAACATCGGGTCCAACTTACGTTGCGGTTGGGCCTGTTTCAGCCTCACCATCTCCGATCACCACAATCGTTATCAAGTCGGGTTTGTCCAACACCGTGCCATATGCGATGGAGAGTACATGTCCAAGTTCGCCACCTTCATGAATGCAGCTAGGGACACTTGCATTTATGTGACTGGCAACACTTCAGCGAAGTTTTTTCAACAATTAATATACCGACCTGGGGAAGCCTCCTGGGACACTAAACCCAGTAATAAGGTTGTGCAACCCTTTTCTGTCTCTAGTATATTGCGGATAGAAATGTTCCAAAGACCCTTCTAACCACAGACACGACAGAATAGCTGGGACGCCATGGTTTGGACCAAATAGGCAGATCATGGGCTGATTATACTTTTCAATCACGAGGTTTATATGAGCGTAAAGTAGGCTGATGCAAGGAGAGACGCCCCAGTATCCTGGCCATTTTAGCCCACAGGTTCAATAAAGGACGGGATGTCAATTCACCAATAATGTGCTTTATATCGTCGTATGCCAGTTCGCGTTCGAGGAGAACGTTGTCTCGCAAAAATATCATTGCTAAGAGGGTATCAAAATCAGAATTTTGCGATCATTTTAGATTAGATCCAAACCAGCAGATATATAGTCGGCGGCTCGTCGAAACTCAACGAGATGCTCCGCAGTTTTAAAATGCAATGGATCGGGGTACAAAGTCTTCCCGAGCTCCAAGGCACTAATGGGCAGCTGCGACACGGGTTTTATTCGGACGACGTCGTCGGTACTCGCTGAAGCCATGGTAAAACAAGGCACAGATAAAGGGTTAGATGGAAATAATAGAATTTAGTCTACACTACATTCGAGCTTATGAGGAGTGCAGGCATATTAAATAGCTTAGTCTTAGTAGCAAGGTTGAACAGCAATTGCGGCACATTGTCCAAATTATTGTCTTTGCTTTAGTGTTATTGGACATCGTTGAGGTTCCCACAAGTAAGGCTAAATACGTGGAGATGGCGTGACTCAAGCAATCAACCTCCAAAACTTTAGGTAATCATTCATCCTCTACCAGTTGCGTCATATAGTGGCTACTATATCATGCTCTCTGGAACGAGTTAATCCACTTTGCCACACGTTGGGTGTGTCTCTATTCGTGAGGGGCAATCAAGGTTTATGCCATTTGGGAGGTGAGCAAATAGGAGACTGACGGATCCTCTGAATCCCAACTGGCTCTTAAGATCTAGAGGATCATCCCATAATCATACGATGAAGACATTGCTTCTCAGAATAGGCAGGGCCAGAAATACTCCCCACGAACTAGCCATTGTAAAACTAGGCAAATGACAACGAAGAATTCCAGAGCAGTAGAACTCATGGTTGCTGACTCATGAAAAATTATTGCGGTGTCTTATCTATCTCAGACCAGCCGCTAGCACGAAATGAGCGTACATGAGCCCGAATCTCTATAACTATAGGTCTTGGTACAAGAAATTATTTTCTACTAATTAGAGTAATCAAATCACGAAGGAAAGTTGTGAATACTTCGGGAGCTCGAAAGCATTATCTGCATTAAGCCTATCAGGTCACTCTTTTCGTACATTTTATTCCTCGCCAGCGGTATTCGAGAGTCATTTTGTACTGCTGTTAAAGGCTTGCTAAAGAATAATCTTATTTTAGGGCCCCAAGCGCTTCGAATACGGTAGTACTAAGGATTGATTCGATAAATAAGTAGCATCCTGTTACACCACGGTTCATGACTTGTATCGTTTGCCCACTAACATGTGCTCTAGTCCAGCGGTCATATCCACGATCTATTTGTCTACGCCTTTAAGCGTGACCTGGCGCTGAGAGTCTCCTTGATCCATCCCAACCCCCATGCTAGAATCTCTCCCATGCCTTTATCAGCAAGGCCTGGGTCAACTATTATCCCCTCGTCGCGTACACGCTCCTGGTCGATCTCCATACCCGCCACATTACCGTTGACAAACATCCAAGAGTGCTCGTTCTCGTAGTTAGGCCACACCACGTCCTCCACATAGCCTGGTGGATCATCCCAAAAGTCCTTGAGAGTTGCGTAGCGCATCCGTTGGGCCCGGCGTCTGACGGTCTGTTCCCGCCGGGACAGTAGGAACAACTTTAGGTCCAGCAGTGTGTTCGTCAGATTGTACAGCTTCGCGTGCATTTGGTCATTTGTGCCAGAACCCGGTTTCTTCGGGTAGAGGAGGAATCCGTCCAGAATGCACACTCGAATCTCGACACTAGAGACGTCCCCAAGGAGTGTATGAGACAACGAAGAGTAGTAAAATTCCTCCAGCCAAATTTTGAATGCCATACGGAAGTTGGCCACCGTACTAGACGACACCCCAAGATCTACGACATTATTCCGGCCTTCTTTATTCACCATGCGCGGTGGGAGCATGCCGTGCTTCTTAAAGTAGTGTAGAGCTGACCCCAGCCGATCCAGATCGAGAGACTCAATGCAGTCCCAATCTTTGAGCTCCCGTGCTCCGTGCTTGGATGACAATACTGTCACGTTAGGCACACTAGAAGCCAATATCTTTAGAAAGAGAAGGATAACAAGCAAGGATAATTATCACCAATCTCTATCGGAAATGGTGTGAAGGGATAGTGATGAAAGAAAAGAGGCATTATAGGAACTAACTCTATATTGGTCTTGTAGAAATCGTCTTCATATAGGATGAACAGCTTCACTGAACATTTGCTGCCGGAAACATCAACATCGCAGACACACTTCAAAAGCCGGGCGAGCGTTGTTTTCCCAGACGACGACGGCCCGGAAATTCCAACGATGTAGGGTATTACCGTTGCTGATGTTGGCCTGGCCATAGCTTTAGCTCTTCATAGTTTTTGCGGGCGCGAGGGAGATAATAATGAGTTATGTGAAGCAAAAAAGGGAGTGATGAGAAACGAATTAACATAAAAATTACCCAACACACCATCTTTCTCCTTAGGTCGCGCCACAGCATTATACTAGTTTGTTTTTGCTTCTGAAGCTTTATTGCCTCGATATCTGGCAGATGATGTCTTATAATGATACGATTATTATTTTTGCGTATGACGTGATGCAGAGAGCTTTAGAAGGTTTCTAAGAGTGTTTGCTGAGGTGGAAAAACTAACCCCTAGTGCGCACTCCATGCGCCCAACAGGATCATGATCCAATTGGATTTTCAAGGACACTGTGCCCGTGCACACCATGTACTCGCAGATCAGGCCACTTTGATCAACACTAGCTCTAACTAGTATTCATCACAAGTTTGTTCAAAATGAGATATGATCAGTAGGGGACAGTGAACAATGGCTGTCATAGCCACAGTCTCCAACCAATATATTACTACCATAGTCATATCGTCAACTTTTCTCAACCATCATCGATCGGCCTAATTGCTTGTTTCACACTTTGATAAACTACTGCACATTAATAAGAAACAGACCATTGCGAGTACGTGGTTTCTGCTATCCCCGACGGTCGGAATATCTCATCCAATTCTCGTCACTTTGGATAGTAATGATCAGCTAGGATCGGCGGGAAATTAACAGAGCAAAGATTACGGAATATATTGGGCTATAGTAGATATCTAAGAAGGAAAATGACGATTTGCAAAGTTAGTCCAACCTTACTAGGAAGCGCCGCCATTTCTCCTTTGCAAACTTATCACGACCGCCGAACCATGGCAAATATAGATATCTTGCTTATACTTTCTTTCGGCGAAGTGAAAAGTTGTCAGGGAGGCTGTCCACAAAAATCTGGATTGCGAAGATGTCAAGCCATAGACCTCTCATATGCTTATTATCTATCGTGGCACGTGAGAGTGTAGACTATATATTGGAGACTTCCCATCTGGCCATGACAGCCCTTCGAAGCCCTGAGTCTTCGTGCTTGGCTACCTATTGTGTCTTGGATAACGAAGGTTTACTTCTAAACGCGGAAGCAAGAGACAGGATGAACGGTTTGAGGCCATGCAAGATTCAGCAATGCCATCAAAATCACGACCTTCTCTTCACTACCTTGGGGCTATCGCCTCAGAATCTCATGTGCATGCGAGGCCATGTCCAAACCAATCTAAATCCAGTTGCCCAGAGTGTTGGGTTTGATCCCATTCTCAGTATCTGATACTGGAACATTGAGCACTCTGCTCCATGTGTTAGAGTGGAGACGATAGGTGATGCGGTCATATTCTTTAAGGGCTATGATGGTATCTGATAACATAGCAACCCCATTCGATATACATTTAGGCTCAAAGGAGTCTTAGACGTGTGTGTAGGAACGCTCACAATGGAGTGTACCTCTGAGATAATACTAGCAAAAATAGCGCACTTTTATAAAGCCTAAATGGAATTACACAGAGAGATTAGTGATTGATAGACTGAAAGAGAAGCCGGCGTGCACAACTAACGATTGCCAGGACTTCACCAACACCATTTTCGCTTGGCAAGCACTCCAAAGGATATTCCAGTATACACTTCCCTGACAGACTCTAGGAGTGAATATCTGGTTAGCACAAATAAATGTTCTTCAATACCGGCAGCATATTGTACATCGCGTCATGAAGAGTCTTTGCACAATTGGTCTTTCTATTTTCGAGGAGCGGATTCGCGCGTCCAATCCCCAAAGTGGCGCTTCTCTTAAGAAGTTAAGAAGGGTTCGTCACCTCTGCGAAGGTACAGCATGTCGGATATGAACTACGAAATAGGCAAAGCAAATGCCGAGATCTACAAAGCAATGGTAGGATTTATACGGAAAGCCATGTTCCGGGGACGGTCGGGAGGAGACTTTACTGGAAGAACTGGGAACACGTCACTGTGTCTAAATGAGATAACTAACGAGGCTGACCGGATTGTCTCCGACCTTGTCTGAGCAAACCCTAGGACATGGAAGTACAAGTCTTAAATCCGACGAAGACAGATTCTAAGCTCCAAATACTCGTAGCGTTTCCAATATTGTGCCCAGAGGCGAATAGGTCGCTTATTATTGAACATATCATGTCCTTTGATTCACAATCTTCTTCCTTCCTTCATAAACTATCCGGTTTCTCCACCATCCAGCTAATTACCTTTTTCATCCACCAGATGATCAGCGTCCCGGAGATAGGTGGGCCAAATCCCCTGTTTTCCTGGCGATAGAATTCCGTTCGGATCCAATTTTTCCTTTACCGAAAGTTAGTAAAATTTCCGTATCACTGGGGTTCGCCGTTGTAATGACAACCTTGATATTTTCTACTAGCCTTCTGTAAGCATGGTCGTTGAAGCTGTACACGTGCTGTACCCGATCTAATAGTATGTTAGTAGGATGTAACACAGTCCTTGTCTTCTACGGCACCTACCCATATTGTCTAGGTGAGATCGATAGCTTGTAAAATGGTAATCTTCCGCTTTCTTAGCTAATGCTTGCCATAATTTAGGGACTTTTTCAAGATGAGTTGGGTTTTCGGCATCGTAGAGAATCATTCCAATGAGGAGGGAGTGTTTCTTGAAAAACCGACCTCCAAGGATCGGATTGAATCCATGCTCGCGAACGATCTTACGACAGTCGGTCAACCACTTCAGGGTTAAAGTCCCGTCATGCGGCAGTATGGGAACAAAATCCGTATGAGCTCCACGACCCCCACCACCGTACGGCAGCGCAAAGTTGATCATGCTAGTCCTCGAGGTACCGACGACACCAACCGGCTCTCCTCTGGTAACCTTTGCAATGGCTTTCGCGTCCAGCGGACGACCGGACTCTCCTTCGAAAAACTTTTCTTCAATTCTCGCTCCAGGACAGTATTCCCTAATTACAGACTTGGTTTTGTTTAGTCTGGCATAGATCATTTCTTTTGTGCCATAAAAGTCAAACATCGAAGACCAGAACCCCAGGCCATACTTCTTTTGTAGTTGCACGATATCTGCATCCGGAATAGGCCCTTCTCCCTCGTAGAGTTCTGCGGCAGTTTTCATGGCTGACATATTCCCGACTACATCTCCGAAAAGGGGGTTGTTCTGGAGAATATCAGACCGGTGTAAAGACGAGAGAGCCTCGAGCATAGGACTCAAGTCGTCCAACGTGTCAACGTGTATAACAACAGACATGTAAGCTTCAGGCCGGGGCTGGAGCCACACTGCCAGCTTCGTTACGATGCCCAAATTACTTTGAAGGAAAAGACCATCGATCTGTGGGCCAAAGCTATTTTTGCAAACGTGCGCTGTGGGTGATCCGTCAGCAGCCCACTGTCCGGTTCGAACAATATCTCCGTTGGCAAGCACAACTTCCATTCCGCAAATCGAATGGTGATGATCACCGAGGATGTTGTACCCAAATCCACGGTCCAGAGTCTGAAATACCATATCAGTACGGTATCCTCTCATTGAGGCAGGGCACGTCTTCCAAAAATTGAAGTATTGCAAAGAGCATATCTGAACATACATTTCCTACCACACTTCCCCACCCAATCGAGGGGACACTTGGCCATACAGATGGTTTGTGATCAAGGCAGTATGCTGAGAGGTCCGAGAAGGTTACCCCTGGCTCCACGACAGCAAAAGCGGCTTTTTCGTCGACTTCCAAAATTGCTGACATGCGATGCAAAGATAGAACGATGGATCCTCTCACACGAGGCGCAGGCCCACCATAGCCCAAATTCTTCCCTCTTGAACATGTCCATAGCGGAATTTTGACTCTATTCATAACTTTGAGTACTCTTTGAATTTCGCTGACAGTGGCCGGGCTTTCGGACGTGTCAGATAGACTACCGTCCGTACGTGATGGGCTACACTCACCAAACCGCTGCAGAAGGCACATAGTCTTGATGGACACCAAAAGGATCAACGAAATTGATTAGATCTGCCCCGGACGCAACATTGCTATCACCCACAATCGAGGACAATTCATTGAGTAGAGCATCGAAATCTCCCTGGCTTGTCTTCGGCGGCAAGACAGTGGGGGGAGCTGCTTGCCCGAAGACGAAAAAGGATTCATGTGCATCCTGTAACTCAGTTTGCGTATAGAGCTGCATGCTAACGTGCTCGCTGTGGCTGGGAAGGTCAACAAACCTGATGATATTGCGTCAAACTGTGATCCCAGCACTTTGCGAACCGTAGATTTTTCGGGTTTAAACGATTAATGTAGTATTCCAGCCGTGAGCTTTCACACATCGAGAGCCATCAAGCAGTTGGAGAAAGCCTCCCCGTGTTATAACTTACAGGCAGCTTTCCTCACCGCTGATCTTTTCGGGGACGAGCAACTCTAACTAAACCAGCTGGTATTTGGGGTCCCCCATAGACGGCCAAAAAGGGGCCACGACGCCTTACCCCACTTGCCCACTTTGGCAGAAGCCTAGATATCTAGAACTCTTATTCTGACTAGGAACGCGTCGCCTTCCTGCATTTGACGAGCCTCATTTCGTAAGAGATGGAGACAGAAGGTCAAGCGCAGAAAGATCGATCAACAAACAGACCCAAGCAGGCATCTGTATCGAGCCTATCTTCTCAAGGACGGAAAAGCGCAGATTCTGCAACCGGCGCGTGGTCCAGGTATTCCTAGTTCTCAACGTTAATAAGACTTCTAGTTGTGTTGATAAGAGGGACGCCAGTAGTATTGACGACTAAGCGGACTAACTAGGTGGTTATCTCTAGTAGTCCCCCCCTGAATCCGGGCTCCGGATTTTCCCAGAGTGGCAACTAGTAGCTGCGACGTTACAGCTGAGACATCACAGATTCAAAGGCTGCTTGCAAATCCCTCTCCGCGCCTCTGGTGGCACCAAGCAATGGGTCAAAGGTCTGCTCATCCGGTAGTCCGTTCCTCCTTCGTCGTCCGTAGTTTCTGTATATACTTAGGACAAGTGTCGTCCGATTCCCTGCGCTTTTCATTGCACGTAATTGGTGGTCAGTTTCGCAGGAGGAACACTTGATCGTTTTAAATTTGTTCCAGCCCAATGCCAGCCATGCGACGCCTTGGGTGTAGATCTTCCATGTTTCGCCAATGACTTTCGAAGCCCTATCCACATGTGGACACAACTCCAAGAGGAAGGATCGCCCCATCACTGCCCTTTCTTGCCCCGACTCCATCTCCGCCTCCATTTGACTAAGCAGTATAAGTTGGCCATCTGCTACACGTGCCTCATGCTCTCGATAGATGCCGTATTTATCACGGCCGCTCATGTGCAAAAAGGATAAAGGTAAGCCATAAGCGGGTCCATACTCGCAGGCTCGTAAGATCAGGTCGATCATCTCGGACGTTATCCAAAGAGTATGACGGTTTCTCGATACCGCTTGCAGAGACTGCGGATGTTTTTGCGGAAATGATGAGTCTTGACTATTCGCGCTCACGAAGACATGCTTGTGGCACGGACACCTATAGCCAGACTGCTCATTCCTCTGCCAGTGATACAGAAGGCTGCAATGGCAGCATGTTAGCCATTCCGGATAATCGGGTTCCAAAAGCCGTGCAAACCGGACCATGACTGCCATATTGCTACAAGAGGCCGTCTTGTGTCGGTAGTGGCCAAGGAGAGCACGAAGTCGTTGGCACGAAAGCCTCATCACGAGCTGAAACTCCGGGGCCAGGTAGCTCACAACTTTGAATAGTAGTTCATTGGGAAGAGCGAGAAGTGAAGCGCGGTCAAGATGATCATGTTGCCCTGTGGTGCCAGCTGCGTTGGTTGTGCTCTTTGGTGTATCCTCCATTAGTCCTTGGGTCTTGGACGACTCTTCTTCTGTAGAGAGGCAAGAAGTTGGCGCAACGGAGACGATCTGCTTCGGGCGAGTGAGTCACGACTTGGTCATTCATATCCCGAAATATCTCAGGAAATAGGCAAGTAAGTTGGTGGTGTCGGGTAGATAGTCGATTAACGTGTCCATGGGTGTGAGCGGAAGAGCGGGTGTCTCTTCAAAGGCTCTTGTGAATGTGATTCAACAGGAGAATGTCTGGGTAATCTAGCTGTAGAGCTGTGGTTGGTATATCTTGGCACGACCATCGATAGGGTGACACCTGGTGAGGTATTAGTAAGGCACAGGTACCTCCGTACTTGCTTACTTGAATGAGCAGCACGTGACATTAGAATCACGTGGACTAATTCTTTTCACATGACACCTCATAGCGTGCGAAGGCACGCTTCTTTAGTCGTTGGAAGGATAGTCCTTCTTACTTGACCAGCAAGACTCGGCGTCTTATCCATACCCTCAGCCTCCTAGATGCCACTGTAAGTCATGGAGTCGGATCCCACAATTATCCAATCACCGGCCCTTCTTCATGCCAAAAGGCTCTAGAACTTGTCCAAGATGCCGTCTTGCCACCAACCCTATCCCCGCATGGCACGGTGGGTGTATGCGGAGTTGACCTCCAGAACCGAGGCCAACCTCGCTGGAGAGGACTTTCGCGTCATACTCGCCGTGATTTCGCTGCCTCGGCCGTTATCCGTTTTGGAGTTTGTGCTCGTGGTCTGAGTTGTATTGGTGGATTGATCTGGAGGAAAGTACGGATACGACTCATGGGAATCAGATTCCGATTTCTACAAGCAAACTCCTCCAAGGCCTAGCGACTACATACCAAGGTACTAATATTGCCGCTGCAAGCCACCTGAAAGAAGAAATTCGCAATTCGCAATTCAAACTTTCTTGTCGAATATTCGGAAGCCATACAGCAATTGGTCAAGTTAATATTATCTGCACTTGAATAGAGTCATGTCGCCATCCAAAGACGGTGAGGGATTCTCTTCTCAGACCGATGGGAAAGTATACAACGAACTCGGCTGGCTCGTACAAAACGCACGCGGTTACCGGATAAACGAAGACCCATACGATACCCGTCGAAAACTGCGAGTGATTCATATCGGTGCTGGTGCATCTGGCATTGTCTTTTCCAAGTTCGCCGAAGACAGGTTGCAGAATGTCGAAGTCCAAGTATATGAAAAAAACACCGATATTGGAGGGACGTGGCTTGAGAACAGGTACGTCCCGCTTGCGCAAACGATAAGTTGATTGTCATTGACAATTTTGATCCATTGAAGATATCCTGGTTGCGCTTGCGACATTCCGTCCGCGTCATATCAATTCACCTGGGCTCGTAACCCGAATTGGTCGCAGTATTACTCGGAATCACCAGAGATATGGCAGTATTTCAAGGATGTGGTCGACAAACACGGCTTGATGAAGTACATCAAGCTAGAACACAAGATCGTCAGCGCTACGTGGAACGGAGAGCAGGGAGTGTGGGAAGTGCGCGTCCAGCGGGCTGATGGGTCTGAATTCACCGACACATGCCACGTCTTGATCAATGGTGGAGGTGTTCTGAAGTATGTTTCTGCTGAAACTTCACTCCAGGAATCTGCGAGCTAATACCTTTACCAGTAATTGGAAGTGGCCAGAGATTGAAGGCCTTCATTCTTTCAAAGGAAAACTTGTTCATAGCGCCAATTACGACACGACGATTAACTTGAACGCAAAGAGAGTCGCAGTCATCGGTATCGGTAGCAGCGGAATCCAGATCACCTCCAAAATTGCTTCGCAAGTGAAGCAGCTGTACACGTGGGTCAAGTCGCCTACGTGGATCACGGCAGGATTTGCTCAGAAATTTGCCGGCCCAAACGGCGGCAATTTTCACTGTATGTTCTGGTCGCGCAAACAATCGGCCGTTGGGTTAGAAAGCGTATACTGATCAGTCTCCTATATCAGATACTGACGAGCAGAAGAAGCGATTCGCGGATAATCCAGACCTGTTTTTGAGATACTCGAAAATGATCGAGTCCGAGCTTAATGTTCGATTCAAATTTATTTTGAACGGGACGCCAGAAGCGGAAGGTGCCAGGGAAGTAAGTTGTCAGCATAATGCGGTTCGAATCAGGAAATCCAACCATCTAACCTTGAGTGGTGCAGTTTGCGAGAAATGAAATGACACAGAAACTGGGTCCGAGTGACCCCGAACTATTAGATGCCATCATACCAAAGAATTTTGGTGTTGGTTGTAGGAGACCGACGGTAAGTGCCATTTATTATCAATTGTCAATGGGTCACCCCCGACTAATAAGCATTCTGTGATCAGCCCGGCAATGGCTTCCTAGAAGCTCTCTCTCAGGACAACGTCAAAGTCTTCACTAAGCAGATGAGGCAGATTACACCTGCCGGCTTCATTGACAGTGAGGGCAACGAGCATGAGGTCGATATCATTATTTGTGCCACAGGTTTCAACACAAGCTGGATCCCTCGATTTCCCGTCGAAGCGAACGGTTACTCCATTTCAAAGATGTGGGCGAAGGAAGCAACATCGTACATTTCGATTGGAGTTCCTCACAGTAAGAAATACCTGTCCCAGGATTTTGACAGGCCGGCACTGATTGACGATGTTCTAGTGCCCAATTACTTCATGATGGCTGGTCCATACGGGCCCTTGGGCCACGGCTCGTTCCTCCCTATCCTCGAAACACTAGCGGGTAACATTATTCAATGCATCGAGAAGTTGCAGAAAGACCGCATCAAGAGCTTGACACCTAAGGCAGCTGTGGCCGAGCAACTACGGGAACATGCACAGCTTTTCTTACAACGGACGGCATGGACGTCAGGCTGCAGTAGCTGGTTCAAACAAGGACGAGTTGACGGGCCGTTGCCTATGTTCCCTGGGTCCCGGCTAATTTACATGGATTTGCTGAAGAACCCGAGGTTCGAGGACTATGAGATTGAATATTGCAATTCGCATAACATGTTTGACTTCTTGGGCAACGGATTCGCAGTGAGAGAGTTTGACGGCCGTGATCTGTCTTATTACTTGGGTTTACTTGACGATGAGGATCGTCAAATTGATTTGGAGGCGAACTTGCATGAAGAACTTTCTGACTTGGTGCACTAGAAAGTAGAATTTTAGTTGAACAGGATACATTCATGCACTATCTTTACTCGAGGGTGACCTGTCTCCCGCTAACTATGCCATTCACTTTCGTTGATTCTCTCGTAGTGTGGGAGGAAACAAGAGCAAGAACGGCTAAGCATTAAGGCCAGGATGTTAAAGGTGCAAGGCGCAAGGCGCGAGGCTGAATGGAGAGGAGCTGAGTGAGAGGAATGACATCATCGCCAATTCCCGAGGAGCTTTTTGGAATTCATTTTAGCCCAGAATCTTTTGGACCACCCTGATAATCCCTCGTTCCGCCACACTGATAAAGCACCCGCGCGGAGAGGAGATAGATCTATCTCTCTTCCTCTTGGTGATGCTGTCGCTCTGTTCCTACAAGTCATGGCCAGCATGAGTGCCCAAGCTCCAACCATGAGCAGTTTATTTCGAGGGAGCTGGATCTGTGCATCCTGCGCACGCCAGCAAGTCCGAACCCAGACTCGACAGATCTCTACCTCGAACTGGCGAAAACCATTTCAAACTGATGGACGAAGTCTTTCTGAACCCCAGTTCGCTACAAGGAGCCTGAGAAGAGACTTTCACAGCCAAACCGCGACCTTCCACGAACCGCCCTCCGACCGATCTCAAGAACAGGCGCTACCGTTAGGCGACTTTTACACCGACCTCCTTGCGACGCCGATCCCCAAGCAGTCACACTCGACCGTGCCACTCCCCACGTTCGTGCAATCAGGCGACCAGTCAAAGGAGGAGCGAGCGAGGAAACTCTTCGGCACAATGGAGCGGTACAGAAGCTCTGTCTCCTCAAACCCCGATGCAACCTGGCGGACAGTCAACGGGGTACCCGTGCCTCCGCGACCTGAAGAACCCGATAACTGCTGCATGAGCGGCTGTGTACATTGTGTTTGGGACGATTATCGGGACGATGTAGAGTCGTGGGCGAAACGATTGCACGACGCCCAAGCGAAGAAGCCTACCAAGAACACCACTGGTGATGCAGCCAAGATCGATCTTCCTAGGCCAGAACTTAGTGAAGCGTCAGGGAGTATGGACGATGACGGCGGTGGGAGTGAGTCGCTCTGGGCTACGCCCTCAACTTCGATCGAGGCTGATGGCGATGAGTTGTTTCAAGGTATTCCTGTTGGGTTCAGGGAATTTATGGCGACGGAGAAACGGATCAGAGATCGTAAGAAATCAAGGAAGGAGGAGGGGAGGTAGTTGTGGGATCGAATGGATCTAAATTCCGGATCACATCAAATTGCCTCGTGTCATTGATATGGTTAATGTCACCATGACGGTCCTAAGCTACAGCTTTTTTCAAAGCCCAGTCCTAGGAATCGTTGAACGTTGGGGACTGCTCCAAATGAAGACGGGGAGCCAGCGGAGAAGTGATCCTGGTCGGGCTCAACCTTGATAGACAGCTTTCGACCTAGCATTTCAGGAGGTGCTCCGGCAGCGTCGACAGTATCACACCTCACCAGTTCTTTGACTCTGGAAGCGACGACGGCCTCGAAGACTTCGACATTTGAACCAGAAAGGTGGCCTGTCTATTGGTTCCTCTACCGGAGCCCATCAGCAGCCAAAGCAAATATGACAAACACAAAATGTCCGTCGTTCGACAGCAATCGGTGCTTGGAAGCCTATGCGACTCCCGCAAGTGGCAAAGGCAAGTTGGTTACGATTTGACGATTCGGTCATCTGGGGGGATGGATATTCCCATTCTACTTTGAGGCAGCGAGGAGTTGTGGTAGACGTAGCATTAGACTATGAGGATTCGCCAGGTGTTAGCCATGGCTACACTGTCATGGGGTGCCATGTTCTAGATCCAATGCTTACTCGATATCAAGCTAGGATCACGACGACCCCGTATTCCCAACACGTGCTCTGCCAATGTTTTATATAATCCCCCCGCAATCTAGACCAGACTTGCTTACAATACCGTAATCCGGACTTACCATGATACGAAGATGTCTCCACTCTCTCCACCGCATCTGTCCGTCCATTTGCTTTGACGACGGCGGTCAAGGCAGTCATCCGTTGGTTTCACCACAAACCCAACAATCAGAGATTCATCCTTCTTTGGCTTGCACGGTATACAGACGCCCGGGGAATGTAACCCACCATTACGTCAACCAGTGCTTGAGCACGGAGGACTAACTTCGGCAGCTATCCAGTTGTGTGAACAGGCCATTTGATGGAGAACCGCGTGCAAAGGTATTAGGCCCCAGAATATATAAACACACCTCCCCCCCGTACCTGAAACTGCGATTCCTGAGAACATGAGGATTCCTTCCTCGACAAGAACAGTGACGAGGACGACAGCAGCAACTCTTGCATCTCTGGCGAGGGCGACACTGCCTCATCAATATCACCGAGGACAAGCGCTACTAATTGTCCACCATTCCTTGTTCTCTACTACATCGTGTCTGATCCCACGGCAGATAGGACTAGACGACCTGTCTCTGCCACCGCGCTCTCCATATCTACAGGCAGCGGCACAGGCGACATCACCTTCAGGGCATTCCGATAAGTTTCAAGTCAAATTCTCGAACATCACCACCACCATGATGACATCCTCAACCCCAAGCGCATCAGCATCCTGGGCATCGCCAGCATCACCCCGTCAACAAGGCCATCCACCCCCGCCGCCGACGCACGTCCTTGAGACGGCGATCCAAGTACGCGACATCGCTGCGTCGACCAAGTTCTACAAGCAGATCCTCGGCGTGAAGCCCAGTCTTGACACGGTAAGTAAATGAGTCTCGCAAGGAAGGAGGCGGGCATCCAGTCGTTCTTTTGAGTTTAGGTATTTCTCCACTTGTTCCTTCGCTCGAGCTCCGTTGATGCCGCGAGGGCACCATTGTTGGGTTTTGGACGTCTCTTCGAACAAACGAGATGGCGTCCAATTTTTGTTCTACCGTTGCGTCTTCGTGTATCCCCCATCATATCCACGTCCACGTCCACGTCCACGACCGCCTCCTCCTTCTCCACTTGCGTACAACTCTAGCTAAATCAAGGACAACACAGCCACGAATTTCGGTCTTCGCGCTTGGGCAGACGACCCTCCTCCTGTTCCAACTCGGCGCCACAGCCGACGATGGCATCATGCCCGATAGCCGCGGCGTTATCCCAGGCCACGGGCCCAGCGACGACGTCCTAGATATCCTGCTTCCCCACCGAGGCAGACAAACCAAAACAACCCCCGATGATGCAAGCAGTGACACGAACACAAACACTAACACTGACAACCTATATCCCTCCCCTATGCCCCAATCTTTCCTAAAACAACACTTCTGCCTCGCAGTGCCGACCGTCGCGGACGTCGCGGCTTGGGAAGACTGGTTCCGGGAATCCGGTGTGCGTGTCACGGGCACGGTCGACTGGCCCAAGGGTGGGAGGAGTGTGTATTTCGCGGATTTGGATGGCAATGTGGGCGAGGTCGGGAGTCGCGGCATTTGGGATCATTATTGATTTGAAGATGGTCGATCTGATTCGATATAACCGGGGCCAGTGCACAGTTCTTGGTCGCTGTGACCGCCGGATGGATATATATGATGAGCAGCGCGGGAGAGAAAACCTATAGGATTCCTGAACCTGGAATTGTTTTCAACAATACTCGTCACCTCCCTTCATAAGACTCCGATTGATCGATTGGTGGTTCTGTTGTTGTTCTATGCTGGTCTATTCTCGTCTCTTTACCCCCCCCCCCCCGGCCCGGGCTTCTCTCTCCACTGCCACAGCGTCATCCTAACCCGTATGGGTAACTAACTGCCAACCTCATTCAACACACCACCATCCAGCTTGACCACCTCACCATTAACGTACCCACACGAACTCAGAAACACAACCGCCATAGCCATTTCCTGATCCGTCCCGGCCCTCCCCGCGGGGACCTCATGGCCTTTGTCCTTGACCTTCTCATCCGGCATGCTCGTTTTATTACGGCTGTCGCTCTCCTTCATAGTCATCTCACTCGGAAAGTAGCCCGGGGCGATGGAGTTAACGCGGACGCGGGTCTTCGCGAACTCCTTGCTCATCATGCGGGCGAGGTGCGCGGTGGCCGCCTTGGCGGCGTTGTAGCTGAAGTGCGCTTGGCTGTGGCGCATGAGGCCCGACATGGAGGAGACGACGATGACGCTGGAGTTGTGCTCTCGGGGGGCCTTCTGCAGCAGAGGGAGGAACGCCACCGTGGAGAAGAACACGCTGGTCACGTTCGTGTTGTACGTCGCGTTCCACTCGTCGCTGCTCTCCTGCCACAGGTTTGCCTTCATTTCAGATGCGTCGCTCGTGTCCGGGTAGCCTTTGGGTCCTGACACCCCCGCGGCGGCGACCACGAGCGAGAGATACTTTTCCTTCGATTCGATGTCTTTGCAGAGTCGCTCCAGGTCGCTTTTGTTGGTGACGTCGCATGGTCCGACCGGGATGATGGGTCCGCTTTCTTGGCTGTCTTCGGACGTTGGGTCGTGTTTCTTGGCTGCTTGCTCGAGGACTTCTTGTCTCCGCCCCGTGATGTATACTTTGGCGCCTGGAGAGGTGTCAGCGAGCCATAGGTTATAAATCAGTCTGGTGTTGATGGTGTAGTACCATTCGCTGCTAATGCTTGAGTAGCCATTAGCCCGATTCCAGTCCCTAAAGGACGTTAGTAGGAATGCTTGGAATGCATTCATCTGTGGTTCAGTTTTCTCACCTCCGCCAGTTACGAGACACACATGGCCTTTCAACGAGAAGAGGTTCGACACGTGCAAGTCAGTTGTTGAAGCCATGTCGATTGGAGCAAGAATATGACCTAAATCAGGACAACAAAGTCGGGGCTACCAGACGTGATTACAAGGAACAGGTTCTCTTTGTATTGCTTAATCGACTTAGGATGTAGAGTCCAGTGTAGATTGAGGCTAAAAGTGATATCAAAGTCTTTGGTGAGTGGTAATTACATGACCAGTTATGACGTCACATGATTGGTGCCAGTCGAAAAGGAGCGAACCCGGCTTCTCCGTCCACCCACAGCCTCGTCCCAAGCTTCTTCACACAACTCTGCGCTCCAAGCTTATCGGGCGACCACAACTATGAGGAGGGCATAGCCGGGAATAGCTCTGCTGTATTGGCACTCCGATTTCGTCAGGGAGAACGATCCCGGCCCTTGTAAATGGGTACTGCTCAATTCCTGCTGGTTGAGATCGAAGATTGTCGATCCGAGTGAGTAAAGCTTGACATGATGTGCCTACCTACCCTTGACCTTTTGGGAGTCCTTCACCAAGGCAATGGCCAGTGGGGGTCTGATCACGTCGCCTGGCCAAGACCTCTGCCTTGAAAGAATGGGACGTGTCTCATCGCGTACTGTCCTTCAAACAGTTATTTCTCAAGTTGTGGAGCCCGAATTTCTAGACTTTTGGTATCACAGTTCGGGCTTGCTGGTGTAATTACCTCAGGTTGCTAAAGCCAAGGCAGCCATAGCGCGCACACCGGCTTCAGAGTTGTGGCCGCCGATAAACCCACTGGCATGGACAAATACAGCGCCATCTTGAACATCCTCACCGAGAAGAGCATCCAACTCAGCATCTCTAAGACCACGCCACGGCTCCGGGAGACCCTTACGATTCTCAAAGCTGGACAAACTCTTACTAACAGCCTGAATCCTCCATTTGGAGCCTGGATCTTCTTTCTCTGGGTAGATGACAAACAGAAGCTGTTGATCTGCCTGAAGATTTGCTTCCTCCTCGATATTGTAGAGATGTTCCTTCCAGGGTATTCCAGCTCGGGGTAAGACCAGCAGTTGACCAGACGGGTGATTGTTCAGACGGGAGTGAAACGCCTCCTTGACAGTCGTTCTCGCAGGCAACCAAGCCGTAGCAGCACCATGAAGTTTTCGAAGGAATGAGTGGCCCATAAGGGTTGAAGCTTGACCAAAACGATAATCCTCCTCCGCTTGTGGCTGATCTTCGGTGCTTCTTGATGGAATGCCTACAGCGAGGGGGTCATCATGATTCAGGTCGTTGACCAAACTGGCCAAAGTCACCCCACCGTCTTTGAAACGCTTCTCTACACCGGCCTGTTGGAGCTGGGCATCGTCATACTTGGAGATGCCATTGTCATTGGCGTCCACTGCCTCCACAAAGTCGTCGTAGAGTTTTTGGTAAAGGAGTTCGACATCTGGGTGATCCAGAGGGAGGTTGGTATGTTGTGCGATAATGGCCTTGCCAAAGTGCATATAGACAAGCCCAGCAGAGGACAGTTTGGTCTGGTGATCGGGAAAGGTGGAGTTGAAGGTCCGTTGGTGGTGATCATAACGGTTTTTGTTAGCGTCGTATTCACCTCCAACATCGACAACGGTGTGACAAGAGTCCAGTAAGGCTGGGTCACGAGTTCTGACGAGGGTGGCAGAGGCGTAGTCGGGTAGAAGTCTTAGCATGTAGACTGCTAGGGCCTCGTCAGCATGAAAGTGGCCATTATGGGTGCCGATGATGAGAGGATCGGGCTTGATCCGCTTCGCAGTTGTCTGTGCCATTCTAACAAGAGTGCGAAACATAAACTGGGAGGGGAGATGGGTTAGAAGAGAGAAGGGAGCAACAAATCCAAAAATTTGGCTGGTGAATTGGAGTAAGAAGAAAGGCGCATGGAGATGTTCGGACGAGAGCCGCAGCCAAGACCGGGGGCGGACTGGAACATTATTGATCCGGGCGCCGCTAAAGCTGGCTTCAAGTTGGCAAGAACACCCACGACTCCACGAACGACTGTTCCTTCCCTCTGACTATGATGGCACTACGCGTAGCTCGACACGTGAGGGCGGTCGTGTCTACAAAATAACTACGTATACCAGGAAAGCAAGGGTGTATGTGCAATCCTCCTCGCTGGACCCACGACCTTTGGCTCGCTGCTGCTAGCATCCGTACCGAATTGACCATACTGGATTCAGACATGGCTGATGAACAAACTGTGGCTCTAGATCGCACCTAGAGTAGAACTCTCATTCTGCATGCGAGCTGTTCAGGTCTTGCGGTGAAGAGAAGGAGGCAAATCCCAAATCCCACACGAGATACATAACTCGAATTGAGGCGTCCCTTTAAATATCCCAGTCGCATCCTGTTTCTTGCCCGTCACCAACCACCAACCTACCATTCATCCCTGCGAGTACTCCGTACTGTTCGTTTCCTTGGCAGAGATAGTCACTGGTGAACTTTTTGCCCCTTGCCCTGCCTCTCTGCCTCTCTGCCTCTCTGCCTCTGCCTGTCCCTAGTTACTGCCTGGCCTTGCTTTGCCATTGTTGCACGACACACGACACGCGACACGCTGCATCATCATAGACGCAGACACACACTACTGCTCTTCCTCCGCCTTCAAAGTCCCATCCTCTCTATTCCTTCATCCAAATTTTACCGGAACCCTCTCTTTTCCACACCTGACGGCGCCCTCCTCCGTCTTCCCCTTTCGCCCATTCCGAATGATTTGACATGTGAAAGTCCCTCCATGTCCTTTTGCCAATCTCAACCGTGCACATTCCATCCCACCAACTCCATCACATTCTAAGGTCCCATCTCGAAATTCCAAGACTGCGCTGCAAACCAATTTAGTGCCTATGAACCTATGAATGACCTGCATACGACCCTCATTCTCACAACCCTCAGCCTGCACGTCGCCTGCATATCTCTCGGGCGCTTCGGTTCACCGCTGCACCCACCGACCGAATGTTCTTCTTTCGCGCCGTCTCCTCCCTGGTGTTCCTGACCCTCATTATCTTATTGATACCCCTTACCTTCGACATCGGCGGTCGCGACGCTGGCCTGGCCTACTCGCTATCCATCGCCACCTTTTATTTCTTCCTCTCAATTCTGCGCATATCCACCCCCGATCGCTCAAACTTTAGAAGAGGCATAATCAATCTGTTGCGCGGTCTACAATGGATTCTACTTCCTAGTCTATGCATCTGGGCTCTGGGAAGGTTCTCCATTGACGCTGAAAGTAGTGGAGGCTGGGTTGAAAGAACCTTTAAGACCAAGAAAGACTTCTTCCCCGCCAACAGAAACACGCGCGATGCCATATTTGGCCCCGAAGGTCTGGTCGAGAATGCGACCATTGGAGGTTGGCATCTCCTTCTACGCTGGTCCTCTCCAATCTTCCAGCTACTAGAGGGTTTCTGCAGTCTGCTGGTGATTCAGGCTTTGGGCCAACTCTCCAGATGGCTAGTCAATCGAAGTGAATGGAGTGACGCCTGGTTACTTGTTCTCCTGGTTTCTGCCGCTGGTGTTGTATCCAGCTCGGTCTACTTTCTCTGGCGAGTTCTCCAGTTTCCAGACATTTCCAACTTGGATTCCACTCTGATCGGTATCGCAATCGCCTCTGCCATCTTCCTCTGCGCCTATGGCGTCGTCTCAGGCCGCGGAACTGCAGTCGAGTCGTCCCTTCTCTTCGCCTACATTGTTCTGTGCATCTACCAAATCTTTACCGATTACAAACCCAACGACAACTCCACCGCAGATATGGCCACATCCGCTCCTGATTTCCCTCCCTTCCCACCCATTATCATGTCCTCATACACCGCCATAATGTACGCCCTTTCCACCCTTCCAGGAGCCTTGGTCGACGCTTTTGACTTCACCGCTGCAGCATTCAAAGCTGTAACGCCGTCTGTTCTCATTTCACTTGGCTATCGTCTCTTCGTCTTCTATGCTTCTACTCGCATCATTCCCGCCATCAACGAAAGTGGCGCACGAGGCCTCAGCATGGAGCCCTCTCTAGAAGATTCCAACGCAGGCAACCAATTTCTGGCGTTTCTCTCTTGGTTCTCCCCGAGCATTCTCATCGCCGTCTACACGAGTCTTCTTATGCAACATTTCGCCACCACCATCGGAGGCTATACTCCCGGTCTGACCGAATCCATTGGGGCTTGGTGGAGTGGGAACGGCCAGCCAGGCATGAACGGCAATCTTTGGAAATGGGTCAACTTGGTCGGAACCATGGGCCTTTATGCTATCGAGCTGTGGCTGGGGAAGGAAGATGACATTGACGGGGGCCATTGGAAAGTGGATTGATATCTTCTCTCGAAATGGTAGACACAGTCTTTTCTCCTGCTTCGCCAGGTTTCCACCAGATGTGGCCTTTCGGGAATGGTTCACCATTCCTCTACTGGGCTTCCTCCCACAAATCGCGGAAGAGGTTGAAATAACGCATCGAGGTGACTGGAGAGGCTAACACTAGGATCTTGACCAGCTCAAAAGAGCGTGGGAAAGTCCATCTGTTGGCCAATTATGTGTCAAGCCGCAGGGAGAATTTGCCCACGGTGGACAGGAGGCCCTCAACGCCAAATTCGAAAAGATGGGCTGGAGTCTTATCACTCCTACAAATGGGATGCGAAAGGCACGGTTTCACCAGAGAACGGAAACTGGCGCTACTCCAGAGCACTGACGGAATTATTCACGGCATTGATCGAAAGGAGATCGTGAGACACCGGACTTTTGAGGGCATGAAGAAATGAGCGTGACTGACAGCCTCACTGTGAACTGTACACTGGTTGTATTGGCGAACCCGATATCCCGCGGAGGACGAAACACACCAGAGAAAAGCGACGCAGTGCGATTTCCTCGCCAAAGAAAAAAAAACATAACAGACTGCGAAATCGGATCAAAGGGAAAGGGAAGGGAGAGGAGGCAACTCGTGATGAGAAGGGAAACATCAACAACAATTCGAACAATGGAAGCAATTACCGAGCCCAGGCCACCGTACAAGAGCGCTGGAACTTCAGTTCGGCTAGGTCGGGCGGGGCCAATGATTCTTACAGTCGCTCTCGAGAGTGGGTTCGGGAAGGAAGAATGAAGTTTTTCGTCAACAGAGTCTAGGTTCTTCAGCAAGGAGCACTGACAGCCGTAGTCTTATGTGACGTTCGCGGGAAGCGGCTGTTAGAGGGGAAAGTGGTGGTTAGAACAAGGCTGTCATCATCATTGAAAGATTGGGAACCCGATGCGTGATAGTAGTACTCTAGGTAGCACATAGTCAGAAAGAAACCCCCTCCCCCAATCCTATCCCGTCCCATCCCACGTCTCCATGTGTGCATCCTTCCTTGCTCGACTTCTGGTCATTCTGTCATCTTTCCCCTTCCCCACTTTGGGGCTTGGTTTTCGACTTTAAATAGCCAATTGCAGGCCGGTGAGCAGCATCCTTGGAACTCCAGGTGCTTTTGATATCAGTCACAGCTTCGCATGTCCATTAGTGATCTGCATCAGAAGACGTTTTTTTTGAAGTTGTTTCTTATTTAAACATTTGCTTCGAAGCAACCGGGTATCGCTCATCGAAGAGCACACATCCTGATCTCATGGGTCGCTCCAGATCATAGTCGACCGAGTTCGGAAAGGGCAACTGACATCAATAAATCAAGCCGAAAATCGTAGACCGACTCCTGCATGATCAATGTACACACTCGCAGTCTTCTGAACAGGTAATTCAGTGTCTGAATGAGCTGCTCCGGTCATCATCTTCGAATAGGTATTCCTGCTTGGGTGGCTGGTGGACTGACACTTCCCTCCAGGCTAGCATGTCCATCATTGGAGACTTCACCGTGGCCATCTCGTTCATGCATGCTTGCACTTCTTGCTAGAAAGCTGCTTTCCTTGATTGGGCTTCGGCTTGTGGCTCCTGACCACCCACCACCTGGGATGCCGTTGATGCTTCCACGATGGAGACCCGCTGTTGACTGAGCCTCTGGGGAAGTTCCAAGACTAGGATTGGATCCAGGCAGACCGACGTTCGACTCGGTTCGCGAGATTTGGTGCATAAGAGGGCTCATGTGGGGGATTTCTTCAGCCTTGGGATGTTCGGTGCCGATGGCAGTGACACCTGTATCGGAGGCTTTGCCGGCTTTGGAAAGGGCATAATCGCCCGAATCGAAGTATTTACGCTCCTATAATACATGTCAGAATGACAGATAGATCAAGTTAGGGTCGTATTACCTTCAGCTTGTTCTGCAATAGATCTTTCTTGTTGGGCAGCTTTCCATATAGTCGAAAGAGACGCTGCTCGTCTGCAGACATTTTCTAGATGAGATCAGTCCCATGGTGCCAGTCCGTGTGGATAGTAGACGAGACATACGCTGACATCAATCTTGTTCTTCTGATGTGGATTCATCTTTGAGGATTCTGTTCTTCTTCACGCTAGACTCTTCTCTGGATGAGGGGAACCGCGACCAGGGAAACCCCCTGCCGATCGCTGGCTCAGGAAAGGCCGGAGGATGCAAACACACAGAGGTATCCCGTTCGTATAATACAGCCGAGGCAGCGTCGAGTAAGCAGGACTTTGAGGATTGCAGGACAACCAAGGAGGTGTATGATCGTGTGGACGGAAGAGGGATGTTGGTTGTTAGAGGAGGAGGGGTGGTAGTGATGGTCGAACAATGGCCCGAGCGCTTGTTTATCCTCAAGGATAGAAAAAAGTTCTCGAGTTGGTCTGTAGGAAAGAGTTTCCGGGTCGTGATTACCGTAGAAGATGAAGGAAGACGGATTGGACAGGATGGGCTTGGTTTTAATTCGGGTCTGTTTGTAGTACTCCGTATGGATGGATTAGTGCCAGGTGAGGAAGACAAGGGAAGGGCGCTGCCAGTGTTCGAAGATCGAAAGTGGGGTTCGTTGGATTGGAAGGGGAATCATTCCTGGGGAAAGAATAGGGAAAGGCGCCGTTTAGTTCACCAGTTGTCTGCGCCGACGAAAGCTCGGGGAGCTGGGATGCAGGGAGAGTTTGTGATGTCCAACAGGGTTGAGGGATGATGGGTGGAAGGAGGTCGAAGGCCGTGAGACGATCGGGTCTGAGAGTCAGGACTCAGTACTACTGCCCGCTGCGGATTCAAGCTGATTGACTGGCGGAAGGCGGATGAGGAAGATGGCACTTGGGAAGGGACGAGGGGGGCCATTCAGCTAGTTACAGGACTAGTCCTGATGCGGATGAAATTTCAGTCACGTGAGATGTTCGTCATAACTCGGCTAAATATGCTGGTCTCCGCTTACGGTTTCCCCCTCAACAACCTCAGCCAAATCCTGGTTATTTTTTCCCAAGCCTTGGATACCCTCGTAGGCAACAGGCAGCAGGATCAATCACCACAGGGACGGTAGGTAGCCATGGCCAATGCAGGGTACATCTTTGTGGTCGAGCACCTCGACCTGGAACTGGGTCCCTGGTCCGCCTTGGAATATAGGACCATTGCCCAGGAGTCCAAAGATGCTGGATGCAGGTTTATCCTGTCGTCCGTCCCCGACTCCCTATTGAGATCGAAAGATATACAAGCTCTGCGTGATGCTGGAGCAGAAGGCAGGAACGATAGTGTCGAGACGTACTTTGCCGACCGCAAGGACCGGATTTGCCTCCTAGACCCAGCCGCCAAACAGGAACTCACCCCATCTGATGCCAATCACTTTGATGTCTTCCTATTCGGCGGTATCTTAGGTAAGGCGGAGCCATCCAGTTGGCAAGAATCTTGTTTCAAAATTTCATGTTTTGGGTTTGACCATTGGCCATCAGGTGACGACCCTCCAAGGGACCGCACAAGCGAGTTGAGGAAGAAAGGCTTCACTGGACGACGACTGGGTCCCAAGCAGATGACCACTGATACCGCTGTCCGGGTGACGCGGATGGTTGTGCTCGATAAAGGTTGGTGCCCCTGTCACCTCCTATGACCGGGTTCTCTTTTTGCTGAAGACCAGATGTCAGTCCCACTCGATAAGATTCCATACGTCGACTATCCAGAATTGAAACTGAATGAACATGAGACGACGGAAATGCCGTTTCGCTATGTGACGAACAATACTGGGAAGCCGATAATGCCTGAGGTTGGTGCCGCACCACTTCTGTGAGAAGGATCTATATGCACAGTTCACTAATTCTCCAACAAGGGTATGATTGATTTGATCAGGTCCGATGCTGATAAAGCTTTCGAGGACCTCGAGTTCGTGGATGAAGTCAATGGCATAGAAAACCTGACAATTAACAAAACCTGACCTCAGCCAATAATGCAACTAACATATCACCAAGAACAGCAAGGCTCTGTGCTAACCGCAGCGAATATCCTGCAAGTCCGCCTCAGAGACCAGACAAAGGAAAAGGGCCAAAATAAAGGAAGGCTCATTAGTTGCTACAAAAGCTGAAAGGCATGATCAGCAGCTAAATCAGGCGTAGCCACCAAGCTTTCCCAACAGCACTCGAATTAATGTCCACCTATGTCGGCGCGCCTGTCTGACCCGCGCCCGGCTATGTCAGGCAAGCCCCCTTCACCTTCCAAAGCTTGGACTTGAGTGGGAACGCTGCAGAATCCGGCATCGCTTGCTGGCCATTCCGTTATGCTGGAAGCACAGCGACTGGAGTGAGTATTACGGGGATCAAGCCTGGCTCCAGAGTCGCCCGATGGTATGCTACGAAGGATTGCGGGGTAAAAAAGACTTATAATGGATTAGATTGGAATGAATCGGTCTTATGTCTAGCATTGGGAGATGCTGTGATTAGATCATTTGGAAGCTTTGTCAAGTCCACGTACAACCTTTTCGTTCGTCGGCTCATAAATCATCATAGACCTCTGATCCAGCTTTTCTCGAGAGTTATCGTCCAAAATTGACTCCATCTCCCAAAATGACTCGAACTTTGAAATCCATTCCACCCCCATATCATTAGCCGGCAGACGCCTGAAGCGAACGTCTATTTCAATTTGGATTATCCAATTTCACCCCACTAAGGGTATTCGCCCATCATTCGAGTTCAAAGGCGCGCCTCAGTGCAACATCATACGCCTCAGGAACATAGGCATACTCCTTGGCGAGGGCATCAGCGATGTCGGAAAAGGCCTCTAAGCCCAGCCTCCTCGCAAAGAGCCAAACATAATCGAGAACCAACGAACGTCAAACTCTTCGGGATCGAGCCTGGCCCACCACGCGGGCATGGAGTTTGCCGTGCGTTTCCAGAGCCCGTATTCGTGCTCGACGTGCACGCCGACAGCGCACACCCACAGTAAGTCCCGAACACCGCGGGCATGAATGTCGACGGTCTCGAGCTCGAACCCGAGCTTGCGCACGCATCGCAGCAGCATCAGGTGGTGGATCTGGCCGCTCGGGACCCAGTGCTGTCACTTGACCATCGGGGTCTCAAGCCCGTAGCTGAGAAAAATCTGCAGCGCCAGACATAGACACATGTCTATGTTGGCGAAGCGGACAGGGACCGGAATCGACATCGTACTCTGGTGCGGTACCACAGCTTCGCACGCTTCTGTGGTATCCGCCCAGTAGTTCCCAACACAGCTCCGGATCGCCATCCGCCAGGAATGCGCCCATTGCATAGCAGCAAGGAAATCGTCTTCGCGTATTGTTTTGCTGGAGGACTTGTGGAATTCCTTCACGGCCACTACCTCGCGAAGGTTGGCGAAGAAATCTGGGATAGGACTGTCGCTTCGGTTCGATGACGTGTTTGAGTTCTCGAGTAGCCTCGAAGGCGAATGGTGCTCCTCGAGGGAGTTGTTCTGCATGAACCATGGACCAGGATCCCAGTAAGATGGATCAACATCCGTCCTTGTTCCTATGTTGGCGGCAACTCGGACTATCAAAAAGCTAATCGGGCTTCTCAACATCCAAGGAATATTCTGACATTCGCCTATCAGGCCAATGATCACGGCAAGGGCCCTTCTGTGTCGTCCAGCCGCATCCCGATTGCCTATATTTCCGCTGAAGTTAGCGTCTGCACTGTCTGGAGTGCACAGATCAGATTTAGTAGGTCGCTCTCGCGGTTCAAAGATGCAACTATCGGGCGAAGAGCACGCACAGATCTTAAGACATGCTGAGACACCTTGTAGTGGCATTCATCCTTTTCGTGGGGGGGTAGCATTGACATGACAGACCAGCTGTAGGCTAGCATTGAATGCTGCATTGATGGGTGCGAGACGAAAGCCTTGTAGATGCCCTTATGTGCGGATGACACAGGTCTTGGTCCTCGAATTCTCCATTGCAACGGGCCATACTGTCAGCAAGGTGAAAGGACGGATATATACGAGAACACCATAAGTCCATGAAGTTACTGGAACTGGAATACCATCGAAAGGGTCTGCATTTCCTGCTAGATAGAAGGAGAGGCGGCGGCGCTCCTCAATTGAGTGTCCATAGGGCGCCAGAAAATGTCAGTCAGGTGCCGCCCAGCGAACCTGTCACCTCAGCTATTGTCCTATTATACTCCGCAACGTCGTTCTTTTTACCGTTATTGAACCGAGTTAGAGCCGAGTGTCTGGTTAGTGTCACGCAATAACTATCGAATGGGTCGATGTGAATATTCACGGTACGAGATAGCCTCATCAGTACCGAGTACATTTCTTCTACGGCTGCGCATACGGCATTTCTTGACTCATTAGGCCAATGCGGGGTTGCCATCCTATCGCTATGCTTGGCCGAAATGCCTCGTTGCGAACTTTTTTGGCGCGAACCACTCATTTTATGAACAAAAGTGACTTTGTCTGAAGGCCCATGAATCATCTTGCATTTAGCACCTCTGCTCGTCGCTTGGTATTACTCTTGGCTCGGAACAGGTCCTACCGTCATCATGGTCGAAAAAGTATACGTGACCTACAATGAGGTAAGTCGCAGGTTTCTCCACCTTTGCGATTTCTTTGCATGACTCTCGTCGAATACTAATACTTGCCGCGGGACAGATTCATAAATTATGCCAGACCTCGGCCCCTAGAATACTTCAAGACTTCCAGCCAAACTTGATGATCGCAATTGGTGGAGGCGGATATGTCCCTGCGCGAATCCTGAGGTAGGACCCTACAGACGAGTAGAGGACTCGAGCCTTGTTGCGTCTCGAGTAGGCTGAGCAGATAATGTACACAGATCATTTCTCAAGCAACCAGGCGCCCCCAACATCCCTATTCAGGCCATTGGTCTCTCCCTCTACGAGCAACTCTCTGGCTCAGATCCGGTTGAAGCACCAGGTACAAAGGTCACCAGGACACAATGGCTCGATCTTTCTTCACTCGAAATGTCGAATCTGATTGGCAAGAACGTTCTCATTGTTGATGAGGTGGATGACACTCGTACAACTCTCGAGTATGCCGTCAAGGAATTGGAAAAGGATGTTGAAATAGCCAGACAACAACAGGGCAGGCAAGAAAAGACGAAATTCTCCATATTCGTTTTGCACAACAAAGACAAGGAAAAGAAAGGACGGCTGCCAGTTGACATGGTCAATGAGAATCGATATTTGGCGGCAGTCACTGTGCCTGATGTCTGGATCTGCTATCCTTGGGAGGCCACAGATATTGATGAGCATGACCAGCTTGCGGCCCAGCACAGCGCCGTATAGTCCTCTTTTTATCGTCACGGACTTTGTCCGTCCAAGGTTTGGTTAGAATAGAACAAGCGAGATTTGGACGGATTCGATAGACCTTACGTCCATATACATCCAAAACGGCTGGTCCCTGGGGAGTAGGGGACCATAAACTAGCACAGCTCCTTTTCTTTCAGGTCCAGTCCTGGCTCAGTCCCAGCGCACCTTTCTCTTGTCCAAATCCTTTCGTGCCTGTTCCAACTGTACAGTGATTTCCGTGTATGCCTCCTTGGTATCATTGAACTGTAGGACGCCGAGGCCAAGTCGTCCCAAAAGGTATGCTCCCAAAGCGATCAGCGCCCAAAATGGGAGCACGGGGATGATCTCAACTTGTATCTTGGTCGGAAGAATAGAAGGAATTGGTGAAGAATCTGTCAAGAGAGGAAGAACAAGCAAGAGGTAGGCCTATCATTCAGAGGTTAGCTTCAGGATAGCAGAATTATTCCAAGGTAGTTGGCCTATTCCATACCGAGGTGACCAACAATGCAAAGGAAATGGTTTGAGCCGCGCGCGTCATGTTTGTAGGCTAATCTCGTCAATAGAACTGATGCTGGTGATATAAGGCAATTTGGCGATGAATGCTTGGGTCTGTGGGCTTTCGGCGCGTTAGGTGGTAGACGGCTGGACAATACAAACCATATTCGACACCATCATGTTCAAAAGGACAGCCAGGAGATATTCCAAATGCGCTTCGAGAATAAATACTCCTCTTGAATCTTGGCATGGCGTACGGTGGACTGAAGCCTGGGAATCTCACTCAGCCTTGTCATCAAGACATCAGACGGAGTGTGGGGTTCCTCCCTCGCATTCAGTTTCACAGAACCCTTTATTCCTAGATCCAACAATGTCTTCAGTGTCCTTCTCTAGTGTTGCCTGGCAGGCACCGGAGCTCGTTGCTGATGTCTAATGATCCATGACGAGGCGTTTCCAATTGAAAAGTTGCACTTGGCCCAGGCATCCACCATTAACAATCTGCATAAAGTGGCATCTGCTGCAACCACGGCTGCCAAATTTTATGAGACACATCTGAACCACCATACTCTCATTTCGCCCTGCCCAGGCTTTTCCGAGGGAGAAAACATGGCTTCACTCACACCCAATCAGGCATGTATGAAGCTGGCTAATGAACTGATTGTGTACCCTCCTTCCCCAAAGGATTGGGATTTACGTGGCGCATATGACGATTTGCTCTCGAAGATTCAGGCTGCTAGCAGGAGTCCCAACAGTCCATCCAGCGGTATAACTGCTGCAACGAAGGCTTTGACAACCTATTTTGCACGTGTAGTGCACCGTCAATCGAGCCATGGCTCCAAAATTTGCACGCTTCTCGCAAACACCACTCGCGAAGTACCCTTTTGGAGACCGCTTTTTGGGCTCCAGTTCCGCCCAGATGTGGAGCAAAACAGACTACAGATTGCGGGTGACGCTCATCCTCGACTCGAGTCCGAAAGCCCTGACTGTGTACTTGAGGTCGCTAGACGAGTCTTGACAAATCCTTGGAATGAGCCGTCAAGCCAGCTATTTCGATCTGCACTTCGATTGATCGCGAATTGTTGCGCAGACAACAATTTGAACCGCAGCGTCATCGTTCGTCGTGGCGGAGTGGAATTGATGATGCACCTTGCGAGATGGGCAAGAGAGTGCGATCTCTTACTTCCCACTCTGTTCAACGTCTGCCTCGACTTCGACGAACCTGCTGTTGACGACCACGGAGAGCCCTGGAAACCGTTGGACCAGATGAGAGCAGAGCCAGATTCCGAACCTGATCCTATCGTCAACGCAGCCGAGCAGAGACTGGGTATGTGTTGGCCGCCCAGTGAGAGAACGAGCTCGGTTGAGACCCTTCTCGACCTTTCTGACCATGCAGACGGCTGCTTTTCCACCCTTGCAGATCTGATTGAAATGGCTAGCCGTGTATCCCTTTACGGAATTCAGAATCTTGTTGGCTTACTAGATGGGACTGAAACCGACGACAATGTCGAAGCCAGCACCATCGGTCTCATCGACGCTCTGCTTACCCAAGGAAGCAAACTTACGCAAAAGGACCCAGAATGTTGTGCGCCGATCTGCCAGGCGGTAATGAATGTATTCTCGCAAAGGCCCACCCGCAAAGGCCTCATCAACGTCAAAAATGCACTCTGGCAATTCATCCACTTACCCTACCTCCCTGCCGGCCCCGACGAAGAAATTACCGAGAGCTTGCATCCCTACAAAAACGTGATTCTAAAGCTTGTTTATGAAGTCTCTTCATTAGAAGCATACGGGAACAAATTTAACGCCGACACGAAATTAATTCAGGATTGCTGTGCCCTCCTCTCAAAAGGGGTCCCGAAACCCGGACATTCTCCAAGTCGTCGGCCTGTCTTGCAAGCATCTGACCAGACCAAGAGTCTAAAGGCACACCCATACCCATCGGCACTTGTCCTGCTGTCGAATTCAATTATATCCACAGATCGAGCTGCGCGCGTACTAAAAACCCATCCCCGCTTAGCATCTCACTTAGCGAGGCTCATTGCGACGGTGCCTGTTTCTGAACATGAAATATTACATCCAGCGATTGATCTTGCGACCAGACTTGCCTTATGTCGTGAGGGCCAAGAGCAACTATATGACGCAGGTATATTGTGTGCAGTGGACAAACTCCTCCAACCAACCAGCGAGGCCAACGCAGCCGGCATTGAGGTTCAGCGTGAAACGATTAGTCTGATTAGGCTGGTGATCAAGGGATACGCCGAGTTCCTCCAGGGTTTGACAGCAATCGACAGCCTCGAGTCATACATCGAGCCAGACTCAAATATCAACGACGACGACGACGACGACGACGACGACGACGAGGCAAACCCCGTACAAAATGTGGGACAGGTCCGCCCAATGACGAGGATTTTCCACCTCTTCTACCGCACAACAGATGCAGCCACGAAGATGGCAATCGGCCGCCTCGTCATCGAGATCCTGCGGACTGCTGCAGCGTCCACGACCCCGGGAGACAGCACAAGTGCGCAGCAGCAGCCCTCTTCTGCGGCGAATGCCGACGACACAAGGGCTCGAGGACAGTCGGCTCTCGAGTCGCGCCTTAAGGTGATCTTGGAGCACTTCTCCTCCCCGTTATCACCACCACGGCAACCGCAGCCGCAACCAGAGAAGTCCACCTCCACCTCTAAGCTCTCCCCAAACCCCGCCCTCCCCATCGCACACATCATAACCCAGACGGCAAGCCAGACTCAAACCCAGCCCGGAGCGGCCGCACAAGAAGCAGAAGCATGGTTCGGACTGGGCCTCCTATCGTCATTTCCAACCTTCCACGGCTGCATCCTACGCGCTCTGGCAGCGGACAACCAGCGGCTCCTGACGCGCCTGAAGGACATTGTAGCGGAGCACGGCGTGGGTACTGCCGCATTGTCGGTATCTAATCTGTTGATCACTGATCCCGAACCCGAACCCGAATCAGAGAACTCGGTTGGCGTCAGCTCAGGGCCGGCCCCGCATCGGCAGCAGCAGCAACAGCAGGACGCACGGTACGCGAATGTGAAGGTGCTGGTCGTCAGGATGATTCAGTCACAGCCACAGCCACAGCCACAGCCACAGCCACAGCCACAGCCACAGCCAGAGCCAGAGCCACTGGGATCCATACCCACACCTCAGCAACTAGCACGGAACGCCAGTAGTTCCGACGATGAAGACCTTCAAGCCGTGCAGGATTCTTTAGAGGCTGTTGCGGCGGAGTTGGGCGTTGATTGGGTGCTGGTGTAAAGCTTCGCAAAAGAGCGGGGATAGTATCTAAGTCAAGGCGAATTGTGCAAGAGATTGGATTGCATGGCATAGCATGGATTGCTATTCATTTAGGCATCGAGGCTATTTCCATCAAAAGGTGGATCAGGTAGTCTTGTTGACCGTCCGATTTTCGGCATTTTGATGTTTCATTCTGTGAAACGAACGTTAGGATGAAGACCCGAAGGAGGGATTGGAGAAAGGGGATGGCTTGGCTTGGCTTTAGAAATAAGACGAGGCCAGTAACCTCTACGTCTACGCTGAACTGTCTCCTCTCTCCCGTGAAGACTTCTCAGCTAGAGATTCAGAAGACTGCGAAGAATCCTCCCCTTCACTCTCTGTACATCCCGCCATCAGCCCTAGTCAAGGTAGATGGCACCAAGCCATCGGGTCCAACTCCCGAAACCGCTGCAACATCTCTATCATCCAGAAATCATGAATTGTACCGGTTGCGCCCTGTCCCAGCAACGGGATGCGGAGGCATCCTGACTCCTTCCTTCGAACTTTCCAGAAATCTTTGTGAAGCTCGATTCCGCTCATGTGTAACATAACGCCATCGTGAGAAGTCGAAAACTGTATAATCGCAATCATAGACACGTCGATGTATTGCTGAATGTTTAGAACGCTCGAAAACCTTCCACCAATGAGGCGCTATATGTGTAGGTATGTGATACACTGTACATAAAATCCATTTCGCGCGGGAAAGACTAAGAAGATGCTGCTCATCTCATCGCTTAAATGAAAACTCGTCGCTCCGGTCGCTCCAAGGCAAGCAGACAGTGCCTTGGAGCGAATCGTAGCCGAGAGAACTTATCTGGTCATGTTGATGCCAAGAATCCTCCTTTTGGGGGTACCGAGAGAAGACCATCGAGGTGTCGCACAAAACAACATTTTGGACTCCTCCGTTGGTAGGCGTAACCAGTCTCAAATCGAATCTATCTGTGTCTCTGAGGTGTATTCTTGGACGAAGCGTCACAAGAATCCGTCAAATGCCACTGGGTGATTCATAGACGAAAACTCGCGTGGCTTCGAGCCATGAATGTATCGAATTCTGGAAAACCGAATACATACGTGGGACTTTGTTTGTTCGTTATCCGTACCACCACGAGAGTGCATAATAAGCATCATCTCTGAGCCAGACGACTCCGTAATGGTTTTTATCCAGATATACGTAAGGGCCGATGGGCCCTAAGATGATGGCGACAGCACAGCAGACTAGAAATACCAGCCAACGCCCCTTGTGAGAGGACCCAGCATAAAGCGCCGAAGCGCTACCATAACAGAGGAAGAACGCCGTGAAGACGGGTGCATGCGTTCCTCCAATTGCTGAGGCCAGAAACCCAACTGAGAGAAGGAAGAAAGCAATCCATGGCCATTCCGCCTTGGCCCATGCTTTGATCGAACCTTTTGCTCGACAACGCAACCTGAACTCAGTCCACCTGCTCATGGGCATGAACTCAGGGTTCAACATTTGGTAGGATATTCTTCCTCCTTTCAGGTCCTTGCGGACCTTCTCGTTGACCTGATTGTTGGATGCCATCTCTGGGAGGTCATCACCGATATCATTGCGCATAACATGTGCTAAATCCAATACCGCACGCTGAAGGCCAATATGCCGGCCAGCATTGTCTACACGTGAATGTAGAAAAGCGTCTATCCAAAGAGCGTACATTCCCACGCACCATACAGCGAACAGCAAGAGAACAACAAAGAGGATGAGGAATGAGAAACCCCATTTGTAGCTTGTGTTGGACTGCTGGCATCGGCCAAGCTCATTGATCTTGTCGATTTCGAAGGTGAATTCACCATTGGAGAACAAAGGCTGTTGTGTCCGGGCGAAGGGGGTGTCGCCGCTGGGAGACTTCCAATGGACGCCGTACGGATAATACCACCAATCGGCATCTTCAGCGGCAGAGATCCAGCTCTCGTTCCAGAATATTGCGCTAATATTCAGGGCCGGCGAAGGTAGATTGATGATGGTCCCGCTGTTGTTGAAGGTTGAATTGGTTTGATTCATACCCAGAAAGCCATAGTTGAACGCGTATTCGGAGACATGCCAGTAAAACTCGCATTCTGGTACCGCATGTGCATCACTCCAATCCAATTCCAAATCGTCAACGCCATAATTTTGATGTGGATAATATGGCGCAATGCAGTCCTCCGATTCTTGCACATCCACAATCTCGGTACGCTCAGAATATTTGCCAACAAGGACTTTATAGTCTTTCCCGAAGTTGCCACCCAGCCTGTCGCCATCGTGTATGATGTACCTAACAAGGCTGAAACTTGCGTATCCAACCATATCCCCTTCACCCACATCAACATATGACTTGATATTGGCGGCATAACCACTCATTGCGCTAGCCATTGTAGGGAATGACAAAACAAATATTGCACTTGTAATCACCCAAAAGACCATAAACCTCGCCTGTATGCTGGGGTGCTTGAGTAGATCTCGCGCTAATTTTAGACTGCCAGTGACTGATCCGGATTGCAAGGTGATGGCTTCAAAAGTGCCGAAAGACACAGATGTTGACTCCATGGAGCGCACAAGTGCTTTACCATAGACAACGAAACATACCCAGACCAGTATCCCTTGACCCCCGCGGCCAACAACGATATCCCAAGCCACGTCGATGATCTTCGCGGTCGAGAACGGAAATTCTCCAAAAGCCAAAGTGATTTGAAAAAACCCATCACGCGCCCAGATATTATACTCAGCGTCGCCAACATAGAAACCCGAATCGGGGCGACAAGCTTCGTGGACAGGATAAAGATCTTTCAAAGTGACAATCTTCATCACGACGATCAGGGCGATGATTATCGCGATCGGACCAATCACGTTTGTAAAACGCCAAAGCTGGTGGCGGAGTCTCAAAGTTTTCACATCTGCGTAGGCCTCTTGCCACCATGACTTAGAGTGTGACGGCAAAGTGCGCCAGAATTCGCGGCTGAAGAGCTGGTAAAAGTTCTGTTGCATAGTTGAAGCGGCATGCGAGGCTTGTTCATGTGCCTGGGTGGTGAAAAGAGCAATATTAGAGCGATAGCTTGTCTGGGTAAGTCTGCTGAAACCACTGGCTTGAGTCCGGGAGGATTGAATACTTCGCACGTCGACGTTTACTGTGTCGATATCGTCATCCAGTGAGACGCCGACATAAGCCGTCTTCGGAAAGATCATATTACTGGAATAGGCCAATGATTGTGTGCCATGTTGGTCGGTGGGCAAATCGTTGTCGTCTGCCTCCAGACCCACATATGCGGGTTGCCCAGATGCCATATTGCGATGGCGTCTATGGTTGTTTGATTCGATGCATGTGTTGCAAGTCTATCCTGTCGAGAGGATGTAGATCTCGGGTCAGACCATGTATGTAGACGGCGCGAAGATAGCCTCGGCGCAGAAAGAGAGCCTCGAACTAAGATAAACAATACAGAGACAAAGCTATTAGGCAGAGCCTCGTCGGGACAAGTTGTTGGGATGGAACTAACACTGCAGATGAGCCGCTTAAAAGACTCATCGACAGGGCCCCGAGTCCTGAGGACATGGCTGGACTAGTTCAGGCCCTCGTAGCGGTCCGTCCTAGTTTGTGGAGCACAGAAGACTCGGTATGGCGTGGTTGTACTCGGTACGCACATTTGTCGCATATGGAGTACAGTACTCCCTCCGTACGGTGCGAGGGATCAGATAATAATCCAGCAGGGAGCGGGCGACTAATTGGGATCCACGGCCGCAGGCAAGAAGCGGTTATCGAGGCAGGCAGGAGTCCAGACCCCACACAGCCAACAAAATGGCAAGGACACGTTTGGGGGCCAGTACTAGTTGCTAATGTTGCAGGTACCTAAGAAAAAGATTGCCTGCACCCAAATTCGGTCCAGATACCTTCGAGGACCTACCTACGGGGGTAGGGACGACCTCACTGGGGAGTTCGTACTCGGTAGTGAACAAGAGAGATACATGCCTTGGGTACCTGCTGGAGTACGAGTAGTGCGAACACCAGGTCAGGTACGGAGTACGGAGTACTGAGACTGGGTATGCTTTGGTACTGCTTAGATGAAACAAACATTGGCCAGCTGTGCTATGCGGCTCTCGGCCGTGTGCCACCTGGAGATCGAAACAGCTGGGGGCCAACAAGCCCGCCTGCAAGCACCTTGGCCTCGTGTAAAATACCTAGTTAGACCTGTGGCTGCTGGGCTAGCTAGGTAAGGGGGCGAATCTGAGACCGTCCCGGAATTAAGCAGGCCGTATACAGCCCAAATCCTGGAAAACAGGGGTTCCAGAGGAGGCCACAAGGCCAGTTGCTCGTAGATATGCGTCCACTCGGGTATGCTAAGGTATGGAAATGATTTGCTGGCTTGGTCCACAGCCGGCAAATCACAATTCGTCCTGCCAGTGAGCTGCGTGATGGCAACCTCTGAATGCGCGACCCAGGAGCGCCCGAAACGACGGTGCGCATCGTCAACGTTAGAGATAAGGAATGCCATGCTCAGTCAGGATGCAGAGCCTCATGCGAGTATGCATAATCCTACGGAGCAAAGAGAGGTACACACAGTAGGACCCAAGTGGATCGTAGCCCGATGGAAATGATCTGAACGTTCCCTGCCACCTGGCGAGCTCACATCTATTTGTGGTACTCTTTATAATATGCTGGTGACTTGGGATTTTACACCGCGTACAAAGGATCGTATCTACCTAGATGCCTAGGTAGCGAAAGTAGTACCTACTTTGTACCGAGTACGGGGTATGGAGTACAGAGTACCTCCATGATGGTACAGCATGTAGTCGTATAGAGATCTTCGATGCCTTCGCTAAGGATGATGAGGCTCTTGGGTTAGGCGGACCAGGGGTCCAGCCCCCGTGGCTTAATCGTAAGGCCCCTTGGCACCCGGGACTCTTAGGCATTTCTTGCTGAGCCTTCGCTACCGACAGAAGGAAGAATAAGGCCCACAAGCTTCGAACTCAAATGTTCCTTTCTCGAGACAGGCAGGTGGAGCTCTAATCCCGTGTTGGATATTACCTAATAATTGGAGAGAGCATAGAGCACGAGTCCTTGAACGTACACTTAGATAGGCGGTTAGTCGGCATGGTTCCCCAACTTCTGTTCCGAATTGCATCTGTTGGCCTAAGCATAATCTGAAATATCTGCTGAGCAAGATCTATACCATTAAACTGCCTCTCAACTTGATACGAGGTACTCCGAACTTCGGCATGGGGGTGCTTATCCGCAGGACTCCAATAAGCGGATCTCAAACAGAAGGCCGGTATCAGCCCAGATAAGGAAATCTGCTGCCGTGTCGACCAACCAGAACCTACCGTAAGCCTGGCAGAGTGAAACGTCGAACTAAACTGATATCTCAAGATTGTAATACTCCGTACGAAGACTAGCCAAGGAACCTTATCTCGGAGGCTTGATTTGGCGAACGCTGTACGGAGTACTTCGACTGGTACTCGCAAGCAGGCTGCAGCACCAAGATGGGCCTGTAATAGTATGGGATTGTGTACGAAGGTTCCCTGTGGAAGTTTGTGGCCGACCAGTCTTCGTAGATAGGCGTTATTGTCGAGTTGAGAGCTGCGACCCATTCAGCGGTCAAGACATCCCATCGGTAGCAGTTGGATCTCTTCCCATAAAGACCTTGAACAATCGCTTGCTCACCATCGGGCCCAGTCTCCTTTCACTCCAAGCGCCGTCTTTGTTGAGACTTTTTCTGACGTCCTCCAGTAAGAGATTGCCATGTTCTTCAAACCCACTGACGAGTTTCGTCACACTGCTCCATCCATCTAATATACCGTATGCCATGCTTGGGGTGACCCGCTGCACCTCCTGTAGCATCTTAGCAAAAGTCTCTCTTGCGTTTTCGCCCGTCTTGACCTGACCACTATCCATGCAGAACGACGCATTCCTGAGATTGTAGTCAAGCTGAGCCAGTCGGTAAGGCCTGGTTGACAGGTGCTGGGTGAGTGTCAATATTTGCGAGGCAGTGTTCGCCGGTGATGCGGTATGCTGAATGAAAATTGGTTGATGGGCGAGCTGTAGGTGCAGGAGAATGTCTTCCACCTGTGCACTAGTGATGGACGACAAGTCTACCGAGGGGGCTGCAGGCTTCTTGCGTTTCTTACTTCTGGGCTGAGCACCATTTGAGACCGGGTTGGATGCCTCTGTTGCCGCGTCGTCCACTTGTGCTCGCACAGCGGCAGCATATTGTCGGTTTTTTGCATTGGCGTTCTTCTTCAACCACGTACTCATTCCCTCGATAACATAGACTGGAATGCATTCATGGTACCGACTGCGCATTGACACAACGTGGGCGTCTATGTTTGCTTTCATAGTTGCTTCGCTTGGGACCGTGTCCATGGAGGACACGGGATATCGTGAGACCATGGTCGCAACAAACTCAGTGGCAGGCATGTGAATTAAGATGTGTTCTTCTCGTTCAATGCGTGTTCTCGAAGTGGGCTCCCACAGACCCTGCTCGTCATTGTAGGCCGAACCGACTTTGCGCCGCCACCTGATTACATTTCCGAAGTGGTTCTTTTCAACAACATCTGACATCAAATTGATCTCGTCATCAAAGTAGTGCATCTCAATCTCTGCCTGCTTCATGTATTGTTCGACCTGGTTTCCGATACTAGTACCTTGCAGCGAACTAGTCACATCGACTATCATTTCCGATGCTGTGCTTTTCTTATTTGTCCGAGCTTTATTGACCTCAGCAAGATCTGCAGCCTTCTGTTTTTCCTGGGTTTTCCGCTCCCGCTCTAGTCGTTTTCGCTCCTTCTCTGCTTCTCTCTCAGCATCCCGGTTAGCTTTTGTGACGGCTGATGGCTTGGGCTTTTTCAAAGGCTTCGCTTTCTCAGGACTTGAAGTGAAGAGAATCTCGTCCCGGCTTTCACTCTTAGAGGTCGATTTTAGCGCCTTGCGCACTGTGTCCACTTTGGCAGGTCGTGAACGCACCTTGCTGTCGTGCAAAATAGGTTGAGAGAGTGTCGCCAGAAGCTGCGCAGTCCGGTGAGAGTAGCCAGCATCGGTAGATTCGCCTCCAAAGCTTAGATTGATGTCGTCTTGTGAGTCGTTCCAGGTTTTCTTCCCAGTGTTTGCCTTTGACTGGCTCAATTCTGGAGCGGAGGAAGAAAATGTGATTTCATCAAAAGTGGTCGTCGCTGCGTTGGAACACTGTAACCGATCCCTACAACCTGCTGATGTTATTCTCCTCAACTGGGGCGGCTCTTCTTGGTCAGATGACAGGTCAAACAGCAATGTTTCGGACGTTACTTTTTTATTTTGGATTTCTGGTGCTATGCGTCGCTTCTTGGAAGGGCGGTCGATCGTGAAGTCGAGCGAATCCCAATCCTCACAGCCATCCGAGCCATCCGAGCCAACTATGAAATCGATCGGAATCTGGAAAGTTGTCTTTGCTTCGACTTTCCCACCAGGACTGCTTAGTGGCGAAGACGAGCCGATCTCGATGATTTCCGCCATGGTAACCGAAACAACCCCATTCACGCGTTTGCGATTCAGGTTGCGTAATATGAGAGTTTTGGCAGCTGGGGGTTTTTACCCTCCCCCGCGCATCGAGGCCTGGGGGCTCTATCAGCGCAGAACACGAGGTCACAGCATGGATAAGTGATGACGATTGGGAAAACCGCGACATTCCTATTTCGGACAACCAAACAATCTTGGCATCACGAACTCACGTGATCTCGCGGTGCAGTCCCCGTGACCTCGTCCCTTCCAAACATTGCGGTACAATGCACCTCATGCCCGAGTACTTCGCGATGGAGGTTGAGGATAGTAGTTAGTATGAGCTTCTTATTCAGGCTCTAGAATGGTAGACCCTCGGGCTTTCAAATGAATCAAATCGTAGGTAGTAGAATCAAGCGGCACCAGCTTCGTCCCGAAATGGAGGGCTCAAGATGATCACCCCGGCGCGTTTCCCAAACCACTTTACGCGTTCACCGCTGCCCCTTCAAGCAGCGACATCTCCAACTTCCTGGCCAAAACATCCCCTTCATTATCCGGCCAATATATGCACTGATCCTGGTGTTCACTCACCACCGTCTGCTCGGGATTAACTGCCATCATGCCTCCTTCATCCGCTATTCAACAATCTCTATCGTCACAGCTGCCCACTTATGCGTCGAGACTTCCAGCAACACTCATCAATCTCTGTGAATCGCTGCTTGCACGGTCTCGCCAACGAGCTGCGAACTTGAAGCCCGACGAAGAGATTGCCCGCGCATACGCATGTTGCGAGATCGCTTGTAAGAGGCTTCGAGCCCAATGTCGCTTGCCGGCCGTCAAGACCGGCGGCGCACCGTGCAAGCCAGCGGTGTACAAGAAACTGTTGATCTTTCTGGAACGGGTTCTGGACGATGAAGGAACTGCGGCCACAACATCTACCACGCCGCAAAAGTCGGCTTCCAAGAAAAGAACCGCCAACGGAAATATCAAGCCAGTGGTCGAAAGTCCAAAAAAGACGCCGACAAGGAAATCCATGGCAAATACGTTCGTGGGCAAGATAAAATCCAGCCATGCACCAGGAGCACAATCACATGGCGAGGCGCCCAAATTTACTATGCCTTCAATACGCACGCTATGCAAAACCTTCTCCACGCCATTACTCGCTCCGCATGTCTACACAGGGACATGCGTGGTGCTGAAACTGGCGGGGCTTTGGCCACGAGACGAACAGGACCAAGAAACAGGTGAAGAGCGGTGGAAAGACAACCCCCGGGGCTCGTCATTCGACGAAGTCGTCACGGGACTTCTCATCGCCCTATATCTCATGACATTGACGAAGATGCAAAGCGCCAAGATGACCACGACGGTGTACAAAGCTACGTGCAGCAGATCGGCGGAAGTGCTGGAATACAAACCCGGCGCGCCCGGCGTGGAAGAATGGATCCGAACCATAAATCGCGACGGATACTGTCGCGGCCAGGACTGGTGGGGCAGCGTGCCGGATTCTGTCTTTGACTTTGACCCGAACAACGACAGGGATCTCTACGAGTTCGATCACGATGACGGCGACGACGAGCTGTTGGCAGGTCGAAGCAGCAGAAGACGCCTGCCACCGTCCGCGAGGTCGAAACGAAGAGAGGAGGAGAAGGAGGAGCAGGATGATCCAGAAGGCGTGCTCCTCCCTGGGCTCGCGACCATGATGCAGGACGCATATGACCTACTGAGCGAAGACCGCCAACACGACTTTGCCGTGTGGAAAACGGCCTTTCTACGACGGCTAGACAAACTTGATAAGCAACCGCCTCGACCTAGCAGCAGTAAAGCTGTTGCCGCGAAATGAAAGGCCCGCGTTTTTGAACAAAAATGTAGCCATTCCTTTCATTGCCAGTGCGTCTTTCTGTTTCGTTTCGCCCTCATTGTGTTTGGACATTCTCAATTGCATCCACTATGAGCAAACGGCAATCATACATGTCGGCACGCATTTGTGCTTGCGGTTCGAATAGCTCGAAGTCCTAGTCCGGAGTAACTATGATGACAGATGACACCGTCGACAACGACGATAACGACGACAGTTCCTAGCATATCTAATCGTCCATACCGATTCAGGTTCCCCCCCCCAAGTGTAGTCTTCAAGACATGTATTAAAAGCATTGTTATTTTTGATGTTGTGAGTAACGGCAGAAGTCCCAAAATGAACCTCATAGCACTGTAGCTCCCCGTCCGTTCCGATGATGGCGTTGTCGTTTTGCCTTTCTCAACCGCATACTATGTCGAGGTGGGGTGCTTCGTACAAGATAATTGTTCTGTGTTTCCGTGATGCGCGTGTGACTGATTGTGTCGAGAAGCACCCGCGTCCGCGTGGAGAATGTGGGCGAGCAGGTCGGGTTGGCCAGCAGGGACCTCTACCAGCCGCGACCGCCACCTCTGCCTCCACGGCCACCACGAGCTCCGCCTCGGCCACCACCGCCTCGATGACTGGACCCTCCGGCGCCGCCTCCTCGAGCGCCGCCACGACCGTGATGGCCACCGTGACCACCACGTCTCTCACGACTGGCGATCCAGCCTGCACTCTCCGGCTTTGGACCTCGCATCATCCTGGCGTCTCTCTCCTCTTCGGTAATGTCGAACTTATTCTGGATTCCAATCAAATCGCAGAACGCAGTCGTCTGTGGGTTGGTCACCTCGCGGGGCATCTCGTGCGGACCGACATTTAGTTGAGGATCGTACACAGGCGCAGTGATGCTGAAGTTCTCTGGGATCTCGAGACGGCCTGCTTTGACGACATGCTCGGTAATCCATTCTTGTTCCTTGAGAATGAGTTCGCGGTAGTATGTCTCGCCGCGGTGGGTGGGGATCTTGTCGTAAGCGTGACCACCCAGGGTGAGCTCGGGCGCGAATACACGTTGGATAGCGAGCCATTCCGGGTCGTAGGACAACTTGATGGGGCGGCGAATGGGCTCTTCTGGGCTGGTGATTGAGTTGATCTCCAGGAGTTGGAGGAATTCTTGGTACGGTTCACATTTTCCCAGGGCAAGGAAGTTGGTGGTTTTGTTGGTGATTTCGGCCGGGAAGGGGAGAGCTGCTGACGGCTTGACTTCTTTGCCTTGTGTGAAATTACTTGACAGGGCGGCGAGTTGTGCGCGCATCTCTTCTGAAACCTCATTGTCTTCATTTTGAGTCCCTTTTGCCTTTGTTGGTGGTTCGACTGGGGACTTTGGTGCTGTGTTGAATGTATTGAGGGAGGCGGTGGACGTCTTGGGTTGGAAAGACGTGGCTTCGTGGTTGAAGTCAGAATCCGATGATCGTCCGGATGATGCTAATGACTCCTTGCTTGTTGGACCATTCAAGGCCAAGCTAAGCGTAGGCGGCAAAGAAGGAGTGAAATTAGGTGCTTGGGGATTCAGCTTTACGCCTCCATCCTCGCTCTCTTCTGATATGCTGAGACAGACATCTCGAAGATTTGCTTGTGTGCGCGAGACGTTTACGGGCAGAGGTTGAGTGGCTGAGATAGGACGCGCTGATGGCGCCGTGTCTTTGCCATTTTCTTTGGCCTTGGTATCGTCGTCGTCGTCGTCTTCTACTTCTTGATCTTCTTCCTCACTCATGTCGATGTCAATGGCATCTGGATTGGCAATGGCATCTGCAGTAACTCCGGCTGTTGTGCTAGTGACATTAGCACCAGCACCGTCGACTTGGCTGTTCTGAGGAGCAGACCTTGTTGCAACATTTTCGCCATCTTGAGTATTGGGACTTCCGAATCGTTGTCGCTTGTTTGGTCGTGAGAAACCACAGCCATCAAGATTTGGGACAGATTCTGGGCTATCTGAAGTTGTGCAATTGCTAACTTGTTGGGTAGTGGTAGAAACGACCTTTCTTTCTAGCGCATCACCGGCACTGACTTTATGGAAAGTCTCATCGAAGGTGTATCTGGGAGTGTGTCGAATTCCAGTTCGCATCTCCTCTTCACGTTGCTCAGTCTTCTCACGCATGATCTGATCTTTTTCTTCAGAGTCCGTTTTCTTTGCTTGGATATGAAATTGCTGCCAAGCTGAGACGCGTTGCTGATCCCCATTGGCAGGTGCAATATTTGGACTAGATGAACTCTGTCGTTTGTTGATTGGGTGGTTGTTGCTCCCGCCAGACTGAGTGGCGATCTTTTGTGCACTATGTGCCCCTGCATCAACCTTGCCCTCAGTTTCACCATGATGCACAATGGCAGCAAATTTGGTGTGTAAGTGGGCGGAGAACCAATACGGGGGACGGAGACGCTCCAGGCATTGCTTTGCTGCAACACTCCCCAACTTTCCTGATTTTGAATCAGCATAGAAACCGCTCTTCGCCTTGAATAGCCAATGGTGATCTCCAAACATCTCGATACCCTGCGGCCAATCATGTGAAAGACCGATATCGACCTGGGAGCGGAGAGACAACAGCTTTCTGGCATCCAACTCTCGGACGTGGTAAATGCTACCAACCTCTTCTTGGTTGTATGGCAGTCTCTCGAAATGAGGCTTGGGATAATCATAAGGCTTCCAGATCCCTGTCAGACCGGCGATACGAAGAGGACCAAAGCGAAGGACATTGGCGGCACCTAGATAGTAGATTTCGGGGGCAACCCAACCACCATAGTACAACTCGAAGAGGTGGTTACTTGCCTCATGATTGCCGCCGATGAAGATGGTTAGACAGGGAGCAACTCTCGCGCCGCTATAGTACTCATGGAAGTCGGCCATACGGCGATACTTCTGGGGCATGGAGGTAACATTGAGATCATGTTGGTTTCTCACGGCCTACGACGTCTTTTGGTCAGTGAAACGGATGTAAGGGCTAGGGCAACTGACTTGAAAGTCCCCGCCAATGATGAGCAAGTCGACTCCTTCCCAGCCTTTGACTCTGCAAGCTTCCTCAACGGAAGCATATATTGCATGGAGCGTGCCATGACCCTGGTGAGAGCAAACGGTCAGATTGGTGGCGCTCCGGCGAAGTTTCATCTTTGGGGAGGTCAACTTACACATCCTTCAACTGCAATCCTAACCCCACCGGTCTTTAGTTCTTCAACAAGAGGCATATTGCTGTCGTGGCAATAGCGTCTGGACACTTGGGTTTGTACAATTAGTTCCGACTGTCGCTATTCCATTGGCGACTGACTTGGTGATGGATGTAGACGAGAGAAGAAACAAAGAAGCGCGTCCTGAATTTCAAACTAAGATAAAAGTCTCAGCGCACCAGCGCCGAGTGAAGCGTCCTATCGCGCATGACTCATTGCTCAGATGTCTCAATAGGACTTGGTAGACAACTGAACGGGGAGGTGATGGATCGCAGCTACCGGGATTCTGTGAAACACCTTGTATGGAGGATTTATATTCGGTCTTGGCTGTCGTTCACAGAAGGCGTTAGATCGACGCTAGATACTCGCCGCTTTAACAAGACAACAAAACCCTAGCACAAGACCAACCACCACTTTCTAGTCCCAATGAGAGGGGAAATCCTGAGGTGCCTACCAGTATTAGATTCATAGCATATGGAGCACGGCGAATGATGAAGATCTCTCATTCCGAGCATGTCCATGCATCAGCTAGTAGCATATCACTCAACAACGCCAGCAAGAGGAAATTGCTCTCCCATATTTCATTTTAGCCTTTGGTGTCGGCTCAAATACACCCCCCAGAACGATGCATGAAGAAAGACGTTTAGTGCTGGGTGAAGATAATGCTATGCTTGTTTAATCTACGTCACTGGTGGAATGATGGGTGCTTGAGTACAGGCCCACCATGCTCTTTGTTCTGTGTCTCTAGTTAATCAGCATACCCAAGACGCTCCCAACGTCATTTTTTAATGCTCGACAAACTGTAACGCAGTCTGAATAGCGGTGTTTTTGATCTGTCGCTTCTCCGACTACATTATTCTCTCACACCTAGATGTCGAGACGACCCCGCCCCGCCGTGGCTTGGACGCATGCATAGGGACTACAAATCGCTGTCTTGTACATCTTGAACGGGTCCCAGCTCTTGACAATTTAGATGAGGTTTCTAACGAAAGCCATGACATGGCCTTTGACACCTCTCTTTTGCTGTTCCTCTTTCATCTCTTGAATGCTAGCGCGCCTTTGGTCACTCGAGACGCCTGCGCCACTGATCATTTCACGCTGACCCTCTCTCATGCCCGTGTAGATGTCGATGTCTTTCGCTCGGATGAACAGCTTGCGCGATTCTGGGTAAGCGAACCAGCTGTAGGACTTCCAGGCCACGTATAGGAAAATGAGCAAAGGACCCGCGAGGTAGAGTTGGAAAAAGGTATTGGCATCTAGGTTAGGGCCACCGATGGGATAGAGCGCAACGTAGAACTGGGCGATGAGACTGATGACGTTGATGAGCAAGCACAAATACGAGCCCCAGATGCCGAAAGCAGCCTTAAAGGGGAGCTCGTCCAAGGTGTGGCCATGGGCTTTCCTGCAAATGGTTAGTCAGAGAGAATGGGGGGGGG